TCGGGCGACGACGTGCCCTCGGGCGAGGCGTCCTTCATCTTGGTCAGCGCCTCGACCGGGACGCCCAGAAACTTCGACATCTCTTCCATGGACGGGCCCGTGGCCCTCTCCGCATTCTCCTTCACCTTGCGCATCACCTCCACTTCATCGAGGGGGTGGAGCCTGTCCTCCAGCTCCTTGTCATACTCCTCGAGCTCCTTACTGATGCCTGGAACGGAGGGTTTTGGCGCCTCGCACTCCATGGCGTCCAGCTCCTCGTCCGTGAAGAGACGAGCGTGGCGGGACGGCTCCTTAACGTCCTCGGCCGCCTCGACCACCTCGGAACTCTCGGGCACTTCCTTGCTCTCGGCGGCAGCGCCTCGGTCCTCCTCGGCGACAGCCAACTCGGTGGCGGACCCTGCCACCGGCTCTGGCCCTACGACTACGTTGACGTTCTCCTCGGCGATGTGCTCGCCGGCCGGCGATCCTCCGTCGTCGTTCCACTCGGCGAACAGTGTGTGTCCCACATATACAGCGCCGCCCCACCCTTCGAAGGAGGGCTCCTCCGTCATCCAACGCGGACGGGGGCCTTCCTTCTTCAGGATGCTTCGCAGAGGGGCCGCAGTCACTGACCTCGGCACCGCTCTCAACTCCGTCGGCGGCGGCAACTCCTCCGTGGGCACCTTGTAGGGTATGTTCGCGCTCGGAGGCGCAGCACAGAACGCTTCATCGTCCGCACTGGCCGCATAGAACACATCACCGTCGACTTCCTCCTCCTCGGAGTACGCCGGCTCCTCCGACCTCACGGACTGGTCCTCGTCGTACGCCGAGTCGACGGTCTCAGCCGCCGTCCCCTCTTCGTTGCCTACTCCACGCTCGGGGCTGCGGTCTGGGCCACTCGCGGGGTCTCCATCGCCCGCGGGGGCGTCCAGCTTGGCCGCCTCGGCCTCCTTAGTCTCTTCATCGTTACCATCGAGGGCGGCCCCATCATGGGCCCACGCCCCGTTCACCCTTGCACTCGGCTCGTCCTGCTCGGCGCTCTCCTCGGTCGCCGTCTTCCCCGCAGGGTACATCTTCTCCTCCTCGTCACTCGCAACGGCCCACGCCGCTTCTTCCTCGTAGCAGTATGCAGGCTCTTCCGCCACGCTTTCCTCATTTTCGCCGTGCACAGACACCTCCGTCCAGCACTCAGCTTCACCTTCTTCCCGCACGGACAACACCGTCCGCCCCTGCTCTCGTTCATATTCTTCTTCGACGGAGACGCCGCTGGGTACAATCCACTCTTCCCGGGCCCCGGCAACCGTCTTAACTTCCACTTCCGCTCTTGGCGCCTCTACGCGTTCCTCTTCGACGCTCCCTTCATTCACACTACTCTTCACAACCTTGTCCACCGTTTTCCTCGCCGTGACCGCAGAACGCCTTCGTCTCGCCTGCCTCCTACGATCACCCCCTGAGTCATCCTCTAGACTAGAGAAAGGAGTGGCTCCCTCCTCTCCTTCCTCCCGCCCCCGTCACTGTCGAGGGGTCGGATTGCTCTGGGCGGCCGCGTTCAGCAAACTCGGAGTCGCATCACGAAGCGCGGCCAACACGGGGCACTGCATCACGGAGTGGCTCGCGTCTTGGCAGAAAACACAACCAGACGGAGCTTGAGTACCCCCAGCGGCTGCAGTCTGGCCTCCACCGTTCTGGGGCCTGTCACACTCGACCGCGATATGACCAAACGCGCCACAGCGCCTGCAGCTCATCGACGCGCGCTTGCATGTAGCGCGACCATGTCCCATGAAGTTACAGCGACTACACACAGGCGAACCGTCCTGCGTGCGACTATCATCGCCCATCCGAATGCCCCGGAATAGCTGAGCGTTCCCTGGCCCACGACCGTTTCCAGCGGGCTGAGTGGCAAGGGTGGCGGCCACTACCGGCGCTCGATTGCGAGGCGACCTAGGCGGCTGCCACTGGCGCTGCATAAGTTGCTGTTGCCACTGTTGTTGCTGCTCCATGAACGACTTCATCTGCTCAGCGAGGGCCTCGACCGCAGTCGTCGCGGAGGCCTCCTCCGACTTCTTGTTCTTCTTCTTGGACTCGCTGTCCGAGAACTCATCGTCCTCCTCGATCGGACGGTGCATGTCCTTGAACATGAGCCACTCGCACACCTCCGGAATGTCCGACGCGGGACTCGCGTCCAAGGTCGCCAGCATGCGCTTGTTCCGCAGTCCTCGGCGGAAGAGCTGGTACCGCATCTGCGGATTCGGGTAGTCGAGGGACTCGCACAGGTCCGAGACTCGGTCACCCCACTCCTCCACGGACTCTCCGCGCTGCCTGTTCGTGTTCTCTAGCAGCTCCCACAGCTCGTCAGCCGTCCGGCTGAGGAACTGGTTATGGAACCGCACCTTGAGCGTCCTGAACGACTTGATCCTCGAGTTGTTCCACCACCGGTCAGCCTCGCGGCCTCGCAGCTTCTGACGGAACACCAGCAATCTGGACCGGTCGGAGAAACCATCCGTGTGGTCCTCGAAGAGCTCCCAGAAGTCCCGCGCCTTCTCCACCGTGGCCGTGTCCGAATGGAACATCGGCAGCACCTTCACGGCGTGCGAGACCATCGTAGACAGGTTGTAGGCACTCGGCGAAAGTTTACTGGCACCGCGCCAACTCGTCGACGGTGCAGCCGTCGGAGCCGGCGGAGCCGTACCCGTTCCAGGCGTCCGACTTGCCGTAGGGCCCGTTGTAGGTTGCATGGGCATTCCGCCACCGAGCGGCTTCGAGAGCCCAGCCGGACCGCCGGCGAACTGCAACTTCTTCATCGGAGGGGGCGACTTGGTCGGCGACTTCACCGCGCTTCCGCTCCCACTCCATCCTCCATACTCGGGGGCCTTCCCCGAACCATGTTGAGCGCTCCAGCTCCATCCAAAGGCAGGGCGATCCGTTCGGCGGGCCTCGGGACCTGTGAAGCGGGTGATGAGCCCACTCGGGCCTCGCTGCGTCGGGACCGGCTCCTCCATCGCGTCGTGGTAGTCTTCCTCGTCGTCGGCGTACATCCCGTAGCCGTACCCATAGTCCGTCGGCTGAGCGTAGGGCTGCCCCACACTCGACCGTCCCATCGGACTCGAGACCGGTGGCTCCGGCTCGCCCTTCACGGCGGGCTCCGCCTTGGCCTCCGCCACGGTCTCCGTCTTCATTCCAGCCGAGGTCACCGGCTGGACTCCTGTCGCGGTCTCCGTCTTGACCGCCTCCTTCTCTTCATAGTCCTCGTCTTCTTCATCTTCCCGGAGCTCACGCATCACATCCGACACGGACGCTCCCTCTTCAGCATACTCAGCGGTCTTCCTCCACCGCTCCAGACTCCTCAATCCCTCTTCAACCGGGTCCGGCGCGCCCGCTCCAGCCTGGCTGGGCGGCGGCGGGGCCCTCGGTCGCTGGGACGGCGGCGTCGCTATCCCGATCATCGGCGTCCCGGAAGCCGGTGTCGAGGGCCTCTGCCGACGTCTTTCGGCACGCTCTGCTTGGCACGCTCTGCTTCGGCCCGCGCGGCACGCTCTGCCTCGGCGCGCTCTGCACGCGCTCTTTCGTCTTGTTCAGCCCGGCGGCGTGTTGCTTCCTCAGCGTTACCGCCTCTTCCTCCTTGTCCTCCTGGCATCTTCTCTTCTCAGTTTACCGTTCCTTGTCCACTCTCAGTTTACCGTTCCTTGTTCACTTGACCTCTTGCTCTTGACCGTGCACACTTGGCTCTTGTGTCTACGTTACCGTTCCCTTGTCCTACCGGCCTGGATCGCTCCTCTCACTGCTCCTCGACCTCGCTTTTCCCGCGCGGCGTGTACTCGTGTGCGGACTCCTGGGTCCTTCCCTGGCACACTTTAAACACGAGGAGGGGGGTCACACGTCCAGTCACCAGGTCCAGACGCTCGGCTCTTGACTCTATTCACTTCCGGGCACAGGCTCTCAGCACTGTTCACTCCACAGTCGGCAACACTACCCTGCGTCTCCACCACGTGTCGCGAGTCGCTTTGTCGGACCGGTTTGGGGCCGGCCGCCGCTGTATTGGAGTAGTAAGTGCTGCCTGTGCTTATAGGTTTATGGGGCACAAATAGCAAGGAGATCACTAAGCAAAATGCAATAAGTGTTCCTCACGACCTGTGTGGTCCTTTTAAGCAAAATTCACGACTGACCTTCCTTCTACTCCTAACTCTTCCTCTCTACCTCTGCAAATCCTTGCGTTTCAGTTCCTTCGGGTGACTCCGTTCCCGCTCACCCCTCCCAAAGACTTGATCCGTCCACCTTGACGGCCCTCAAAGCCGCCCAACATGCCATCCGTCCCCGAAGTCCCGCCACGACACTGCGAGGCACATCATCCCTCCAAGGTACCTCTGGGTAGCGGCCCACGGGTCTCCACCTTCGAGACAACCCGGTCCACGGCCCACTACTTCTCGCCCGCGGCCACACTCATCGTCGCCCACGCAGAGTTGGAACGGTCCGAGCCGTTCCGACTCGGTACAAGCTGTATTGCCCCAGCTAGAGACTTACAACTACTAGCGATCCCACGCATTCGTCGCCTTGCCCCTCTCTCGCCCCTTCCAATGTCGAAAGCAACCAGGGCGGATGGTGGTAGACGCACGCAATGTTTCCGCAACATTTCGACTTCAACTTCTCTCAAGCAACTTCGTCATTTGGTACGCTGTACCATTCACTGTCTTAATTTCTTTATCTACCTATAAAATCGTAGCGGAAAGATAGCATCATTCTACTGATTTATCACCGGTTTTGTGTCCCTATGATATCAATCCACTCGAGAATAGGTAGTTGTATGATAAGCTACAACTCCTCAGCTCCATCAACGATTGGCTGTTTCTCTAGGTTTTCCTCGGTCTCGAGCTCAGCCAGCGGCTTCCAACAACAGTCCCAGTACACTACACTGCGCAGCCATGTCCAAGAGCGTGGGGGTGCCGATCTCGCTGCTGCACGAGGGCGAGGGCCGCACCGTGACCGTGGAGCTCAAGAACGGCGAGGTGTACCGCGGCCACCTGGCGGAGAGCGAGGACAGCATGAACTGCCAGCTGAGCGACGTGGTGCTCACGGCGCGCGACGGCCAGAAGTCCAAGCTCGAGCTCGTGTACGTGCGCGGCTCGCAGATCAAGCTCGTGATCCTGCCGGACATCCTCAAGAACTCGCCGCTGCTGGGCAAGGTGCAGGCCTTGAGCCAGAAGAACGAGGAGCAGAAGAAGAAGAAGGGGGGCAAGGGCGCGGGCCGCAAGGCCGGAGGAGGCGGCAGGCGCCCGGCCGCGCGCAAGTAAATAATCGACCTCAAGGAGCGGAGTTTTCAGGCGGCGTTAGCTGCAGGCCGACAGAGCTGCTGCCGTGCTGCAAGATGCGTGGTTTTGGGGCCTTGGACGATGTCTTGAGCAGGAGCTATGAGCATCTGAAGTGATGCCAGGCTCTCCCTGCTGCTGAGACCCTTGAACCTTTGGCTGCGGAGCCGAGAGAGGACAGATAAGGCCTGCTGCTGGTTGTAGTGGGGTGTGCACCTGAAGACGAAGACGACATGACTTTTTATTTTGCTTTTTACTGTTGTTGAGACGCTTGTTCTGCCCTAATGTTGCGGGGCGAAGGTTGATAGTTATCTGCTGAGTATGGACGCGTATCGGGACGCTGCAAGCCACGCGGTTTTCTACAAGTTCTGGTGTGGTCTGTGCCTGCAGCGTCCGTCCGTCTACAAAGCGCTCCCCCTGTGTCTGTGAGTCTATTGCTCGCTTCGCTTTATAGACAGCAGAGCGGCAGCAGCAGCGCCGGCGGCAGGAGACACAGCGCCACGGGCAGCGACAGCCCGCACGTGCAGACGCTGATGAGGCAGCAGATGAAGATGATGATCCAGAGCAGGATGGAGAAGCCGAAGCAGCCGCCGTGCAGCCGCCGCGACAAATCCAGCGTGGCGTGGTTCTGGATGCCGTAGTCCGTGAGCGACCGCGACGCGCGCAGCGGCACACCGCCGTAGTTCAGGTAGCCCTGCGTGCGCACACTGCGCTCCTTGGCCTCCACGAGCGACAGCAGCTCGCCCACCTTGGCCTTGGGGCTCTCGACCGCGACGGTCAGCGTGCGCCCGGCGTCCTGCACCCGCACACGAAGCCGTTAGAATGCTAACGCTTGGATGCAATTGCTGAAGCATGGCAGTCCACGCACCGAGCGGATGAAGAGCTGCATCTTGAGTTAAAGATTGATTGAAAGATTGATTCTTCCTGGTGCGTGTAGGTGTTGAGGGCGGAAGGTCGGGGATACCGTTAACGTTGATTCGGTCTGGAGGTATCTGGTTAATGCACGTCGGGCACACGGGAATCGCGTTAGTGTCGGTGGGAGAGAACTGAAGTTTGGAGATGACTCTGCAGCGCCACCTTCAACGGCGGCCACTGTCTGTATGGTTCGCTGACTGGTGTATCGCCAACGGAGACCGTGCCACTCGACTCAACGCCCAGCGGCACCATGGCAGGTACCGCCTCCACCTTGGGGAAGTCCTTGCTCACGTTCGTCTGCGTCTTGCGCGCTACGAGCGCGAGCTCCTTGCCGAGGTGCGTGCCCTGCTGGCTGGCGAACAGCATGTGCTTGGGCGCTGAGTTGTTGTTCGCGTCGCCCAGCGCGTAGATGTTCGAGTAGCGCGCGTTGTCGAGCTGCAGCTTGGTGTTCACCTTGATGAGACCCTGAGGGGTCACGAGGCTCTCGTCGAGCTCCTTGATCAGCTCCGTTGCGGGGCTGAAGCCGCCACACAACAGCTGAATGTCCGACACGAGCTCGCGGCCCTTGTTGGTGCGCAGCGTGCGTCGCTCGTAGTTGTTGCCGTTGATTCGCTCCGTCAGACGTTCACCCAGCACCACCTCGACGTTCAGACGCTTCAGGAACTTGAGCAGACGCACGCGGAACTTCTCGCGCACATTCTCGCCGCCCATCAGCTTTTCCTTGCCCTCAATGAGCGTTACCTTCTTACCAGGGAACTTGGACTTGATCTCGCCAGCCACGCTAGCTCCAGTCGCGCCGCCGCCCACGACGAGGATGTTCTGGGCGTTCTCGATCTGCTGGCGCACCTCCGCCATCATAAACTCGGTCGTGGAGCGCTTGAAGTCGTCCTTGGGCTGCTTCAGGGGCACCGTGTACGTGCTACCCGTGGCCACAACGAGGTAGTCATAGGCAAGGCGCTTGACGGGACCCGCGACCATTTCATCGTCGTGGCCAATGGGCGTGTACTCGACTTCGTTGGTGGCCGTGATGCGCGTCACGATGGCGCGCTCGATCTTGACAAAGGATCGGGCCTCAGTGGGGATGGCGTTGTCGTACGGCACGAAGAGCTTCTTGGTGTAGTCGGCGTCCACGACAGCGCGCGGAGTGCCGACAGCGTGGTAGTAGTACTTGCTCTTCTCAAAGACAACCACCTCCGTGCGGTCGTTGGGGGTGAGATCCTTGGCTAGGGCCTGGGCAGCGGAGATACCCGCGGGGCCGCCACCGACGATGACAATGCGAGGCATGATAAAGCGTTGCGGAAGTTGGAGGTTGGTTGCTGTTGCTGCACGTGTGAAGCGCTGAGGAGTTTTGCGAATGAGAGGGTTGCCACGAGTTGTCAGCGTCGGAGCCAAGCGATACATAAGTCGCCGGCATGAAGCTTTACTAATCAAGTCGAGCTCCATACGCAATCGCCGCAGCCGTAATCGTGAGCGGGGCGACGATCTGTAGCTATAATACAAGCGACGGCGACATACTCGGTCATCACCGGATGCGAACGTTCAGCACTGGTCGAAGAACAGTGCAATGTACAGTGTAGTGCCTTGAGAGAGGGGGTCGTCGCCGGAGACCCAGAAGCTGAAGCTCGTCTTAGTGAATTCGCACATTTACCTGAGCGAACTGGAGCAAGTTGCCGCCCGCTGGTACATGTATTAAAAATAGTAACTTTGCTGGCAATTGTTTTTCTTCTCATGTACGTATCCATGGATTCAAATCTAGTGGGCACTCAGCATCCTATCGTGGTCATAATATGAGAGTCGACTTTTCACTTTCACGGATGAACAATGAGAATGCGTGCTGTGGCTACGTAAATGAGTACAGCTGTACAGTATGTCGGCGTCCTGGTCGAGCTTGCAACGCCAAGACCCTCTTCAATACGGCAACGCTACGTCTAGGGGTATATCGCCGTGGAACAGAATTTCTTGGTGGCGTTCGTTCTTCCTGTTTCCATTCTGTTAGAAACAAGCTTTCGCGGAAATGGTTTAGAGTTTGTGACGCAGTGTGGCCAAAGGCATTTCACAAGAATACTGTGGGTGTCGCGGTCATGACATCTTTCTAAACTACGAGCGCGATCTTTCCGATTGCCACCCAAACTTGCTAAAAGACCGACTGTCGTGAAGTATTGCATAATTATCCTCTTCCAATTGCTAAACGTTATCGTGCTTTTTAGCACGCCACGAATTCACCCCCGAAGCAGAAACTTTGCAATCCCCGGAATAACCCCCACGCATGTGAAAACACGAACATGAAAGCGGACCCGAACTCACCGTCGCTAGAAAGGTCCTGGCCCTTGCCCAGTTCTCGAATGCACTGCTGATAGTGCTCCACGTTGGCCCCTCCCGGGTGTTCCGACGGCGCGTACGACAGTCCCCCGTGCGAGAACGACTCTGTCAGTGACTCAATGTTCCAGCAGCTGTCCGATACAAGTCGTCTTCTAACTCCATTCCGACTCAACAGGTGCGACAGATAGTAGTCATCCCCCAGGAAGCAGGCCTTGGACATGTTGGCCACCTCGAAGGCCGACATCGTCGCCTCCTCCAGGCCGAAGAACTTGCGCTTCACTGCGACTCCACCCGCCCCTCCCACGAACGACACGCTGTTGACCCCGACCGCGAGGCTGCGTCCACAGTACAGATCGTCCTCGGCCGAGATCCAGCCGCCCAGCACCGCGATGGCGTCGTCCGGGTACTTGTGCGTGTAGTGCAGCGCTCGCTCGCACAGCTGCGTGGGGTAGATGCGGTCGTCGTCGCCGTACACGATGACGGTGTCCGGGTCCTGCTCCACCAGCAGCGTGCCCAGCACCTTGCTGGCCGGGCCGAAGTCCGTGTCCAGCACGATGAGCCGGAGCTTGTCGTGGTACGGACTCGCCCCCGTGGCGAACGTGATGCCGCGGAACTCGCTCTGGTTGAGCTTGGTGCGGCCGTCCAGCAGCCACTCGGGGATCTGCACGGCCTGGTCGCGGTACGTTTTGGGCACGATGACGTACACGGCGTCGAAGCCGTCGCCCTCCTGGCGCACGAGCGCGTCCACCGTGGGCTGCATGTCGTCGATGCCTCTGGGCGTCGTCGTGAAGCTGAAGACGATGCGGGGCCGCGCCTGTGCCGCGCTCATGGACGTGGACGCGAGGGCCGTGGACGAGTTGAAGGTGCAGAGGAAGACGGTGACCCACGCCACGCTCGTGGCCAGGAAGCACGCGAACCAGCGCTTCCGAGACGAGAGCTCGTCGCCGTCGTCCGACACGAGCGACGACTCGAGCACGACCTTCTCCGGCAGCAGCTTGGCCGACTGCCGGACGCGTTGCAGCCGTCGCCGCCGACGGTGCCGGACGAGCAGCACCGACAGCGCCGACAAGCCGGCCAGCAGCGACAGGAGCGAGATCCGCGGGATCATGACCCGCTCGGCATACAGGTCGATGCACGAGTCGCCCAGCGCGTGCCGCTTGCTGCCGAGCGAGATGCGCAGCGACGAGGAGGTCATCGTTAAAGGTAGATACTGCACTCCGAACGGCGGCAAGTGCGCTAATGCCGACTGCACAGTTTGGACGGTTATTTTGAGAGCCCCCGCACTTAAATGTGCCGCTCGTGCCGCTTCGACCACGGATTGCCGATCCTCATACCCATTAGACCCAACGGATTAGCATTAAACCACATGCAGAGGAAGGAAGGCAAGCTCCATCGGCAGCGAAGGAGGCTTCCTCGTAAATGCACCGTAGATACTGTAGATCCCGGCACGCTGCACAACCACTTCAACGTAGAAGTGCACCAACTGCACTTAGTATCCATTTTAGTTTTTAAGCCAATCACATCCATTCTCCATTCTCATTGGTCCACGGTACTATACTTTTTCTAAAAGGTCACTCATACACATTTTCTTACCGCATTTTTCTTGAACTCTTTTTGACTGGCGGCCAGTCCTGACGTCGCCATTTCATTCCCAGACTTTGCGCATCAAAAGGTCCACCGAAGGAGATGCCGTCGCACTCCGCCGTGACCGAGACGCTCGCGGCTGCGCCCGTCGTGGACACGACGCCCAGCTTCGAGCGCCTGCGCGACGCGCTGCTGGACCTGTCGGAGCCCGTGGGCAAGCGCACGCGCGCCATCTTCTACCTGCGCTCGCGCGGCGGCCTCGAGGACCTGCAGGTGCTGCTCACGGCGCTGCTGAACCGCAAGGACTCGGAGCTCATGCGCCATGAGCTGGCCTACGTCATCGGCCAGTTCCAGCGCGAGGAGGCCTGCGACACGCTGCACCAGGTGCTGGAGGACGAGTCGGACGACGGCATGGTGCGCCACGAGGCGGCCGAGGCCCTGGGCGCCATCGGCGCCGCGCAGTCGCTGCCCGTGCTGGAGAAGTACAGCGCCGACGCGGCGCCCGAGGTCTCGGACACGTGCAAGCTGGCGGCCAGCCTGGTCAAGTACAAGCTGGCCAAGGCCAAGGGCGAGATTGTCGAGGGAGCGGTGGACCGCAACCCGTACCTGTCCGAGGACCCGGCCCCCGCGGCCGAGAAGACCAAGTCCACGGCGGAGCTGCGCCAGGTGCTGCTGGACCACGACGGCGACATGTTCGCCAAGTACCGCGCCATGTTCTCGCTGCGCAACCGCAACACGGAGGAGGCGGCGCTGGCGCTGGCCGAGGCCTTCGCCGACCCGAACGCGCTGTTCAAGCACGAGGTGGCCTACGTCATGGGCCAGATGGAGAACCCCGTGACCGTGCCGGCGCTCAAGAAGGTGCTGCTGGACGAGAACGAGCACCGCATGGTGCGTCACGAGGCCGCCGAGGCGCTGGGCGCCATTGGCACCACCGAGTGCGAGGAGATCCTCAAGCAGTACCTGAACGACGACGCCCAGGTGGTGCGTGAGAGCTGCGAGGTGGCGCTCGACATCATGGACTACTGGGCGCCCTCCAAGTAAGCTCCACTTGTGGCTTGGGTAACGACGCGTTCTGCTGACGTGTAGGAATAATACAGTTCGTTTTTGCATTTGGATGGATAGCTGTGGAGTTGGCATTGGGTTCTTTGACCTCGTTAAGCGAAGAGGTAGCCTACGTTCATGCGGTTAAATGCTCGCAGTGAAGGCGGTAGCAGCTCTGAGCTGCTTGCTAGTCGCTGCGAGATGGCGAGGCACATTGCAGGAGGCAAAGAGACTTCGTGCGAGGGCAGGAGACCTGGAATCGCCGGTGTCGGTTGACGAGGACCATAGAGCACCTTCAAGACGCGACGAAACTTGCTCGCTTCCTTCTGCTTGATCATCGTCTCCCAGCTCAGTAGTTGCAACTGCAACTCAGTGGTTTCCGTGGATGCAGCAGCGGGAGCTGGAGGAGGGTGGCTGTCTTCTTTCCCGCACGCCAAAGCGTGATCATGCCTGTCACTTGACGACGTCAAGACAAACCGGAAGATACCGTCTGAGTCCGCCATCTCCAGCAGTTTAGCACTCAGAATGCTGTCGATCGTGTACTTGCCGAAGATATTTTGCTCCTCCTTCAGTCCATCAACCACCCGCCGATAAGCAATGACCAGGTGCTTGTGCAGACGAACAGTGTCTGGCTGCTCGACGCTGCACAAACCAACCCGCTCCGAGCACGCAGCACACGCCAACGGCATCCACTCGCGCTCCTCCTTTGCGTTATCCCCCGGCGCCACCGCCGCTTCATCCTCGTGGTTCGCCACAGTCGCTTCAGCAACCAAATCACTGCCGTGCACCAGCACATACGACTCGCCGACAAGCACGCGCAGCCGCTGCGCGTGAATATCATCGCGCGGAATGTGCTCGAAGGCTCCGATGCCGGCGCCCCAGAAGTCGAACATGTCCATCCAGTTGGCCGACGGAAGCGGCAGAACCTTCTCAATGGGCGCACTCCCCTCCCCACCAAGCAACAGCGCACTACATCCCCGACAACACACAGAGTCGTAACTTTCAGGCCGCAACTCAACCGGAGATACCTGCGTGAACGACGAGAAGCCTCCAAGCGGCTGCTTGTCACTCGGTCGAATCGGAAGCCGAAGGTACCAGTGATCCTCCTTCTCCTCCACGACACACTGAGAGACGTCCACATTGCGCTCGATCTCCGTGCTCCACACCACACCCTCTTCATCTCCACTGCTGCTGGGCCTGTACGTGAGTTCTACACGTGGGAATTGCACTCGGACGCCGAGTTGCGCAACATCAAAGGCCTGAGCCGAGTCTTCCATCTTCTCTTCGTCTCTGTGGCTGTCTAGGAACAAGTAGCACTGGTAGCAACCGATGTTGGCGTGGCATTCCACCAGCGAGTCCACAATTTGGGGCACGGGTGACTGCACATCGCTGGTATTGGAGTTAACGTCAAGAGTCTGGAGTCCACGCGCCAGCCCCTCCGCTGCTCTTGCCAGCTCGTCCTCGCTGGCCTTCTCCGCGGCGCGCGCGTCTTCATATTCCTTCCGCGCGCGGTCGAGTGTGTCACGGACCTCGTTGGCGGCTGCGATTGCGCGCGCGTGCTCCTCTTGCGCCGCGCGGAGCTCCTCGAGCAGCGCCTTGGCCTCGGCCTCCATCGGTCGAACGGATCAAATCGCGAAATGGATACATCGTGTGGTGCACACTGAATTGCCGCTTCGACGGACGAAACGCATCGTCGGACCGTTGTTGCCGTTGCACGCTGGACGTGGTGATCCGCGCTGACTCGACGTAGGATAGGACGTTGCCGCTGATTTGCATCGCTCAGTGAGCCGAGGAATCGAGTGGCGGTTGCAGCGTACCAGTCCACCCATAGCTCTACATGTATAAAGTAGGGCATCTCGTTGCCACGGCGCCAGGAACCCGCGTGCCGGAGTTGAAGTGAGGATATTTTGCCACCCGAAGAGAATGCAGCTGCGACTAGCTCCATGGGAGCCGCTGCAAACGCGGACAAAGCGTAGCCATTCGCTGAGCGCCGAGGGTTTAGGCGAGCGATCACCTGGTGTCAGGTTTAGCATTGCGCACGTCACTGCGCCTCTGCGTAACGAGCCCAGGATCTCCAAACCAGACAGATATTAAAGCGCCTGCGGATGAACGTGGATTGAGTCGAGTACCATGCTGTGACCTGCAACTCAAATGCTGTCGGGGCTTCAGGATGCAATTTCAAGCGGAGACGCTGAGTTGACTTTTGGGTGCACTGTCCAGCTGACCCAAAATGCTAAATTTTGTGAGGATACAACCAACTTGATACATTTTATGACACATTTCCAAAACGTGCGCATAACTGCATCAACGGAAAATCGCAGATAATTTATATTAGCGAATGACTTTTTGGCTCTAACAAACCCGTAAAATATTGTTTACTCTTTACAACACATAGGTGTCACTCTCGACGCTACAGTGGTAAGCGAAGTTGTTGGTTTATCGAGGACACCGAAATTAGCGCCACCATAGCGGTTTTACTTCTCAAAGCGATTCATGGCGTGGAATCTCGGTAAGTATCGTGCGCGAGGGCTTTGATAAGTTAAACGCCGTCTCTCGACTAAATATCAACTTCAATGTATGCTCGTCAGAGCCAGAGCCCGGCACATCTGTCGACTGCAGCTCGCGTGTGGACAACAAACACTGCTTCCGCCGGCGGTGCAATTGCTCAACGCGTAAATATGGTAGTGCTCATTTTCGAACAAGTATCGCCGCCATTGTCTCGGTCGTCAATATAACTACAGCGCTGCAGGCGTCTATAGCATCCGGAGGCGTCCTCTTTCGCCAGACAGATGAAACCAAAACAAGGACAGCAGCAACCGCCTTGTCTCGCTTCAAACGCGACGGTCGCAACTCCCTCGCGAAGTTAGAGCCACGTGGGCTGCTGTGGTCGCAACAGTGGGTGTTCCTGATGGTCATGCACTTACGTTAGTGTGCCGTGCGCATTACCTACTGTACCTCTCGACAACAATGATCAAGCTCCGCGGCTCACAGCTCGCTTGGCGTTCGCAACGGCAACTTGCGATGTTCACAGCAAGAGCTGTGATAAAATCTCTTTGTACGGCTTCGAGACCGCGCCGCCGTTCAGCAGCTACACAGTACGCTTGAGACGTGGCCCCAATTTCCGCCCCAAGCGAGCACGAACCTTGTGTACGCCGCTTTCGGTATCGCCCGTTTTATACCAGAGTGGTACCGTGCGGGGTGGGAACAAAAGCTCCCTTCGCGTCAATATGAAACAGCACCACATCACATACCCTTTTAAATACTATTGTCATTTTGCGAAGCATTCTAAGTTCTACTATTGGGCATACCGTGAAAACCAATAAACCTGCCAAATAGAGTCTAATCAATCGCAGCGTTTGCGCGCGCGGGACTAAAAAATCAACGCTTTCCGTTTTTTTCGGTACAACGCCACACTTGCGATCGTCGTCAAGTCAGAGGAGCGGCGACCAGTGTCAGAGAGCGAGTCGAGCGCCACTCCACTCGCCGCGGCGCGCAGTACCCGTACGGCAGTCGAAGAAGAAACCCCTCCCTCTCTCCCCCCTTGCCGGCCGCGCATGGCCTACCTGACCATGACGCCCGACGACATCCAGGGCGACTACACGTGCGACGTGCGCGTGGAGGACTACCGCCTGAGCAGCAAGAAGGCCGAGTACAAGGTCGTGGTGCAGCTCTCCTTCTACTCGTCGCGTGCGCACGCCACGGGGCGCACGAGCTGGCACATCTGGCGCAGCTTCTCGGCCTTCCGCAAGCTCGACGAGCAGCTGCGCAAGCGCAGCGCCGCGCTCATGAAGGGCGTCAAGTTCCCGCCGCTCTACCGGCGCAAGGCGCTCTTCCGCGTGGACAAGAGCCCCGAGTTCCTGGGCGCGCGCGCGCGCGAGCTGGACAACTACATGAACGTGGTGACGCACAAGCCGCAGCTCGTGGCCTTCCACCTGGCGGCCGTGGCCAGCCAGACGCTCAAGAGCTTCGTGGGCTTCAACTCGGGCTTCGGCGCCAACGCCGAGTACGACCAGCAGGACTCCAACCTGCGCCCGTCCTCGTCCATCCTGGCCTCGCCCGCCGTCGTGCAGGCCACGGCCAGCGTCATGGGCGACGACGACGACGACTTCCGCTCCGTGTCCAGCAGCTCCACCGTCTCGTCTTTCGCGTCCACGGCCAGCGACTACCGCTGGTCCGGCACGGGCTTCGTGGGCAGCCAGAGCTTCGCGCGGCACACGGTGCCGCAGGTCGGCGCGGCCGGCAGGACGTCCTTCGCCAGCAGCCGCTCGAGCTTCGCCGGTAACTCATTTGGGGGCTCCATGGGCCCCGGATCGTCGCGCGGCAGCTGGTTCCCGGCGTCGTCGACAGTGTCGGACACGAGCGGACGGGCCTCGATGGCGTCCGTGTCCAGGGGCTCCATGATGGCCATGACGGCGCCGGACATCATCACGCCCGAGCTGGATATGCAGCGCGCCAAGATGGAGGACCAGCTCGTGCAGATGGGCCTGGTGGGCGTCGGTATGCCCCCTGACGGATCGTGCTTGCTGCACTGCATCGTGTACGAGATGTACCCGCTGCAGTGTCTGAGGGAGTACCCCGCGGGGATGACGGTGGTGAACGTCGGCGCGGCGGACGGCGTGGCGCCTCGACGAGTGGCAGCGGCGCAGTTTCTCAGGATCAAGCTCATGGACTATGCGCTGGAGCACATCAAGGAGCTCTCAGGCTTCTTGATGCAGGACGAGGAGGACGTGCGTGAGCGGTATGAGACCTTCAGGGACACTCCGGATGAGCAGGCGACCACGGCCGAACTGTACGCGGTGGCGAGCATGTTCAACATCGAGTTGGTGCTGATCTCCAACGACGAGAGCTTCCAGATCGACCCCGTGCTGCCGGTGGACGGCCTGCCGTCGGTGCGCGAAGGCCCGCGGCGCACGGTTACGCTGGGTTACTTGATCCCGGCCGACGGACTCGCTGGCCACTACATCTGCACGCGCGAACAGCGCGCGCAGGTCGGCATGCCTCAGAACACGTTTGTCGGAGGCAGCTACCGCGGATCGATCACAATTGGACCTCCGAAGAATATGAGCTGTGGCGCCTCGAATACCCGGCGCTTCGAGCGGATCCCGGAGCAGCGGGTCGAGTAAAGCCCTCGGATAGAAGTACAGACAACCAACCCCAGCACACACGCACACACACACATCAAGAGTAAGCGACGACGACGAAATGAACATAACAAACCAGCCTCGACAACGTCGAATGGACCAGAACGGCGGAAAAGTCCACGTACAAGCAGCACGAGAGTCCGCGAACGTGAGAGAAAGAGAAGCCTGCGGAAAGTTGCAGCAAGCAAGCAGCACCTGGAGCAATTGGCCCGAACCCAGCGAGCGTGTACACTATCGGGCCGCATTTGCAAGTCTTGCTAGCTCCTCTACAGTAAGGTTCATCAGATACCAACAACAAATGGAACTGCACGAACGAAGTGCCTTCTCTTCCGATATTTCTTGGCGTTATTAAAGAGCGTAGGCACCACCAGTACGATCGGCTACGGGAATATATGTACGTGAGCTTTTCGCCGGCCCCAGGCCGTGGCATCCGAGCGCTCGTGGTAGGCTTTGACCAAGGTGTTGATGTGCTTTTTCAGCGGATACTGTCAAGTGTGGAGCTCAGGGCAACTTTGACGAGGGAAACAAGTTTCAGAAGCTGAGTGTTTAGTCAGCTTCAGCGGAGCGTTATCGCAAGGGGGCAAGACTCGCGACGTATGCCATGTCAGGTCGCGCAGTGGCTTAAAGCTTGGACACTTCCACGACTTGAATTGGTCTCTAGCTGCCAAATATTAATGCGCTGACAGCAGCTTCGACTGAGAGTCTCGTAGACGCAGATCGGTCGCTCGATGCGTTCCTGGCCCCGTTGCCGGTGCTCCATGATATCTATCTAGGCAGCTCCGTGACAACGAGCTGATTCGATCTTTGTCTGAACGGAGTCAGCGCACCAAGTGCAGCTCGACGATATGAGCAAGCCCCCTCCGCAGGAACTCGTGTTCTTTTCCCACGTGGCAATTTGGGCACGCAGTCCAGCGGCTCATACGAGCGGGGATATCCTGGATCTCGCTTGTGGTGGTACGCTGGTACATGTACGTGGTGCTTCCAAGTCCAATAGCGAGGTCCCCAGTCCATCAGCTTTTGCTAAACATCATCTCGAAGATCAGGGGCATCTAAAACACGTGAAGGTGACGGCGGTGAGGGCATGTAGCGGGGGCATAATGATCCTGTAGTGGTAGCTGGAGGAGTGACTATGCTGGAGAATCGATGGAACTGGATTTTCACGTGTTGCTGAGCTCGAAGAAAAAGAAGCGGTCTTGTTGAGCGCACCGTGCTTTGCTATGCAGGAGATCAACAGTCAGAAGTTCCTAGTGCAAAACGCATCGGGTGTTGCCATCGATGTTGTTGTGGACTGGAGCTTCGTTTTGAAGCGTCAACGCTGTCATCAACAAGTGGTAGTAGTCAGAGTTCATACCAGACCGCGCAGGAATGACTCGGTCAATCTGAAGGATGAAACACCAAAGAATCAGGATTCTGGTGGATGAGTTCAGTTTACGGGTACGATTCTGGGTCAGAGCCGATATGCTTGTGCTGCGAGCGCTGGATGTGACCAGGAAGTGCGGATCTGGCAACGAAAGCGTTTTCGTGTACGCGAGTGTTTGGTTGCCGCCTCCATTTGCCAGTATCGCGAGCACGTAGATGTTGGCAAGTCGCCAGCCTGATGTCCAGGAGGGACAACAACTTCACTTTTGTTGTTCGAAACGAGATCGGATGATACCGGTATAGACACCATTGGTAGCCATGGCCTCGTACGAGTTTCCCTGCTGCACAATTCTTCTGCTCAAAACGCTGGTCGTAGTCAGAGAAAATGCCAGCAGGTCGGCGACTTCAACACAGAGCTATGTGAGTGTCTAGAAGAGGATCCGTGACGAAAATCGAGACCCTTCGCACCTAATTAATGTATTTTACAGACAGATCGAAAACAACGTGCGTAAATGAAAAGATGCATGCGTGAGCCACATCGATCATAGAATGCCTCAGACAATCTGCAGCTCGCATTGTGATGACATCGATTCCACTTCACCTTTACCAGATGGCAACACATCGGGATTCGGCTAAAGTACGAGCGCAGCTTCTGACATTGAAACTGGCAGGCATCCGCGCAGGTGCCCGAATGGCGGCGTCTCCCAGCTGCCGCTCTTCGGCGGAGTGGTCGTGGGCAACTTCGTCACGCGGACCTTCAAGTCAAAGGAGTACTTCGCTAGCTTCGCATGGAAGAATCTCAACGCTGAGGTTCCGAACTAAGAGTAGCGTTAAACATGATTCTCTCTCATTTTGCAAGATGTTGGTGACGGTTCATAATTAGTTATGAGAGGTCGCCTGGATTCATTCGATAGAGGCTCGGGCTAGTGACAGTAACGCGATGAGCACTTAGTCACTGCAGTACCAGCAAACATCACTCCGATGTACCCAGAGACCGTCACCTTAAAAAGTCACCAATTGCGACTACCTGCCATAATTAATACCGAAAGGACGCGCTTTGGTCTCGAAGCCCATGGGCCGCCCGCCCAAGGAGGTTCGTAGAACTACCAATGTCGTGCCATATATGGGCTGTCCACCACGGTTGAGGTGGCTCATTGAGTTGTTGTACATGGCGTCGTGTGCGCGCTCGTGGGGTCGTTCATCACGAGGCAGCACGAGTGGTACAGTACCAACCGCAAGGTTTCCCCCAGCTGCTACTACTGTAGTTTGGTTTGCGTCGCTGGACTCACAAATAAGATCGGGCCTCGAGCTTTTACGTACTTGCAGAAGACTGCCAACGAGCTTTCATTCCCTACTTCGTTTCCGACGAGACAACATGGCACCATCGCTGTGCGTGACTGTCTGCACGACACTCAGGTCTGCCGTCTCCTCGTTCCAGCTACGTATAGCAACAGCCTTTTGCTCTTGTCGGTATGTCACGCGCGCGTTCTTTCTCAGCTTACTCCTGCATTGAACTCTCACACTCCCGTGTCGCTCGTGTTTCACTTAAGGTTCTCGACTCCTACTGTGCCCACGGAGGATGAAGAAGGAGACGCCTCTGACAGTGACGATGAGTGGGGCATCGTACACGCCCCAAAAATTCCCTCAGCTCGTCCTCGACCGAGTCGTATCCGACTGAGAACAACGTCTCATGGCATCAGAGTATCTCTCGTTCTATCCGTTGCTGGCTGCCACCGGGCACCCTCCCGCCTTCGACTCCAGCGGTCTCAAGCGACATGGACGTTCCATGACTCAATACGGTGTCCACACATCGCACTTCGGTTTGTTCAAGACCCCGCGTTCACCATTGGTTTCGTGCTGCTGTCTCAGTTTGATGCTTACGTGACAGACCGCTTGGAGTGTGCCACTCGACGCCATGCTGAGTGGACGAAGGGCAGTGCACTTTGTTGGTGTCCGCGTCTTACTACAGCGGTAAACGTCAATGGAACGGAGATTGCGACCGTGCCGCAACGAGCCTGCACCGACAAACCCGCTTCGGAAGCTGCCCAACAAAATTCGGTGCACCTATCGGCGGGAACAATTGCGAAAGCTCAGGAGTCTAGAACACAGTCTCATCAGCAGATTAATGGAGTAAAGCAGGTGAAGTTGAGCAAGACAAAGGAGACGCGTCGGCCGTGGACACAACGATTCGCTCCAGAAGCGCGCTATATGAAGTACGAGCAGTCGGCCTCATACACTCGCAGGCGGCAGGAGAACATCGAGCGCCGGCGGCGGGCCTTGCAGCCAGCGTCCAGTACGAATCCAGCTGACAGCAAGTGTATTCCCGGTTCAAGAAGGCGGTTGGGCAGCAAGCATCTCGCCGAAGTATAGTAAAAGCTTGTAAACGCCACTACGAACATCACCATCACCTTAAAAGGGAAGTGAAAGATGTATACTGTATATTCCTACCAGAAAAAAATATTCGAAATGGAGTTATAGCAAACCTTGGAGTTTAGCATGGAAAATACAATTGCTGAGAAGCGCTAGGTTGTTATTTCTGTTGACGCTGTGGCTCTCACGAAGGCTGTTGCCATTCTTCAGTTTCTTGTTAGCAAGCAACCTCAAAGAGATATCACAGCCGGACTTTCATTGCTCTTGTGACTGTTACAGGGTTTTGGATTTTGAAGACTTTTTTCTCCCGAGGGTAATATATAATATAATATATGCCATTTGTCATCCCCCGCACTCTGTGCTACTCGCAGTCGCTATTTTCACTTTTGCCGCTTAGCAATAAGACTAGCAAGCAACTTCCGACGAGGACCATGACGACGGATTCTTGAAGTTGGCTATCTCGAGCGTTCATATTTTGCGATACGAGCACCGTGTCGCCCGCCATGAAGACCAAGCTCAACGAGTACTTTTGTGACCTACGCGGCACCGAAATTTGCGCGGATGAAGAGAAAGTCGACGATTTGTTGGGGCCACGGACAGCACAAGGAGATCGCGCCGCGATTGTGGAATTTCTGCAGAATCAAACTTTGGATTGTTCGGGGATCTCTTTGGGCGTACGAGCACGACTTTGTGGAGTTTTGCAATGCCAGAGAAGCGGCTGAGAAGGGGGGGGATAAGGCGACAGGTCTCCCGACGAGTGCCTCTCGTCGTTCTCGCCAGTCTCGATCAACCCAAGATGCTTTCAAGCGATGGCGATGAAGTGGCCCAAACGAATGTGGCTCGACTCGAGTTTATTGGAGTTAACTTATGGCGTTGCTGCACTTCCTCGAACGAAGTGAAAAGAGAAAAATGAAGACGCAGATGCTATGGATTTCAGAACGGGGCAATTCATGTTGTCCTATTGAATCTACATAGATTCGAAGAAATTGGGGAGAAAAAATACTTCCGTCTATCCATGCTATCTAAATACATGAAACAAGAAGGCAAGTGCTATTTGATCGCGAGTGAACGTACTATACCACCAATATTTTTGCATCAATATTCCTGCTAGTGGAAGTATTACAATCCAAATGTGCTACACTTGCACTTCTCTAAAACGAGTTGGCCTGATTATTTATTATCCATTCGCCTTACCTCAAAAACCGATAACTTGCCAGAAAAGCGCCGACTCCGTGAGTCACTACAAAAATGCTTCTTGTCGAAAACTTGACCGCCATGCTGTCTTTCGGGGCCCGTGCATGCTCCCGGAGCTCAGTAAATAGGTAGTCCATAGTATGGACTCCATACGGTCGGCTCGAATGCTGCTGCACCCGGAGTTCAAACCAAATCTGATCTCAGTGCTTCAAACAATATATATAGATATATATTTTCCAAATCTGTGGATGTAAGGCTGCAAACATCACGATAGTGTACACCTCGGCACACTCATGATGCCTACGGAAGAGTGTTGCCGACACTACTATAGCGTGCACTTTTCTGATCAAAATAGTGCCGCTGCAGGCAGCATGCCGCCATTGACGAAACGAGCACGTCTTTGCTGCAGGCTTCAACTTGCGACGTATAGCTGACCGACTTAGGTGTCGTATCGCACGGGTCGCTCGTCGGAGAACTGCTGCACGTGACTGCGTTCTTCTGTAATTCTACCTCGCGCTAAAAGTAGACCTAACCGAGCTTTTATCAGCAATTAAGAAAAATCGATTGATAGTGTGCAAAATTCCTAAGTTGGAATTTAGCGGCACTTTATATTGTAGAGTCTCGAGTACTGTAAGGATAATCATAACACGGATACCTACCACTCACTGACTAGGTACAGTGTAATCGTTTTACGGTAGGTGGTGGGTCGTCACTGGCAGTCGCAACTGTCCTTGCAATCAGATCACTGCGATAGTGGTCCGTACCATTGGCCCTCTTCAGCAAACGCTTGGAACCTGAAACCTGGAAGATAGTTCGCGGTTCCAGGGAAAATTGCCTTCAGCATGCTCATTTTTTTACCTGAAACCGCGAAAAATGTTCCAAGATTCCCTCGTTTGAGTGACAAAGTTTCAGGCAGCTCTGGGGCTCCCTGAAGCTTGGAACTTGTGAAACCGAATGTACTCTGGCCATTCAACAACACAGCAATAAAAGCCATGGCGAGCACCAACGAAGGCCAACATGAGGGCAACGCAATCGAGGGGCGTTTAGCATCGTGTTCGGCGCCGCTGATTGACGATCGAAAGCGCAACTGGGCGGAAGAGGCCGTCCTCGTGCTGGTGCGCTCGTGGCGCGAGGTGGAACGAAAGGGGCGACGGGAGGGCGAGAAGGCGAGCCAGTTCACCGAGCGCATTTGTGCCGCCTACAAAGCGGTTGTTAAGGGGTCACCGCGCTTTCCGAAAGCTATCGACGACAAAATGCAGGCGCTAAAGGAGATGTACAGGTTCATATGTGACTTCAACGGCAACCGTATCCAAGGAAGTACAGGCAAGCCAGGTTGGTTCGATTTAACAAAGCAGGAGAAGAAAGAGCTAAGGTATGAGTTTCATTTATTCTTGATATTTGAGTATTTATTCTGATATATTATGTTGTTGTCATCTACCTAGGACGTACCACCGTATCAAGAGTCCTAACATTAGCCAGCGCGTGTTCGACGCCATGGACAGTTTTTTATCCGGCCAGGCCGACACGTCCCCGCTGCGCGCGTCGTTTTCTGCCTCTGTAAGGCTTGCTGCTGAAGATACTCAGTGTAGCAGCCCTGACGCGCTGTTTGGCGACGACCGTGATACCGAAAACACGGAGAAGGACCCCCACAACACGGGCAGAAAAAGCGGTAAGCGAAAGCGCACAGACAAGTACGTACTGTAACGCAAAAGACGATGATTCTTCTCCATTGAACCGAAAAAAGTTACGTAACGCGATCTCTGATGACGAGGCCTCCTAAAACTTGTGAAAATTTGATCCAGAATATCATTCAGTCACAGCGCCCGAACAAAAAAGTACGACCTTCGTTTTTTTACTTAAAACTGAAGCATTCGCACATCCGCTCATTTGCGTCGATTTAGCTGCCCTAACAAAGTAAAATGGTACATGAATTGCAAATTTAGAGTTGTTTGTGGTGCCTAAAACGCGGCAAAAACAAGAAACCATGTGAGGGACAAAATGGATAAGTCAACAGTCACACAATTAGTTTACTCGTTTTCGTCAAGCGCCCAGCAATCGTGATCCACCAATTGAGTCTAGCTTCAAGAAAAAAAGCTTGCCAATACGGTATTGCGCTCCAAAGAGTAAACACATCAATGCATGGATGGAAACCGGATCCTAGGAAATCCATATGCGCTGACGCCAATGCATTCGACAGAGCTGATTGTTGTGCGGGAGGCGATGGAATGAATACAGTACCCGCACCTCGTTCCAGCCTCACCTTACTTTCAATTTTCCGGAGACCAGAACACTCACCGCCACCACACGCCCAACTCAAAGCGCCATGAAGCTTGCCGCCGTCCTCGTTCTCGCCGCACTAGCAATTGTTGGTACCTCCGCCGACGGCTCCTACAGCTGCGGCTGGGGCTCTTGCCCCAAGACGGACCCTCCCGTTTGTGGAAGCAACGGTGTCACCTACAACAACAAATGCGACTTCGACAAGGCCAACTGCATCGGCGGTAATCTCAAGTGGCACGTGGCGCACCAGGGAAAATGCCGGAAACTCTAAGCAGGAGGACGAACTCGGGGTGGGTGGTTGCAAGACCTGAGCTACCAGTTGAAAGGGGTCGAATCGACCATTTGAAGGAATGGGAACAACGACCTCCCGTAATAAAAACGAAGAGTGGTGATCCTACAATCTTCCTGATGGAATAGTCCTAGTCGATATCAGGTCTGCCGGCACAACTTCCTTGTCGGTCTACAACAAAAGACTTTGTCCTTAAATCTTTTTGCCAGCGTAGCTTTCGACACGCCGCTATGGCCTAGCAATGAGACATACTAGCTATCCAGAGGGTAATTTATTATCTCGTCGTTGTCACAATTTTTTTTTGCTTATTTATTCCCTGGGAGGTAACTAAGTGTTCAACCAGTAGCGTTCGAAGCTTGGCTGCAGCCGTTTACCCCTTGCAAACGTTCTCTGTCTTGTGCTTCATCACCTTCGAGGTCTCCAGCACAGCAAACGACGAGACGGCGTTGTCCATCCCGAACGCGGCAAAGTCGGAGATCTTCCCGGCGCTCGTTTTCACCACCGCCGCCTTGCCCGTGCAGTTGGCGCCTTTGTAGAAGGCGATTCGCGCCTGTCCGTCGGTGTAGGCCGTCCCCGTGGTCGGGAGCTCCGCCCACTGCACTGAAGAAATGCTGCCACTGAGCGTGGAGCAGGGCATGTCGTAGCAGAGATCCGAGGCGGAAGCGTGGATGATGCTGCGCAGACTCTGGACATTGGCCTCCTTGAAGAAGCGGAGCTGCCCATTCATTGCGGTAGCGCTGTGGCCGCTGCACGCGACTAGTAAGGTGACGAAGAGCACGAGTGTGACAGCACGAGGACTCATTGGCACCAGGCAGGTAATTTGAAGAGTGAGTGAGGCTGCCGACGTTGCGGCTTTAGTGTTAAGAATCGGGTAGCGCCCGCTACACCAGTAATTCAGGATGGCATTACCGTCGCCCTCGGATGATGCCAGCAAGGCGGAATCCAAGGGTACTGAAGCGATGTCAGCTTGGAAAGGTGCGTCTTTACAGATAATCGTTCGAATCGACCGTATATCGCCTTCGAAGTAATAGACAATTATTTTAGTCTCTGTTTTGTGGACTTCCTCTATAGATTCTAAGAAAACCCTTGAATGGCCTAGCAGGCGAAATACAGGCTGTATTTCGCCTGCTAGGCCATTCAAGGGTTTGCTGTATTATACAGCCACGTGTACAGGTATGCCAGCCCAATTACTCGATTAGAACAATTTCAAGCATTCTCCTGCGCACAACAGGGCATCAATAGATCGCACCACAGCGAGCATCGACTCTTAAAAAAATAATGAAATAATGCACAGTGATCAGCTCGAGCCTGGTCGCAGTAGAACTAAACTTGAGAATTTCTAGCTGCTTGCTACAAAACAACTACGGCCGCCTTCGAGGCGGCCGTAGGACCAAAAGACTAGGGCTAAACGCTGATGACTACATCTATAAATATGAACTAGCACTTCACTGTATTCTAAGCTTGTTTCTTTAAGTGGTATTTTGCTTTTTATGGGTTTCAATTCTCTGCCCGGTATGATACATCGACTGCCTTTTTAGGAGGAAGATTGTATTCAGGTTGGTCACAAGCCCCGGTCTACCAGTAAGCCAACCAACGAACAGCTTCGGCCCATATATTGTTGGCGACGAAGCGTTCGAAGCCGAGGATAGTTTGAAGCCTGACTTTCAATCGGTGAAGCTGGCAAGCACAAACGCCAAACGATACACAACGGCAAGCAACTTACAGTGGTTTACGATTTTTCTTGAAGTAGATGTAGTGTTCCACGCACACACTGTGGTAGCTCTATCTCAGCCATTTTCTCGTTGATTTGGAGCCTATGGGGTAATCTAGCAACTTACTAACACGTTTTCAAACAGCATTGCCGTAATCCACTGGTGTTAAGTGGACGTCTACCACCAGCTCCATGAAAAATACTGAAATCCGCTCGATCGATACCCTCGATTTTAAAATCGCCAAGCCACGCTGCCCTGCCTTGCTGAATCTAAGAGCTATGTTGATCGTTAGTACCTTGCTCTAAATGAACACAATGTACCTCACCATGAAAATGGAAAAAAAAATTAATCTACGAGCTCTCGTATCGTCACGCATGCGCTCTTCGTTGTCTTCGTAGCCGCGTGTTGCGGCCATACTTGTGCGACTTCAATGGGCGGGGAGCTGCACTTCTTCACGGAGCCCATTATAAAAATGTACGCAGCTTCTTCACCATTACCGAGGGGGATCACTGCTCCGACATGCCATGCGCCTCACTCTGTGCCGGTATTTCTTCAGCGAGGTGGATTCTGCTCGCAGCCACGGGGACGGCCTACGCTACTGGACAGGTGCGGATCGGCGGGCGGCAAGTGCACGGGCAAGGCGGCGGTAGTAAAAACGAACGTCGGGAGGATTTCAGACTTTGCGATGTTTGGACTCGACAACGCCATCCTGTCTTTTGTCGTGCTGGAGACCTCGATGGTGATGAAGGACAGGGCGGCCAAAGGTTGTGAGAAACACTCGTGAATGCTTGTAGCAAGCTACGAGCGTGGCTCGTTGAACTTTTAGCTCCCAGTGAATAACTAGGTACAGTCGGGTATTCTTCCGCCTCCTAGTTTTTTTTTTAAATTGCTGCAACAATTCCTGCACTTTAGGCGCTTCATTCCGTACAACCTTGCTGGTAACCCCCAAACGAAAAATGGACTGAAAAAGAAAAAACACAGCTTTCAGACTCCGTTGACGGTGAAACTTTTGCTTTCGTTCGTTCCAAACAATTGAAACGTGCAACTGTTGCGTAGCTACGTGGTTCAGCAAAGCGGTCAGGTCTTATTAATTCGTTCCGAGCGTTGTCACAACAAATATGTCTTCGCTCGATCATCCAGTCACCGAGGTCCTACCACATTTACCACTCACAAACGTTTTTCGCCTTGTGCTTCATCACCGTCGAAGTCTCCAGCACGGCAAAAGACGAGGTGACGTTGTCCATGCCGAACGCCGCAAAGTCGGGAACGTTTCCGACGCTCGTGTTCACCACAGCCGCTTTGCCCGTGCAGTTGCCGCCCGTGTAGAAGGCGATCCTCGCCTGTCCATCAGCGTAAGCCGTCCCCGTGACTGGCATCCCCGTCCATCTGGCTGACGAAATGCTGTCGCTGATCTGGCAGGGCATGTCGTAGCAGAGATTCCCTGCAGACACGATGATAATTTGGCGCAGTCTCTTGAACTCAGGCTCCTTGTAGATCCGCAGCTCCGCACTCATCGCAGCCGCATGTTGAACGCTGCACGCCATTAAGAAGGCGACGAAGAGTGCGAGCGTTGAGAAGACACGAGCGCTCATTGCTGAAAGGAAAGCGCGGCCTGGTAGTTTGAAGAGTGAGGATGCCGTGTAGGATATCTCCCCGCTTGAAAATATTCACTTAGTCGTAGACGTCCACTAAAACTCCAGTAGATCGGGATGGCATTCCTCTGGTTTATCTTCGACCTCGGATGATGCTAATATTTTCGAGCTCGTCGCTAACTTTCCAAGTAACTCAATCGATTCATATTATTTTATCGTCACGTCCCCAGTATTGTTACATTTTTGCGGGTTCGTTCATCAGTCAGCACGTCACGAATTCGCTGCCAAAGTATAAATTCCTCAGTCCTCGCAAAACCCCCCACAGTCGAGAAAACACGAACATGAATGTAGATCCAAACTCGCCGTCGTGAGATAAGTCCTGGTCTTTGCCCAGTTCTCGAATGCACTGCTGGTAGTGCTCCACATTGGCCCCTCCCGGGTGTTCCGACGGCGCGTACGACAGTCCCCCGTGCGAGAACGACTCTGTCAGTGACTCAATGTTCCAGCAGCTGTCCGATACAAGTCGTCTTCTAACTCCATTCCGACTCAACAGGTGCGACAGATAGTAGTCATCCCCCAGGAAGCAGGCCTTGGACATGTTGGCCACCTCGAAGGCCGACATCGTCGCCTCCTCCAGGCCGAAGAACTTGCGCTTCACTGCGACTCCACCCGCCCCTCCCACGAACGACACGCTGTTGACCCCGACCGCGAGGCTGCGTCCACAGTACAGATCGTCCTCGGCCGAGATCCAGCCGCCCAGCACCGCGATGGCGTCGTCCGGGTACTTGTGCGTGTAGTGCAGCGCGCGCTCGCACAGCTGCGTGGGGTAGATGCGGTCGTCGTCGCCGTACACGATGACGGTGTCCGGGTCCTGCTCCACCAGCAGCGTGCCCAGCACCTTGCTGGCCGGGCCGAAGTCCGTGTCCAGCACGATGAGCCGGAGCTTGTCGTGGTACGGACTCGCCCCCGTGGCGAACGTGATGCCGCGGAACTCGCTCTGGTTGAGCTTGGTGCGGCCGTCCAGCAGCCACTCGGGGATCTGCACGGCCTGGTCGCGGTACGTTTTGGGCACGATGACGTACACGGCGTCGAAGCCGTCGCCCTCCTGGCGCACGAGCGCGTCCACCGTGGGCTGCATGTCGTCGATGCCTCTGGGCGTCGTCGTGAAGCTGAAGACGATGCGGGGCCGCGCCTGTGCCGCGCTCATGGACGTGGACGCGAGGGCCGTGGACGAGTTGAAGGTGCAGAGGAAGACGGTGACCCACGCCACGCTCGTGGCCAGGAAGCACGCGAACCAGCGCTTCCGAGACGAGAGCTCGTCGCCGTCGTCCGACACGAGCGACGACTCGAGCACGACCTTCTCCGGCAGCAGCTTGGCCGACTGCCGGACGCGTTGCAGCCGTCGCCGCCGACGGTGCCGGACGAGCAGCACCGACAGCGCCGACAAGCCGGCCAGCAGCGACAGGAGCGAGATCCGCGGGATCATGACCCGCTCGGCATACAGGTCGATGCACGAGTCGCCCAGCGAGTGGCCGCTGCTGCCGAGCGAGGTGCGCAGCGACGACGAGGCCATTGAGGTCTGCAGTGTATGCATTTGCTTGGAGCTTGGCCTTGGAATTCTGCGAATGCCGGACGGAAGGCGACGGCGAGGTGAAGCTGGTGTTGGAACGGCAGTAGGCTGTCGCACGCCCCAAGGTTCATGACGGCTTTCATCTTCGAGTCATGGCCACGGATGCGACAAGAGCAGATTGCACCGCCAAAGATCAAGTCTGAACATGAGTACGCGCTTACTTTACCCTGATAATACGTTAATACCTGTTAAAGGAGATTTATCGGTTTAGACAAGTAATATACTGCTAAATTCGATAAAAAACCTTCCTAGATCCATAATTTGGATGTGTCGGGTAAAGTTGTAGGGTCGTACCCATGTTGACGTCGCTCTGACCTTCGCGGCTGACTCCGTGCGGTAATCATGATCGCCATCCGCGGCGACATCATCAAAAATGCACTTTTGAATGGCGCTGCTGGCATCTGCTGCTGGTCATTGTTGGTTTTACAGCGCATTGGTCACGCTGCGCTGCGGACGTTGGTGTGGCCAGCTTCTCCATGCTGGCCGCGTCGGTTGCTTGCCAACGTAGCGTCAAATCCAGCGTCGGGGAGCCCAGCCGGCGATTATGCGGCACCTTTCGATTTCCTCGCGACTTCGGCGCGCGGTGCACGCAGGTCTCTTAGCGACCTGTTGCTTTTTGTGAAAAGCTTACAAGCTAAATACCCGCGCCCCCCCTTGGCTGAGCCCCCGGGTCTCGCTCTGTCGAGCTCTCCCCGTGGTGTGGCTCAGCCGGTGGGTGCGGAACTAAAATGTTTTGCACTGCAAGCTTATAGCGAATTTCGTTTTCGATCTCGAGAGAGCGCCCAATACAACTAGGTTTAACTTCTTCAAAGCCAGCAACTTGCTGATTCCAGCTATGCGGGTGTTCTACAGCGCATTGGGTGCACTACACGCAAGTCTCTTTGGCATGCACACGGGGCCATACTGCTGATGTCAAGATAACACTATCCAGGCTGCACTGTGATCGATATCGTGGGCAATAGGTTCATAGCAGTAGCCGCCGGGTACGTAGAGAGAAAGGTATCTAGTATGCGGGGCTGAAGCAGAGCTGGCCCTGAGTGCAATCGGCGTTAACCGCATAAAATAAAATAGAAATAAAACAAGATAATGTCCTATACATGTTCTGCAGCACATCAATGCATGGAAGACCATCAGTATAAAACTGGTTAGTAAGTATCCACTCAAAAATGGCTTGCATAAAGTAGGGGTTTAAAGCAGCTTTAAGTAGGTAGCACCCCATATAAAACCTCGCATTTAAGTAAGCACTCAGAGCAACTTGAATAAAGTATTGGCCAGAAGAAGTTTCATTCACTTACACGTAGTTTCATTCAGCTCCTCTATAGTTCCGAATCCATAATTTGCTAATATTTCCACTAAAAGCTACTGTTACCCATTAAAAGCTAGTGCTTACGCTGAAATCTCAAAAAATGCTTTAGCTCAGAGCGCCGCGCGAGCACATTTACCGCGGGGGGGGGGGGGGGGAGTCCGCACCAGGACAAGCTCCAGCTCATCGTGCCGGATACGGACTTCGATCAGCGAGGTGCTGGGCACGCTCGGCGCGCTCGAGCTGGGCTTGTAAACGGTGTATTTTCTCCTCCGCCTGCTAAATCAAGCCCCCGACACCGTCATCGTGTACGGAGACGACGACCGCAGCTACTCCACGCAGCTGTGAGAACGCACTCTGCACGATACACACAAGTGTAGCTATAACTTGACGCTCAGGTATTGGGAGTATGCGCAAGCTTTTACTTAACTGTAAAAGATCTCGCTTCGCCTCATTACATGCACCTAAACTCACGGTTGCTTCACATTACTGCAAGCATATACAAAGAGCCTACTGTTGTAAGCAGGTATATTAGCAGGCTCAGTGTACAACGTACAAATTCACCACACCGTTGCACTCGATATCATACGAGCACGCGCTGCACTGTACACACAAGTGCAGGTTATAACTTGCCGCTCACGCCTTTCTCAGTATTGGGAGTCTGCGTGAGCTTTTACTTAATTGCTGGCAGCAACGTCAAAAGACCCGCTTCACCTCATTACATGCGCCTAAACTCGCGGTACAAAGAGCATCGTTGCTACACCTTACTACAAGCATCTACAAAGAGCATGCTCGTTCTCTGCGATGCCTGCCGTTGTAAGCAGGTATATTAGCAGGTTCAGTGTACAGCGTACAAGTTCACTACCACAGCCCATTGCTGTCGATATCACCCAGGTGCGTAAAGCTTCCACAGGATGCATAGTAATATAGTCTTGCTAAATTGTCCTTGAATATATTATCCCAAAGCACTACTTCTACATGCAATAAAGTAGTGACAGCTAAGACAGAAACGTGATACTGTATTATTTACACGGAGAATGAAAGAGTACAATATGTCATTTTATTGCTTGCGTCTAGATCACGATGTTTTACCAGTATTTCTATTCGTGCACTAGTAGTATACTTGCCCCTCCTACTACTGCAATGATAGATAAGATTGCTATTTCTTCTCATATTCAAATGTACCGGAAACAGATGCAGTCGTACTATTAGTGCGGTAGACTTTGTGCGATGTTATAACAAGCAAACTTCGCGCGCACAAGAGTTCAGACTGTCAACACAGTACATGATACGTTTAAAGTACTTTCACGCAACATCAAGACCATACATAAGCGGCGACACAGGCAACATTCATGTAATTTATGAAGTTTCTAGGGTTTTAACTATGGAAAGTACCACTGTATCAGACAAACCACAACTTTATGTAATTAGTGCTTAATGGACTATCTCGTTTTGCTAGCTACCACAATATAACTTGACTAAGTTGTTGCGCTAGTTATTGGCGGGGGATCCAAATCCGACTGGGGTGGAAGAATTTTTTCATGTCCGTATTCCGACATGACATGGATTTCGATCTGGCCCTCCCCAATACAATAATCAATAATATTGATTATTGGACTATATTATAGTCCCGGTGCATCAAATCGTACATATGCGAACAGGATAGGCGACGTCGATTGTAGCGACGTAACAACGATGTAGCATGCCAGTGTGAGCAGCGCTAACTGCGAGCTTGGTTGCTGCATGCACCCACAAGGTTGTTTGAGTAGGTGGTAGGCAAGGTGAGGCCAATGGACCCGTTAGCTCATGTGTTTATCTGGGTACCGGTCAACATAGAGCGCCTTCAGGCTCAGCTTTAGCAGAAAAGTGGGTCATCCCTCCCACAATTTTCAGACCAAACGTCATGTCATATCAGAATAAGACCATAGAAAAAGCTAACCGACTGGGGTGAATACTGATAATAGCTCACAACAATACTACTACTGTGCCTTTCACGTATTTTGGCGGGTGAGCTGTTAATTCAGGCGGAATTAGAGTCATAAAAGGGCGATCAACGCTTATTTAGTGCTAATTCTGCCTAAGATTGTGAGCGCTTCCCCTAACATCCGCGATCAGCATTTAAGAGCCAATCGACGGAGATACGAGCAGAATGGCATGGATTGGCGGGTAGGAAACCGCCAATCGCTCTGTTTCCGCCTAACGCAGACTGGATTAGCTTATTCCGCCTTGAGTCGGCCTCACCATCGCCGCTCCTAATTCGGCCACGAATGGGCGACCCGGAATTAACATGGAAATGAGCTAACTCGGGGCATAATTAAGGTCGATAAGGGATTAGAGTTATGCCAGAATTATCACGGCAGAATAAGTGAAAGGCACAATACTACTACAGCTACTATTATCACTACTATAACTACTATATACATCCAAGCAAGCACCGACAAAGTATTGTGAGAACCGGCTAAAATGCCCATCTGTAGCAACCCCTTATTAGATTTCAACTACTTAATTAATCAGAGTACAAATCAGGGCTGAAATCGATCGTGGTCTAGATGCATCGCTTGGCTGCGCGATTGACCAGTAAAAGGTGGGCACTCTGCTCCAAACGCGGCTATACCGACTTGACTTCAATTAAATGATCGCCTAATCTGCTGCATCGCAGGACGCGATCGATTTGGAGTTAAATCAGGGTGCTAATCGATCGATTTACGACCAAAATAGGCAAAAGAAGCGGTTTTCACAATAGCATTTGCACAAAGCCAACTTTTAGAAGCGCAGCATAAATCGTCTTACTAGCCGTGTCTACGCTCGCGAGTTCAAACAGTAGAAAGTGCTATGAAAATGAGTTGAGGATGAAAACGTTACACTCGGTCAAGCTAAATAACAGAGTGCTACGTGCATTTAATATATTTGGTGCAGCTAAAAGAATAGTTATGGTGACATTGGCAACTACAATTTTCAAATCTTGCAAAGTAATGTAGCACATTCTACTACAACACTAAAAGGTGGCGTACAAAATCTCATAGGGTCTCCAGCGAAGCACATAGATCCTGATAGTACGCGTCGTATTATTTGCGTGATACAATGACTGGGGCGCGCTTCGCGTGCGGGTCTCTAAGCGGACCGAACAATTTTGTGTTTTTTGCTACTAAAACGGTTAGGACGCGCCGCGCCTCAGCGCCAGTCTGCACTTGTTACTGTTATTAACATTATCACCACTATTTTTGTGAGTACTATACATGAAACGCTTCATATTACTACAAGAAACTTAAATTTTCATACTATTATAATTGATGTTGACCAGGGGTATGAAAAAAATTTCAATATGAAAATTGTCAATTAATATGACGAAAATATGTGTTATTGGCAAGCGCCACATTGAAATTTGTATTATTGGCTCGTATGATTTCAGGGTATTCAAAAACACAGTCAAGGCGCATGGAATTGAAATATTTAATCAGTATAATAATTAGCTTTGGTTATCGTCATATTTAAATCATTATTACTGTCAAGCAATTTTACCAATTCAATATAATACTGAATTGGAGGGGCCCTGATGTTGACAACATCATGTTGCAATTGGTATTTATTGCAACTGCCACTGTCGCCACCACTGCCATGCTACAGCTACTGCGGCTGCTACTGTCACTGCTACTGCCACTGCTTCAACCACTGTCACTGACACTGGCACTATCGCTGCTGCTCCTACTCCTACCTCATCACTACTTATATTGCTATACTACTCATATTCCACTATTGTTAAAGATATTGCATTTGTTATGCTACCTGTGGCGCGCGTTACTGCTGGTCACAGGCACTATCTTCTTACCACTACTGCAACTACAGCTGGAGCAGCTGTACTACAGCTACTACAACTACTATTTCACTACTGTTAATGATGTCATAGTAATGTTGTCATTGATATTGCTTGTTCGTATCTGCTGCTATCGCTACTGCGACTGTTTATTATCTGCTGCCACTACCGCTACCGTTGTTATTTACGCTACAACTACGATCTCAGCATTGATAATGGCACTGTAATGATATTGCTCCTGCTTTCTTTTTCATGCCTGAGAAAGACTGCCAAAATCTACTCCATACTGCTTGGCTTGCTGCATAATATCACGGGGCATTTCATGGCTTGCTCAAACTAAATTTATAAGTAGATGCCATCTGAATATCGCCGTCCACCGTGGTGAAAACGACGCGATCCAAACATTATCGATGATCTTATCGTCCTCTAGACCCTTGTAAATCACTCTCCTCTTTTCCAAATAATGTGTGTGACTTGTACTGCTGCGTAAGTAATATCAATATGACGTATTGTGCCTTTCACGTATTTTGGCGGGTGAGCTGTTAATTCAGGCGGAATTAGAGTCATAAATGGGTGATCAACGCTTATTAGTGCTAATTCTGCCTAAGATTGTGAGCGCTTCCCCTAACATCCGCGATCAGCTAATCGACGGAGATACGAACAGAATGGCATGGATTGGCGGATAGGAAACCGCCAATCGCTCTATTAATAACGAAGGCTGGATTAGCTTATTCCGCCTTGAGTCGGCCTCACCATCGCCGCTCCTAATTCGGCCACGGAGGGACGACCCGGAATTAACATGGGAATTAGCTAACTCGGGGTATAATTAAGGTCGATAACGGATTAGAGTTATGCCAGAATTATCACGGCAGAATAAGTGAAAGGCACAATAATTTTTATTCAGTATATTGCTATTGGAATTGTTCGCCTGCGTCACGATCACTGCCAGCTACCACTGCAACTGCCCTACTGTCAATGCCACCGCTACTGCAACCGCTATTAGTTACTGACTTTGAAACTGATACTGTTATCGCTATTTCTGTTACTATCTTTTTTTTGCTCACCCCACGATCAGGAAGAAAACTGTTAAGGTCTACAGTACTCCATGGTGCGTGAGTTGTTGCAACCCAGTATAATGTCATCCAACGAGACTTCTTCGCGAGCCGCACCTAGTAAAATACCTCTATTTTTACGAACTACATATGCAGTTTACACGTTACTGCAGTTATAAAGTACGCGGTGCAAATTGGCGCTAATTTCGCTGCGCCATGCGTTCATATTGCTTTACTTAGGTTCTTGCTGCAGCAAACATCACGCCCATCTAAGCGAGCACTCTAAAGTGCACCACCATGGACTTGTCCGTCTATATCAATGTAGATACTGGTACTCAATATGATGCGACGTCCAGAAAACACTACGCATACTACTGTGGTGCGACGTCCGGACACTGCATACACTACTGTCGCGCCATGCGCACTCCGTTTTGGATTCCGCAGCCTGCATGAGCCCCAACGTCGCACAGTACCACAGTATGCATCGTAATGGTGGGTGTGAATTAAACCGCACATTTTGTTTTGCTTAAGTTTTATTCCAAATCCAAAACCACGTCAAAAGCATCGATCCGGTTGCTTTATACCGGTAATACCATGAGATTTTGGATACTCTGGTTCATATTAAAATGTACCGAATGTATTAAACTGATGGTCTGACAAGAAATGACGCTGGCTCCAAGCTATCCGCTTAGAGAACAACTTGTAGTTATCATTCGCTGAGAGAAGCATGCGTGCAGAGCGCGCCTTAGTTTTAAACGAAAGATTGCGTCAACTTTTGGCCAAAACCTGTGAAAACGGAGGGTTTAATGCTCGGCACTTCGGATGATGACGGAATCTTGTTTTATACAGCGCCCAGCATCGCGCCGCGACCTTTAGGCATCGGCTATTATTGTCGGCAGCTACAGCTACTATTGCTGTGCGTCGGCTTGGATTGCAAGCTAGTATTGAAGGAGAGTGTTGTAGCAGTGTAGTAGATCGCCTTTGAATTGCGAGCGATCTGTAGATGATGCCTCGATGGTCCGCTTCATTGGGGCAAATGCATTGATGTGTCGCGTAAAGCTGCTGGCTCTCAGCTTTTCGCTGAGAGAACAAAGGGTGTTACACCCCTGAGCGTTGTGCTCTTAGCCTTCGCTAAGAGAATGGGGACGCTGCCGGCAGCAGCTTTGCTGCTGCTGCTGCCCAACGCGCGCTGTACTGTACAGGAACCGGTTGGTAGCAGAGGTGGCAGTGCCGTCCTCATGGTTTTCCTGTCGACAGGAAACGGATGAAGCGGCGAAGTTCGATCCAATGGGTCATTTTGCCGGCGGTCCAGGCGGCGTCGTGCAGGCAGGGGGGCACATTTGGCTTGGGACGCTTCAGTTGTGAGTCGGCCGGCACGAAAGTGGATACAGTGCCGAGAGCAACTTCCAGTCTGTCTTCATTTCACCCTGCCGTTGACCTCGGAAGAGACTCACAGTTCCAGCCTCACACCGGAAATGCAATCCATCCGCGGCGTAAGCTTTGGCGCGGACGAAGCAATCCGCGCAGCTGCGCCGATCGACCAGCGGCGTTGAAGCGCGACTGGCGCGAGCCATGCTAACCTGGCGCCGCTATGAGCTGCTTCAATCCACCAGCTTTCAGGAGGCCGCTGTAGCCAGCCCCCTGTCACCGGGGAAAGGAGCCGTTGCCTCACGACCTCTTTTCACTGTTAGAGCAGCAAACTCAACGCTGACTTCCGGCAACGCGGCTTGTCGGTCCGCACGCGTTTTAACGGAACTGTCCAACGATCAAGCAATCGATGTCCACTTTTGCTCTCGCTTCCGTAAATATGGTCTCTCAGCGTAAAACTTATTTACGCAGGTCTTTACTGATACTCCACTCAACATTGCGTCTTTTAATCTTCACAGGTTACGCGATCTCACAGTATTTTCTTGGATTTGCTGAAACCGGGGGGTTTAATCGATTCGCCAGCCGTGCACCGACATCTGATCGATGAGCTCAGTCACTCACAATCGAATCCGCGACGGACGCCATGGCCGACGCCGGGTCCTCGGACGACGCCGAGAGCGCCACGCTCACCGCGCTCTCGAGCTGCGTGACGACCGTGATCGAGAACGACCTGTCCTACGGCCTCTGCGTCACCAACTCGGGGCTCTTCGACCTCCTCCCGCCCGACTTGCTCGACAACAATGACAACAACTCCAGCTCCTCCTCTTCCTCCTCAACGTCCTCGTCTTCCGCCAGCTCCTCGGACGACTTCAGCGGGGACTCCGTGTGCCGCGTCATGTGCTCCAAGCAGTCGTCCAGCGCCTCGGCGTCGTGCTGCGCGGCCGCGGCCTCCCTCCAGGCCTGCAACACGTCGTCCAGCGCTGTGGCCTCGTGCAAGGAGCTCTTCGACAGCGTCTTCACGTACCAGAGCGAGTGCGACGGCGGCCTCTCGACCGCCAACTCCCTCCTCATCGCGGTGGTCGCCGTCGTCGTGGCCGTCATCGCAGCGGTCGCGGTCTTCTCGCGTCTGTACGCGCGCAGACACAACAACCAGAACACTAACAACAGCAAACTCCAGACGCTTTCAGCCTATAGGGGGCCCGCGGCCCGCCTGGCGCAGACGTGGAGACAGGTGACCAACCTCGTGTGGAAGAACATGGTGCTGCGGCGCCGCCGGCCCGTGTCTCTTGTTGTGGAGCTCTTCCTGCCCGTGCTGCTGTCCACGGCGCTGCTGCTGCTCGCCAACCTGGACAGTTTGTCGGGCGGCTGGCGCTCGCAGTGGTTCACGTCCGAGGCGGCGCAGCTGGAGGCCAACGAAACGCTCATCTGCAGCGACCTGGCGGTCTGGGGGCTCGAGGCCATCGGCGGGCCGTCCTCCACCATGACGTCCTTCTACACGGGCGGCCAGTCGGTGCTGGGGCTCTTCTTCCTCGTGAGCTACATCAAGTTTGTGTCCACGACCACGACCACCATGGTCATCGAGAAGGAGAACCGCCTGCGCGAGGTCATGAAGATCATGGGGCTGTCGGACGCCACGCTGCTGTTCTCGTGGTGCCTCACCACGGCGGTGCTGGCCACTCCCTTGGCCTTCGCCATCTCCGCCGAGCTCAAGTACGGCAACGTGTTCCCCACCACCGAGTATGCGACGCTCGTGTTCCTCTTCTGGAGCCTGAGCGTGGCCATCACGGCCTTCTCGTACTTCGTGGCGCCGTTCTTCAACAAGTCCCGGACCGCCGCCATCGCGTCCGTTTTGCTCTGGCTCATCCTGTTCTTCCCTTACTTCGCCGTGCAGTCGGCCGACACCAACGCGCCGCGCTACTGGGCCGCGCTCTCGCCTCCCACGGCGTTCGCGCTGGCAGTGGACGAGATTCTGCGACGCGCGCAGCTCGGCACGGGCTTCGCGTACTCCGTGGGGCTTCGGGAAGAGCCTGTGACAGTGCCCAGCGCGTTTAGAATGAGTTTGTTTCTGATCCTCGACTCTGTGATCCTTGTGGCGCTCGGATGGTACTTGGAGCAGGTTCTACCGCAGCAGTACGGCGTGAGGAAGCCCTGGTACTTCCTGTTCACGAAGAGCTACTGGTTTAGTAAGATTGATGACGCCCCTGAAGACGACGTACCATCGACGAGCACGGATACTCACGCGCTGTCGCCTCAAGCCGGTGGGGCCTACGCGCGGCTGGTGGATGGAGTACAAGGTCCAAGCGCCAAGACGCCGGAGCAGGTGGCTGAAGATGCGACTGTGGAGCCGGTCAATGCGGCGCTGGCCATGCAGGAGCGCAACGGCACGTGTTTGCAGATCCGCGGCTTGAGGAAGGTATTCCCGCTGGAAGAAGACGGCGAGGAGCGAGTGGCGGTCGCTGGACTGGATCTGGCCATGTACAGCGGACAGATCACGGCGCTGCTGGGCCACAACGGCGCAGGTAAGACGACGATCATCTCCATGTTGACAGGTCTGACCCCGCCCACGGCAGGAGACGCGACGTTGTACGGGTGCTCCATCAAGCACGACTTCCAGGAGCTGCGGAGGGTTATCGGCATTTGCCCCCAGCACGACGTTCTGTTCCAGGATCTGACGGTGGAGGAGCACCTGCTGCTCTTCGGAACCATGAAGCACGTGCCGCGAGAGAAACTGCAGAGCAGCGTGGACAAGATGATCGAGGATGTCGGACTCACAGAGATCCGTCACGCGCTCGCGAAGACGCTTTCTGGAGGCCAGAAGCGCAAACTCAGCGTAGCGCTCGCGTTCCTAGGCGGCAGCAAGCTCGTCTTCTTGGACGAGCCCACGTCGGGCATGGACCCGTATTCCCGGCGCTTCACGTGGAATTTGCTCCAGCAGAGCCGCGAGGACCGAGTCATTGTTTTGACCACGCACTTTATGGATGAGGCGGACATTCTGGGCGATCGCATCACGATTCTGGCGGACGGCCAACTGCGTTGCGCTGGGTCATCGCTCTTCCTGAAGAACCGCTTCGGTGCAGGGTACAACCTGACTATGATCAAGGCGGCGGACGGATCGTGCCACGTGCAGTCAGTGCAGAACTTCCTGAAAAAATACGTCCCCGATGTCAAGCGCCTGAGTAGTTCCGGCTCGGAGCTCGTATTCCAGCTGCCGACTGCGTCGTCGGAGGCATTCCCCGCTATGCTGGAGCAATTGGATTCGGAGATGCATGAGCTTGGAGTGCAGCAGTACGGCATTTCGGTGACTACGCTGGAGGAGGTTTTCTTGCGGATCTCTCAGGACCATGAAGAGGAACAGCGTATGCCGCCTACGTTGGATCGAAAGCCGTCCACGTCTGTGCTAGACCGTACCACGTCGTTGAAGTTGGTGTCGACAGGAGGAGCGGTAAACCTGCCGTCGACTGCGCCTCCTATCACTGAGCCGTCGATGTGGACCCAGTACTCTGCGCTGACGAAGAAACGTTTCCAGATCGCCAAGCGAGACAAGAAGACATTGGCCTACTCGGTTGGGATCCCTCTCATCTTCCTGATCATCCTCGCAGTGTTACCAGAAATTGAAGTGGCAGATTTCATCCCAAACTACGCCTCCAGCCTCCCCACGGAATCGGAGCAGAGCACATGTGCGGCGTCTACGAACTTCAGCAGTCTCATTGATCCCGACTATGATGTCTCGGCGTGTTACGGCTCCCGGGGCTTCGACTACTGCACCCTCGGGGTCGTGAACTGCGATGTCAACGTGTGCTGCGATGCCACTAACGTCGCTTCGCCTTGGTACCCGTGCAACACGTGCGGCTCGGCGCCATGTTACAACAGCAACTGCCTCGCCAAGAACAACGCCAAGTTGCAGGTGACTTTAAACGGCTTCTTAGTGGCTCTGGTCGTCATGCTGGCGTTCGCGTTCATCCCCGCAGCTATCGTGGCTTTCGTTGTTCGTGAGAAGGACCCGATCCAGAACGCCAAGGGCCTGCAGCTCATCAGTGGCGCCAATGTCTCCGCGTACTGGATGGCGTGCTGGACGCACGATGTCCTCCTCACGATTATCCCCATCGTCGCCGCAGCGATCATCATCCCGCTGTCCATGACGCCGAGCGGCGCAGCGAACGCAAGCACAGCCGATGTGTTCGCCATTATCGTGCTGGTGATTGCCCACGTCTGGGCCATTATCCCGCTGGCCTATTTGTTCTCGAGGAGGTACGTCAAGCACGCCGTGGCACAGACTGCGTTGCTGGTGTTCGCCCTCGGTACCGGCGGGTTGTTGAGCATCTTCTCGTTCATGTGCCGCATCGTCAACTTCACGATCTCCGGTACCTTAACGCTGTCCTCCCTGGACCAGAACTACCTGCGTTGGATCTTCATGATTTTCCCTGGGTACACGCTGAACAACGGTATCTTCGAGCTGGCAACGCGGAAGGTTAGTCGCCGAGCTCTGTTTGGTTCAGCTCGTTGGATGCCGGCGTCTCCGTCGTTCTTCGGGTTGTTTGAAGGCTTCGGCAAAGAGGAATGCACGGAGTGCTGGGACCGCCTGACCCCTTCGTGCTGCGTACGACAGCCCTTTGGTATCGAGATCATCGGTGCCCCGCTGTTGTACACGCTGGTTGAGGCAGCAGTGCTGACCGCACTCGTGTTCGTGCTTGAAAACCGCTCGGTCAAGTGGAATCAGACCGCCTCGGAGAAGCAGCATCATAGTGCGGTGGGTGTGGACTCCGACGAGGCGACAGAGGAAGAGGATGATGACGTGCAGCACGAGCGGCAGCGTGTGGAGCACGAGCCTCCTCAGCCGAACGACCTCGTCTTCATCCGGAACTTGCGCCAGCAGTACGCCGGCAAGCCTCGGGCCAAGGTCGCGTTGAAGGATTTGTGTCTGTCCATCAAGAGCGGCGAGTGCTTCGGCTACTTGGGTATTAACGGCGCCGGCAAGTCGACAACGATGGCTGTGCTGACGGGACAACTGGCGCCCACGCAGGGCTTCGTGACTCTGAGCGGCTTCGACCTGTCAACCAGTTCGGCTGCAGCACGGAAGACCATGGGCTACTGTCCGCAGTTCGACGCGCTGCACGACCTGCTGACTGTGAAGGAGCAACTGCAGCTGTACGCCCGGATCAAGGGCATCCCCGAGGCTTTCGTGAACACCGCAGTGGAGGAGCAGATTCAGGAGTTGGGCCTCACGAAGTACCGCGACAAGCTCACGCGGGGTCTTAGTGGCGGCAACAAGCGCAAGGTTTCGACGGCCATCGCATTGTTGGGCCGTCCTCGTGTCGTATTCCTTGATGAACCATCGACAGGCGTGGACCCAAGCTCACGACGGAAGATGTGGGACGTTATCGCGCGTGTGTGTTCTACCGATCGGGAAGGAGATCGCGGCGGTGGAGCTTGTGTGGTGCTCACTACCCACTCGATGGAGGAGTGCGAGGCGCTGTGCTCTCGGGTGGGCATTCTCGTGAGTGGCCGGTTGAAATGCCTTGGCAGCGTCGAGCACCTGAAGCAGAAGTTTGGTCGAGGATTCACGGTGGAGATCACGCTACGTGCGGCTTCAACTAATCCAGATGATGCGGAGCTGACTGCTATTATGGACCAAATGGTGGCCTTCCTCTCAGCCGAGAGGAGTCTCTCAGCGCATCGAAACAGCCGAACCAGCCAGCGCCAGAGCCTGACTCAGGGAGCAAAGATCACAAGCGCCAACATCCAAGACTTGTGCACGGCGCTAGGCTCGTCTGAACGCGGCTCTCGCATTTTGGACCACTCGGGCACTGGCTGGTTGCTCAGCAGTCAGCTTGAAGCTCAGGGTGCGATCTCGGTCGACAGTTTCTGCTCGTGGTGGGTCTCGGAGACGCACAGCGAGCGGCTGCAGAGCTTCTTCCACGACACGTTCCCGGGCAGCGTCCTCGCGGAGCAGCAGGGCGAGCACTTCCGCTTCCAAGTGCCCAAGCATCGACCAAGTAGCGACGCACTGCTGCGTCCGGCCGAAATATTCCGTGCGCTCGAACATACGCGCGCGGATTTGAACGTGGACGAGTACAGCGTGAGTGAGACGGCGCTGGAACACATTTTCAATAACATGGCAGCGCAGCAGGACGAGGAGAAGGGCGTCGCGCACGGAATGCACATGGAGTAAGCACAGTTAGTGTGTGCATGAATGAATAATGCGCTATATAAAGTAATATATTAACATCAGCTGATAGAAAACGTGCAAAACTAGGTCGTCTTCGACTTGGCTGGGAACACCTTTAATATAAAACGCTGGTGCCGCGCCGCAGTTCACTTTCTGAAGCTGGTGCACGGGGCTGTTGATGTCGATGTGCATTTCCTGCCTCAGTCTGTCTTGCTGCAACTTTGAACCTGCTCGGTCGACATTCTTCTGGCTCGTGTAGCACGAAGGTTGCGCCAGGTTACGCTTACGCGTCCAATTAATCCGTCCACCCCCTCATTCTTCGGGTGCTCCCAGTATAATGTGCCTTCTGCAGCAGAATCCGCAGCTAGACTACAATTCGGGCTGCTATCCCAGTATTAAAAGTGACTAAGTTTAATTAACATTTGCGCCCCGTGGTGACTACTGTAGCAGCCTCAAATATATACCACCTCGGGCACGCAGTTTAGCGCTAGGAGCCCTGTCTTCGATGATAGAACGTCGCCTTCCGCAGGGCCATCAGCGCCGACGGGCACGTCGGACGAGTTCAAAGAGCTGTTGAGGAGAGGGGCAACCCCAAGTCTGTCAAGGTGTTCCGCGGTGAGGCCCGCGACATCCTACACGACATCTTCTTCGTGCTGCTGCTGCGCTCCAGTGGAGGAAGGTCCTTGCGACTCCATTTGAATTGTATTCAAACCTGTCAGCCAATACAGAACGGTCCACGAAGACAGTAATGTAATCAGTTTGGCCACAGTTGAGTCACAATCATACTGTCGTTCTCTTGATAAACGGGCTCTCGTTAAAGCAACTTGGGTTTGGGCACCTTCAGCAACTTCGTGCAACTTCGGGCACCTTGGTCGAAAAAAGTTGCCCAAAGGTGCGCAACTTCGTGCACCTTTGCGCACCTTTGAGCACCTTCGTTTGAGCAACTTCGTGCAACTTCAAGCACCTTCAGCACCTTTGGGCAACTTCGACGAAACCCGAACATTTGCAATACTGAATTTTTGCACTAGCGAGTAGGCTCTGCAACTTCAACAGCAACTACATGCACCATTCAGCAGAGTGCGTTCACGCTGCCTGTACTGCTAGGCAAGCTGTTGAATAAAGGACACTAAATTATATAGGGGGCGGAGTGAACATCTTTTACTTCGACCTGAGCCAACACAGCTCAGTTCAGTCCAGGTAACCCTTTCAAGCGAAGGTCGACCTCTTATTGCTGACTTGAATGCCAAGTCAGAGGTAAGGCTTTGCATCGATGGTATTCACACTGTAAAGTTACTCGTGTTCTGTCACAATCATAAAGCTACACAGATAAACAAATGATTCGCACTGCCTTTTTCGTGTGGTACGCGCTACTTCCAGCGGACCATCACTGATGATGTGGCTGGGAAGCAAGCTAGGAACTCCAACCTACATCAAGCTGTTTGAGACCATAGCGACTATCTTAACTTTACTATGTTTAAACATAATGGGGCGAGGACACTAGGTGTTGTGTTTGATGAACGCAGCATGATCCACATCATCACTGAGAAAGTTGCACAACTTTTTGGTGGAGTCGTGATAATTACTTTCTTAGAGTGGGGCAGAGTGGAGCACGAACTTAAGCAAACGCTAGTGCTCACAAACAGTTTGTTGCTGTATAATTTATATAGCTTACACATTGGAGGAGTTAGACAGGTATCCATTAATGATAGAAGTATCTCCAAGCTCAATCTTCGGGATACATAATTAAAACTTAAGTACTTGAAGTAGATAGTTCGCTATCTTCTACGTGACGAGTACTTGTGGAGCACTGATGAAGTATTCTCGATGTCCACGTATCTCTGCGTTGCATGCTAGTCCTGAAATTCCATGCTTCACAGTTTCCGCTCTTCTAGTAGTAGACCTAGAATAAGCGTCCAAGTACAGTATACCATACTGCAGGTTGCCCTTGTTGCCGTGACTAAGCAACGACGACTGTATGGCCGCAGTGGCATTATGATACCGTTCAAAACATAACAAGGCTAGTAGTAAATACATGCAGTAAAAAAATGTCCTACCTTACATAGTTCGCGTTGGGATCATCGATCACCTGCGACGAATGCGGCAAGAAGTTCAAGGTGTTCGGCTCCAAGAAGAAGTGCACGCACTGCATGGACGTGGTGTGCAAGTCCTGCCTTGCCGCGCTCGAGCTCAAGCACACGCACCTCAACAACCCCGCGAGGCGTGGCTTGCGTCGTCGCAAGTCGCTGGAGCTGTTCGACGCCGCCGGAAGACACCCGGACGAGCAGGAGGAGCTGCAGTTCCTGTCGCCCATTGGCTCGCCCGACCTGGAGCTCGAGTACGCCGACCCGGGCTCGCCCGACGTGCTGGAGGGTGTGGACGGCGTGGAGAACGTCAGCGACGAGGAAGATGATCCATTTTGTCGTGGTTGCTTGGCTCACAGTCATTTCGTACGCTAACGTTCACACCACCGACCCACCTCTCTACATAGTTTTAAAGGACGGTATAATCTTCAGCCACTTCAAACTTACAGAAAAGCCTTAACGCGATAGTTCTCATACATATTTCTTTTGGTATCTCGTGTTATCGTATCTCTGCCCGAATTTTCCGGTGCTTCGTCGTTAGGTGAAGGTAGAGGGATCCAAAACCAGCGATACTTGGCTAATGAACGTCTTTGCAGTTGCTGTTGCTACTGCTGCTGCTGTAGACGGCGTCGATCCTGATGGAGACCGTGAGTCAGGAGCTGAACGTGCCCAATCGCAGCTTCATCAACATACAGCGCTCCAACTGGGTCGAGGTCGTAGTGAGCCACTAACCTCCTTGCCCAGTAGACCTTGCGCACCGCTCAACGCTCGAGTCTCGAGTCCTCTCGCCTCTGAGCTGACGATGGTGTTAAAATATACAGATTTGTAGGCACAAATATACGTACATGGGGAGTGAATATAAATATGAGTTTGCACCATACAGTTGGAGTGACAACAGGGAGAGACTATAATTGTGGGGCACCAATATAACCGCTAACCACTGTGAGGCATATAAATATCAGCTTAATTGTGCTGGCCAAGTTACCATACGGGCGGCTGCAGACAAAGGTTTTCGTTCAGGAGCGGCCATGGCTGGCTGGCATCAGCTAGCCGTGCACAATTCCACGGGGGAATTCGATGACTACCGTGACGAGTCGATGTGCTGCTCGGCGATATTTCACAAGGTCGACTTTGACAACTGCCGTGTTTGTGCTGGTGAACATACGATGACAGAAAGACGTCTTCGGTGCTTGAGCAGCACTTGTCGCGAGTTTGGCAAATGTGGCGTGGTCTGGAAGGTGTTCTACTGCACAGCTCAGGACAAGTGGCAGATAACTGTAAACGAGCAGGCACATGCCCGTGGTGTTCTTCCCTGTACTGCGGAGCATCGGCCAGTCGTGACTCAGCCGATGAAAGCTGTCGTAATGCGGGTTGAAGGATTGTGAGGCGAAGGACCCGAAGGTGACCCGAAAGTGAGCCACTTGAATTATGGGACACCCTAGCTCGGCGTCCCGTATAGAAGGCCGGCGACTGATTACGAAACCCGATGGCGTATTTACGGAGATCCAGAACGGGGAGGCCCGTAACAAGGACGATGACACCGCACCGAGACAGCAGATGACGTCATGAGGTAAAGGCGTGCAGCATACTGGTTGGTTGGTTGGCCGGCAGACGAGCCGCCGGTAGATAGGCAGTTCAGTTCAGAATTTCCAACAACGAGACAAGGTACTTCTTCATATTAGTCTTTGTGTTGTGCGGTTAGCGCCTACGTGTGTACTGTGACTGTTTCCTACCTACTTGTGAAGTGTACTCGGGGTTCTGGATTGATTTGGCCTCCCCGGTAACCTTCTAGTAGCGTAGTGTGTTGCATTGTCTGGACTCAGGAGATCAGCTCTCAGTGTTCGACAGTAGGACACTCTAAACGGTTTAGTAAGGTATTGGTGTGCGTCTCGCACTTTGGTTTGGACCCGCAGACTAGCTGCGGCAGGAGATCTCCAGTAGATCTCGTACATATTGTACAACAAGTTGTCGTACAGTGGGAAGAGTTACCTCGCTGTACAAGTGCATCCGCGGCAGAGTTAACCTAAGTCTCTGCCTGCGAGTGTAAGGAACCCCATATTCACCCCTTCATATTACACGTCTTCTAGGAATTACGCTAGATAAAGATCCGAGTCTTGCTACAAGGGTACACAAGGTGAGGCCTAGAGATCTCGGGACTAGTTCTCGTTGTCTTTGGGTATTTGGCTTGCAGGGGTAACCCCTCCGTAGTTGCGTGGCAGGACACGTGTGGGAGTTTATTAGTTTTTATCTGAGGGACTCCACCACAATGGTGCGCGTGCCCGGATCTACTAGTCCGAGAGGGGACGTGAAGGTGAAGGGTGAGGTAAGGGAAGACGGAACTCCGCTGGGACCGGCGGGAGTTGAACGTGAAAACACTAGGTCCACCGACGGACAGGCAATGGGGACGCCTGAGCCGAAGGATTTCGTTTACGAAGAGAAGTTCCCCGTTAAGGCTCCGAAAGGAGCCGTCCGGGACTCGGTCCAAAAACCGAGTTCCATTGGACCTGCTGCTAAGCGGGACCCCGGCGTCGCTGAAAAGCGAGGTCGAAACCTGGAGCGCGAGCATCTAAAGGGGGTCATCCGCGACCCCGCTGCCCGAAGCGATGCTCTAGACGCTGCGATGGACTACATGGAAGTCGAAGATACGAAGAAGAAAGCCGAGAAGAAAACGGAGAAATTGGAGATCTCGGCGCTAGCGGTCCATGGCCCCAGCAACGATACTCACGATGAAGACAAACGATTTCGTGAAGCCGAAGTCAACTACTTCCGTCAAGAGCTTGCGCTCCTGCTCCAGAGAGATCCGCTCCTGCGTAAGTTGGGGCTGACGATGCCATGGCCTCTCACGGGTCCAGTTCGCAACCCGCGCACGCTAACAATCCGAGATCCGCTTCACGCCGTCACGATGCTGTTCTGCGTGCTCGAAGATGCTGGTTTCAAGGTACATGAACAGCGGATCTCCACCGATGTACGGAGTACGATCTGGAAACCACCGTCCTTACGCTCGCGCGGGTGTACGCAGTGTTGCATAAGCTTGTCCCGAGTGCAGATGACTCATCCGCGCCGTTGCCGACCGGAGACCTCACACCTCCTCGGTTGGACGATTCGCGGATCTCCTTCAAGTTTGAAGATGACGGTGACGCTCTCATGAGGAGCACTACCTCAACCAAGAAACCTCCACCGGCCCCACGTGTGTCCCGCTGAGAACGACGTGCGCAAGGGATCCCAGCGATCGCTGCAAACGATGTAGGACGCGGGAAGTCTGCGCAAGTGTCAAATATTGCGCAGACTCGCCCAGCGAGAGGACCACGTGGGAGGATCCAGGAGGCTCAAGAGGTTGCAACAGAGCCCGATCGCCCCGGCGGTGTGGCTCAAGACCTTCTTTACCAGTTTGCGAACGAGCGAGACGAGCCTGAAGACGTTGAGATGCAACCCGTCACTGCGTCTCCCGCTCGGCCACGTATCGGTTACCGATCCCAGACACAACCGGAATACCAAGGAGATCTCCATGACCTATCCGATGACCTCGGCTATGGTGGAGGTGGCGGAACCGGAGGTCGTGTCGCAGCTGTGTCCACGGCGACTAGGTTGCGAGCATCGGCTGTGTCCGAACTGAAGGACTTCAGCGGCAAGGAACATGACGAAGAAGCCGCCCGAGCCTGGTTCAACAAGGTTAGAACGGCTTTCCGACGGGATCAGATGCAGCCAGACGAGATGTGCTTGACATTTGCCGATTTGATGATAGGCCCTGCGCGCAATTGGTATTACCAGCTGAGCCGCACCGCTCGCGCGTCGTGGACTGACCTGGGTGAACAGTTCCAGATCCACTTTTGCGGTAAAGGGATGTCCCTCGCGCGCAAGTACTACCACATGCGGCGCGGGAGTCAGGAAGACCCACTGGATTACTTATACCGGCTGAATCTGGCCGGGATACGTGCAAACTTGAAGATCCATGATGGCACCAAGGAACAACGACGTGAACACGTCGACCACTACATCGATACAGTCCAAGATGACGATCTCGCCGGATCTCTGGTAGTGTTGAGGCTGCCTGACTCAGAAGCTCTCGAAGGCGTCCTGTTGGCCATGCGACGCCGCCACCAACGCCGCAAGATTGAGACCCAAGGTTCGAAATACCGCCAAAAGGCTCCCGCCCCTGCAGCCTCCTCGAGGGCGGTGCGGGTTGTGACTACCGGTCGCGGACGCCGCGGAGATCAAGAAGATCTCGAGTTCGAGGGCGAATCAAGCAGTTCTGATAGCGAATCTGAAGACGAAAGAGCGCACGTGTTTTCGGCAGCCAGGACGCCTACACCAGGAGATGGTGAACAGCCAGGGGCGCGCCAAGACCGCGAAGACCAACTGGGGCGCCCGAAGTACGGCACTCGATGCTCACACTGCGGATCTCGCAAGCATACGGATCTCGGGTGCTGGAAGAGGCTCACGTGCCAGCAGTGTGGACGCATGGGCCATCCTACCGACAAGTGCTTCTACGTCTGCAAGTGCTGTGGAGACGTTCACAAAGCAGGTCTGTGTAAAATCGGCGACTTCTTCTATGCTGTTCGCCAATGGTACAACCCGACTCGCCATGCCGGACTGCTGCCCGAGAGCGTCGAGAAGGCGTTAAACTAGACCGCTCGCCAGGCCTGAACAGCCTGGTACGTGACGAGCGATCGAAGTTCTGCATTTATGCATATGTTCAGAGGAAGGCGCGAGCGTTAGAAGACCCAGACTTCCTGTAATGCGGTGAATACAGCCAGATCTCTTACCTCGGATGAAGATGACTATTCGCGTCGCCCTTGTGTGATGGCCCTTCGACTGTCGCCGGGTGAACGCCGAGGTTACTGGAAGTATTACACTCCCTCCAAGTGGTTCAAGCAGTCGAAGGCGACCGGTGCGGTCAACAATGTCCGTGCCGTCCTACTCTTTGATACTGGAGCCGAAGTGTCGATAATCGACTCTACCTTTGCACGTAAGGTGGGTTGTGAAATTGATACAACACAGACAATGGATTGTGTTGGTGTGTGGGATGCTGTGTACCGCACAGAAGGCCGAGTAGAAGTCAAGCTCACTCTGGCTGGAGAGTTGGTGTACAAGTTCCGTGTGTGGGTTGGAGATCTCTCAGGACAAGACGTCATTATCGGCATGGATTTTATGGTTCCTGCGGGGGTGAGGTTGGACCTGGCTGACGGAACGCTCTGTCTGCCGGACGAAGTTCGCATCCAGATGACCGACCGTAAGCCACTGTATAGCAGCAAGGCTGACGCGGTCTACGCAACGGGATTCCATGAAGTCGGTCCTGGCCAATGGACAGAGATCTCACTCAAGTCCCACAACAAGCGGTTTGAACTGTGGGTAACGAGAGGGGAAAAATGGGTGATCACGGTGGTGAATGGTGGATTCAGTAACAAGTCATACCTCCGGATCACCAACATCAGCACGAGCCGCCTGGTACTGGATCGTTTGGTGTGTTTGGCAATCTGGTTACCCGTTGGGCAGATCCCGCGTCGACCTGGATTCGCTAGGAAGGATTCAAACCGCTATCGGGAGTGGCAAACACTTGCGTTCGAAGCAGCTGTGGACACTGGAGATGCAAACGAAGCGGAAGTTGAAGAGTCTGGACCGCTGGTCGAGCGTCCTAGCTACCGGACTCCGACTGCGATTTTAGCACGGCCTCCACAAGTGAAGACCGTTGAAGCAGCAGCAACGTCAGAAGAATGCACGCGACTCACACTGGACGACACACATCCTCAAATGCAGCTGATGAAAAGTTCGACTGATCCGACTAGGGTGACCGAAACCGAGGAGGACGTGATCTCTACCGATCACGATCAGGTGATCGCTGGTATGGACAGCGATGACTCCAGTCTACCGCGTACGGAAACTCACACAGGCGAGGAGAGCGGCCTATCCTTTACGAACAGTGGCGAAACACCGGTAGGCTTGGCGTCGACTCCGGCAAATGTGGCTGAGGCCGAGCTCCGCAAGGAGTTCCCAGAATATACCCCTGACCTCATGCCACAATCCAAAATACACGCCGCGGCCACCGAGGAAATGGTTCATCGCACGTTGTCGGTCATCGTTGAAAGCGACTGGAGCGACAGCTGTAGCTGTGCGTCCGAAAGCGCTGAGTCTACTAGTAGCTGGGGTAGTTTTGACTGGCAGACCGACGACGAGAAAGAAGAGGAGCCGGTGAGCGGAATCCTCCCAGTGACCCAGGTCGGACCAAGCCAAGGCGGAGATGCAACCGACATGGATGAAGCGAAGTATGTTCATGAAGGGGCCGATCTCACTGAGGAAGACATCGAAAAGGAGATGGCGGAGTTACCAGAGATCTCCCTGACGGCAGAAGTTAAAAGAGAAGCTCTCAAGGTCGGGGATCCAACTGAGAACACAGCAGAGGAGATTGATCGTCTGCGTGATATCATTTGGGAGCGGCGTCACCTTCTCATCGGCAAAGGGAATGCTTTACCCCCTGCGGCGACGGGGGCGATCTGTGACATCGACGTTGGTGGTGCACGACCGGTGGCTCAGCGTTGTCGCCGGATCCCGCCTCAGTTCCGTAAAGATGTTCCAACTCGTCAAGGGGCTACTGGGGGCGAAGATTATTCGGATCTCCACTTCTCCTTGGGCGTCTCCGATCGTTATCGTCGTCAAGAAGAACGGCGTGGACGTCCGACTCTGTATCGACTACCGTCCGGTCAATGCTCTGACACGACTGATGGTCTACCCCATGCCGTTGATTGACGACCTCCTCGGAGATCTCGACAGTTTGCTGTGGTTCTGTTCTCTCGACGTGGCGAGTGGGTTCTGGGTGGTGAGTATGACCGATCGAGCCCGAGAGATCTCCGCGTTCATTACGCCTTTCGGCCTGTTCGAATGGCTGCGAATGCCGTTTGGTCTGAAGAATGCCCCCCAAATCTATCAGCGGCTGATCGACAATGCGTTATATGGCGTGCTGCGTATCTCGCCGGGTCAAGATCGCGCGGATCTCGTCAACATTTTCGAGGAAGGTGTTCCTGAAGATCGATCGCTGCCGTCGGTGCTGGGGCGTCGCTTTTACATCGACGACATCTTAGTTGGAGCAAGGTCGTGGGACGAACTGTGTGAGAAGGTCAAGAAGCTCCTAGAGGTTTGTGACCGCTGGAATCTGTCTATTAGCGCGGAGAAGAGCAGTTGGGGTATGAGCAAAGTCGACTATCTGGGGCATCAGATCTCCGGTGAAGGCCTGTTTACCAAGCCGAAAGATTTTGCAAGTCTGGAGGCGTTGAAGTTTCCCAAAACGCTTAAGGCTCTCCAGTCATTCCTCGGCAGTCTCAACTACTACAATCGCTTCATCGAAGATTTCGCAGTATATGCCACAGTGTTGTATGAGTTCGGAGATTCCGATTTCATCAAGGGTCGAGCCACAAACGTCAGCAGAAATCACGAGGCGACTGTGAGATGGGGCCACGCGCTACGAGCCTTCGATACCCTGAAGTTCAAGATGATCAACGCACCCATGCTCTACCATTTTGCCCCAGAGTTGGATCCTGTTGTGATTGTGTACGCAAGCAAGTGGGCGATCTCTGCCTCTCTCCTTCAGTGTCGTGATGGAGTGTACGTACCCGTCAAATTTACGAGTAGGACACTGCGGTCTCACGAGATCGGGTACGACATTGTGGAGAAGGAAGTACTGTCTCTGCTAAGAATCCTCGATAGCTGCTACACCATGCTGAGTGGTCGACACATCCGAGTGCTCACCAGACACACGACTCTCGCATGGCTCTTCCGCGCGAAAGGCTTGAAGGGACGGCTAGCTCAGTGGGCGGCGCTGCTCTCCCCCCATTCGCTAGAGATCGAACGTTTAACGAAAGGCGAAGATGAGCTACTAGGTTTGGTTGCCGCCAGTATCACTCCGCGCGCAGAGATGGATGCAGCGTTGGAGGAGATCTCTCCGCAGAAGAAGTCGGCGAGAGCATTGGCTATCCCGATGCCGGCTTTTACGCCCGGAGAAAACGTTTGCGTCGTCAGTTTTGACGGATCGGCCAAGCCGAAACGAGTTGGTGGAGCTTTCAGCGCTGTGGTATGGGATGCTCCTGGATGGAAGGTTGTCAAGGCTGAATCTGGCTATTTACCGGACCTCACTGTGAACGAGGCCGAGTTCCATGGCCTCCTTCTCGGACTTCGTTTGATTGCCGATCTCCAGATCGACCGTCTCATTGTGTGTGGCGACCCCAATTTAGTCGTCCGCCAACTGCGTGGAGAGATGGAGTGCAAGTCATCGGGACTCCAGCTCTTGCGTGAGAAGGCCAGAGTGATTTTGCGGTCTTGGCCGCAATGCGAACTCATCCACGTAAAACGCGATTGGAACCAACCCGCGGATATGCTGGCGGGACAGGCGCTGCAGCGTGGTGCCGGGGTAGTTGTCGCGAGTCACACCGATTACACGGACCTCGAGACCTTGAATCGACTGGACGAGCTCCTCAAGACGCGCGAAGAACGTGACGCCCATCCGAAGGTAGGCGCTGTCACGCGAAGCCGATCTCGTACTGTCGCACCAGCCGTGTTGCAGGAAGACGTCGTCAAGCAGTTGCGCTTGGAACGTATTTGCCGTGCTCAAGACGAGGAGGTGTGGATCTGGTCACTGAAGTGTTTCCTGCACGGTGATCTCTCTCAGATCTCGAGCCGTCAAGCCAAGACGTGCAGTAAACTGGCTGGCAGTTACGAGGTCGACGAGCATGGCCTCTTGATGTACTGTCCAGTCGAGGGGCGCGGTGGTGATGTCGAGGACCGTGGATCTATGGTGAAACTGATAATGCCGAGTACACTCCACGAATATCTCCTGCATCATTTCCACACAAGTGTGGAGGGAGGTCATCAGGGAGTCAGCCGAACATTCCAAAAGCTTCGGAGGCATTTCTACTGGCGAGGTATGTTCCGAAGTGTGCAGAAGTATGTCGGGGAGTGCGTCGACTGCGAGACGGGAAAAGGAAAACCCACCTTGCCGGGGCGATCGCCGGGCAATATCGCCGCTAATTACCCTTTCCAGGTCGTGGCTATGGATCATATCCCCACCCTCCCGAAGTCGTTCAAGGGCAACACAGAGCTCCTAGTCTTCGTGGATCTCTTCACCTTCTCGTTGTGGCAAAGGCAAACGCGGACAGGACCGCACCAACAGTGGCTGAGGCATACGAGGAATGCGTGTTTCGGCGGTACGGAGCCAGCGAAGTAATCAGGCACGATCAGGAACCGAGCTTCATGTCCGACTTTTTCCGGTCGTTTAATACGCTGCTGGGCCAGCGTCAGCGATCTACGCTCGCGTATAAACCTCAAGCAAACGGCACAGCGGAGCGGATGGTCCAGACTATTTCCAGATCTCTGCGGATGTACGTTGAAGACGAGAACCAACAGGACTGGAATGAATATGCGGAGCGGTTGGTGTTTGCGTTGAACACATCGCACGACCGAGTACGCAAGGACACGCCATTCTTTTTGCTGCACGGGTGGGACCCTAAAACGACTATTGAAGCATCGTTGGCTGTTGGAGGGACCGGAAGCCGAGATCTCGACCCACAGAAATGGAGGTTCAAGATCCAACGCCAATACCAACGTGCTCAGACAGAGACTCGTCGTCTCCTCGCCGAAGCTCGTGAGAGTCGCGCGGAAGCCCACAATGAGAACGTACCGGAGTCACCCATTAAGGAGGGATCGCAGGTGTGACTGTACCTCGACCGAGTCAAGGTCGGATACGCTCGGAAGCTCGCTCACATGTGGCATGGGCCTTTCAGAGTCGCCACCATGGTGAGCGACTACGCTGCCAAGCTGGAAATCAGCGGGACTGACTACCGACTATTCCCTATCGTACACATCTCGAAGCTGAAGCTGGTCCGACAGTTCCCCGAACGACCCGCCGAAGATCTCACTCTTGATGAAAGCGAACGATTTGACTTTGACGAAGAACTTCTCCCCGAGGATAGCTGGGAGGCACAAACTCGCGGTGACAACGAGTATGAAGTTGAAGAGATCTTGGATGCCAAGACGGAGAGACGCACCCGCTACGGTCGACGGCTCAAGGAATATTTGGTGCGTTGGAAGGACCACGCGGAGACGAATTGGGTCAAGGAAGAACACCTGAACTGTGGTGGTCCGCTGTCCGACTTCCAGCAGAAGCGACGGAGCCGGCAGAGGTTCCATGTGATGCAATCGCGTGGAGAGACCGACATCGCCGAAGAGTGAGGCGGTGTTGGGGGGTAGCGTGGTGGACGCTATCCGTAATGGTGGATAGTACTTGTTGCACATTTACATTTGATTGAGTGGAAGAAGAAATGGAGAGAAGATCGCGCGATGGAATGGAGAAACGAGGTTAGTTGTGATGATCTGGTCGGACATCAGAATTTCGACGAACGAGTACTCGGGGGCGACTTGGAGATCCAGCCCGGTGTCGCAGTGCTGGAGGCACCTGGGGTGCGAACGCGCGTCCGACGGCTGCTGAAACGCGCTCGCCACGACGCTCTGGGCCTGTGCGATGGTGAAAACCGGCACCGTTCGTGTCGGAGACTACCTTCGCGTTCCGTCGATTTTGGCCGGATCGCTGTCATCGCCGACTTGGAGATCCAGCCCGGAGCCGCAGTGCAGGAGACACCGAGGGCGTGAAGGCGTGGTCAGTGGCCGTCGGACTAAGTGCAGTCCTACGCCTGGAGTTTGTGCTATGACCTTGATCACCACAAATCACTTCCCAGAATGCACGGCGACCTACGACATGCCTTCACATCTCCAGTTGGGGAGATCTCCCAGTCATGACATTGACTGTGTTCAATTAAGTTGTGGGGCGGGAGTGATATGAAATGGAGTCGAAGCCGGTGTATTACGATGTCGATAAAGAAGATGCATGCTCGAGGAGACTACCCACTAGCTACGTACATTGGTGAAGGAAGAAATGTCGGACGTTGGAGATTTCCGGGGGTCCTCCTAGGTCTGTTCAGCTGACTCAGGCTAGGCGATTGACGAGGTCGCCTTGAACTTGCCTCGAAGGCGCGTGTGGATGGGTTCGTTCATCGATGGGTGTTTGGCACGAGCGTTCCAGTAGAACAGGCGCCACGGCTCCGCATCGTCAGTCGTTCGTAAGACGTGTAACAGATCTCCAGAGGCACCAGAAGCTCCCTTAGGGAACCACGGGCACGTTTCGATCAGCGGCAGGAAGAATGGCTCCAGAAGAATGTCCAAGTCGCACACATGAGCCTTGCACAGGCGGGCCACCTCTTCGAACACAGGCAGCAGCATCTTCACAAAGTGGGATCTCCGATTCTTACGATCCGAAGTGAACTTCACCTCCCAAAACTCAGCGCTGGCCTTGGAAATGGAAATCTCAATGGAGTGGGTGATCTCCCAGAACACAAGCGCGCCACGATTATCGTTCCGAGCCAGCACATCGCGGATGATGGCCAGAAGAGGTTGGAAGCGGGGATCTCCAATGTCGAACGAGACTGGGTCGGGCATGTTATCCAGGAAGATCTTCCAGGGACTCGCTTTGCATAAAGCTTCGACCGAGACTTGTGGCCAGGGCCGATAGTCAGCAGGAACGGCCAGCTCCCCCTTCTTAGGGTTGCACACCCCGGCGGGTAGCATGGTAAGAACTTCGAAGCGAGGTCTTTGGCTGTAAGCTGGTCAAGGCGGTGACCTGCAACAACCTCCCACAGCCACGGCGTGACATCGGCAGGGCGCGCAGCTTCGCTGGACTCAGGTGGAATTGCGTGCGTGAATGGGCTTCGGGCTGATACGGAGATCCACGGGCTGTCAGACGGAGATCTATGAAAGTCGCTTGTCTGACAATGAGGAGGAGCTACGTACCCATCGCCGTAGAGGAAGACAACTCAGCTGGCGCTCCCTCGGTAGTCGCAACGGCGCGCTTTGCGCGCTTCGACTGTGACGTTGGATCAGAAGAGATATCTCCACTTCGCTTTGCCGAGCCAGACGGGAGCTGCTGCGAAGATGTTCGCGCTGGAGGATCAGAGGAGACAAGGCTCGTGGCCGTTGACGCCAGTGCGGCAAGAGACGAACTGGAAGAGGCCGACGCCACGCATCGTTCCACCTCAGGTTGCGGAGTCGGCGCAGGTACCAGATTGATCAAGTTGCGCAACGCTCCAAGGTGTTCCTCACGCTCCGCTAGTTTGCTGCGGAGATCAGCAGAAGAAGCCTGCTCCTTCAGCAGCGACTGTCGACTCGCATCCAGCTCCGCCTGCAAGTCGTCGCGAGCGATGGAGGCCTCCGCTCGCTCTCGTTCTACAAAGCAATAAACGCACAGGTCAGCACAAGAGTCAACCCGCCACATTAGCACGCGCGATCATGACCTGCAGCCACTGCGCGATCCTGAGCTGTTGCGAGATCAGCCTGACGATGCTCCAAACTACGACGTTCTCACGCCGTAGAACGGTGTTATGCTGAGTCAGCCGAGTGATCTTCCTCTCCAACTCCACCAGTCGCTTCCCAGCCACCTTATGCCGCTGTGCGAGATCTGATAACGCTGTCGCTGTGGATATCAAGGCGTTAGTGATGCAACATCAACAACCTCAGCACTTGGGGCGACTTACCACCGCCTTGCGCCTTCTTCGACGCCGCCGCCGCTTCTCGGCGTGCTGCTTCTGCGTCCTCACGAGCTTTGGACGCATCCAAGCGAAGGGCGTCCATCCGTGGCGCTGCTTTGTTGACCAGCGTGCGCGATTGCGCCAACTCGGTCTGCAACCTGTCGATTGTCGCCTCCGCTTGGCGCAATTGATTGCGAGATCTGTCTCGTTCGGCATTGGATCGTTGCAGGGCACGTCCCGCGCGTCCGTCACTAGTCCGATCATCATCAGTGGCAGCTTCGCTGGCAGCCAACAGTCGGCCACCTGGGGTCACCGATGAGGGGTCCAGGTAGCCTTGATATCTGCCGGCTCGATCATCCAGATCTCCGAGGGCGATCTCCAACTGACTGGGGACGACGTTAGAGGGCGATGCTGCAGCGGACGGAGTGACTTCATCGGCATCAGCTGAGCGAGCGGCGACCCGTGCGAGATCTGCGCGTACTTGTTGTTCAGCAGCTTCGGCTTGCTGACGGCGTTCTACTTCCGTGTTCAGGGCCTGCTGGAGATCTCGGAGACGACCGTCGGCTTCGTTGCGCACGCGTTGAACCTCCAGATCGCGATCATGGATGGATCGATGAAGACTTGCAGTGTGGCGACCAGATGCTTCAAGAAGATCCTGGGCGACGTCAAGACGGCCCCGGAGATCCAGCACCTCGTGCTTGAGGGCCGCGGTGACTTGAGCAGCCTGGATAATGCGCGCGCGTTCCGATAGAAATGGCTGCGAACCGGAGTATGGAGCCGCGGTCGGTATAGATCGATCAAGGGAGTGACAGGCGGTGCAATCTCCGTGGCTGTAGCTTGACGACGGGGCAGCACTCAGCCGAGGGACGCCGGCGGCCGACGACGAAGGCGACGACGTGGGTGGAGAAGCAGACATGGTGCAGGAGTTCTACGCGTGGCAGCCACCTGCTCGATAGCCTCACGCGAAGAGAGGGCGGATGTCGTAATGCGGGTTGAAGGATTGTGAGGCGATGGACCCGGAGGTTACCCGAAGGTGAGCCACTTGAATTATGGGACACCCTAGCTCGGCGTCCCGTATAGAAGGCCGGCGACTGATTACGAAACCCGATGGCGTATTTACGGAGATCCAGAACGGGGAGGCCCGTAACAAGGACGATGACACCGCACGGAGACAGCAGATGACGTCATGAGGTAAAGGCGTGCAGGATACTGGTTGGTTGGTTGGCCGGCAGACGAGCCGCCGGTAGATAGGCAGTTCAGTTCAGAATTTCCAACAACGAGACAAGGTACTTCTTCATATTAGTCTTTGTGTTGTGCGGTTAGCGCCTACGTACTGTTTCCTACCTACTTGTGAAGTGTACTCGGGGTTCTGGATTGATTTGGCCTCCCCGGTAACCTTCTAGTAGCGTAGTGTGTTGCATTGTCTGGACTCAGGAGATCAGCTCTCAGTGTTCGACAGTAGGACACTCTAAACGGTTTAGTAAGGTATTGGTGTGCGTCTCGCACTTTGGTTTGGACCCGCAGACTAGCTGCGGCAGGAGATCTCCAGTAGATCTCGTACATATTGTACAACAAGTTGTCGTACAGTGGGAAGAGTTACCTCGCTGTACAAGTGCATCCGCGGCAGAGTTAACCTAAGTCTCTGCCTGCGAGTGTAAGGAACCCCATATTCACCCCTTCATATTACACGTCTTCTAGGAATTACGCTAGATAAAGATCCGAGTCTTGCTACAAGGGTACACAAGGTGAGGCCTAGAGATCTCGGGACTAGTTCTCGTTGTCTTTGGGTATTTGGCTTGCAGGGGTAACCCCCCCGTAGTTGCGTGGCAGGACACGTGTGGGAGTTTATTAGTTTTTATCTGAGGGACTCCACCACAAAGCATTTATCGCGGCATAAGATGAGATTGGGAACGCCCCACGTATTATTCTGGCACATCTCAAGAAGCAAGCAAATATCAAGCCATCTAAAGGCGGATGGCCAAAGCTCTCCCAGATTCAAAATGCGCTGAAAGTTCACCGGCGTTCGAAGGGCGCCAAAAATTCAATCAAGGCCGTGCATGAAATGGCTCGCGTTCGCCGCTACAAACCAGAACTTCAGCCAGATTCCGCTTTTCTGTTTGGACCTAAGTTGGACACGGATGGCTTTGTTTATGTGGGGTCCGGCGAGGACGACGATCCTTTCATTATTGGGGTGACGTCTCTCGCATTTATCGATAGCTGCCTACGGTTCTGCCACTCGGGTGATTTTGTGCAGTTCCATGCGGATGCCACGTTTAAGGTTAGCGACTTGGGCTATCCAGTGATAACTTGCGGCTTCACGGACCGAGGGCGTTCATACCAAGTTGGGTTTTTTCGTGGTGAGTCGGCGCACGGAACATGAATACACCGAGTGCTTGCGCAGTTTTGCTGACGTCGTTCGGCATGTTCGAGGGGCAACACTTCGTATCGATGCAACCATGAGCGATGCTGAGGATGCTCAATTCTTGGCTCTCGAGAACGTGCCCAGTGTTGCAAATGCTACGAAGCTGATGTGTTATTTTCACGTTATGTACAATGTACGTAAACGCACACAGCACCTGCCCTTTGATGAAAGGAGAAATGTGATGAGCTCGATTGTCGACATGCATTTTACGCAAAGCTTGTTGGAGTTCGAGCGTACACGAGATCGAGAAATAGCTAATTGGCGCAAGCAGACACATCTCGTTGAATTCGCGGACTACTTCGAGCAGCAGTGGCTAACAGGCCGCTATTGGCGATCGCAACTGTACCACAATCCTGAGGGCTACGCATTAACCAACAATCCCTGCGAGAACCTAAATGGAGGACTAAAGCATTTTCTGCAGCGCCGTAATCATCATATGTGTCGATTACTCGAAAAAATCGGGACCTTCATCGAAACGACGAGTCCCGTCAAGCCCGCGCCAGCAGAATATACATCCACACCAACATCTGAGTTAGTGAAGGCAGCGGCAGCTATGCTTGAAGCTTCTCGAGTTGTTATCACCAGGACAAGCGATGCGAACCAAGTACGAGTCCTCGAGATTCTACGCGCCGACACAGACCAACAAGCTGAAGAAGAAAACGGATTTCTTCTGGAGACAGTCAATGCGGCTCCCTCGATACGGCAACAGGACCGAGCAGCCAATTGGCTTTGTTTCTATCATTGACATCCACGTAAGACAACCCAACATCAGATTCGTCCGATAGCTCGTCGGCGAGCGATATCCCAGCCAAGACTGGATTCAGATGGACAAGAGGACGACGACACGGTCACGAATTGGAAAAGGCTTTTCGAGCAAGCCACATCATGGTCTCTACGGCGTTCGCATCGCATAGGAATGCCTTCCGATGGGTGGCTAGTTGACATCACAGCACCTGTACCTACTTTTCGAAAATGCTGATGTGCTGGCATGTTGTAGCGGTTCTCCGGAAATTTAACATCAGTAGTGTACGCGACCCACTGGCGAAGTTGAAAAACAGAATCGTAGCAAAGGCCAAGGCAAAACGTTCCGGATCCAAGCGTAAGCAATCCAAACCAAAAAAGTCGAAGGGAAAAGCATCTAGCTGAAAACGAAGCAGACGATCAGTACATCCTCAGCTCCCAGCTCTGAAGGTCTCCCAGGGCCCGTTGGAAGGCCTGCTCATGCAGCACCAACGCTGACAGTTCAAGACATTCTATTAGAATAGAGAACACTGACTAGGTCAAACCCTCTAGGTGATTGAATACATGTATTCTTTGCTTTATCGCTGTGGAAATCGACGATACCCACAGCCTAAATCGCTTCCTCACAAAAAGTTTCGATGCACTTAAACTCTCCCAAAGAATCGGCTCGTACGATTCCCGATGACGATCTCACCAGGTTCATCCGCTCCAAGCTCAACACAAAGCTTGTACAGGGCGCTTTTGGTATCATCATATCTTCGTTTTGCGCGTCTAATCCGCGCCGCAGCAAACCTTGGATCGGGTTGATCGTACTCAGGGTCCGGTTCGAACTGAGCGGTTCCCATTAGAACCGCCAGTACATCGTCCAGGCGAAGTGCGACGGCGGAAAACGCGTCCTCCACTGTCTTAGGTTTGTCCTTGATTCTGGCCAAGACGACCGCGTTCTGCGCACCGGCCACAGTAGCTTCGATAATACCGACCATACTCCCGCCATTGTAAGCTGCGTGGATTCGGAGATCCTGCTCTTTGCTCAGCACTGTGTAGTAGTTGTTACGCGCGCGCTCCATCTCTGCGAATCGTGTTTGCAGCTGAGTATCATGCTGTACAGGCTGGGTTGGCATCGGCTCATCAGTCACTCGACTGCTGTATCGAACACGTTTTGGATTGTTCCTGGAAGTCGGTTGAACGTGTTGCCGCTTCGTCTTGGCCGTAGTCATCTTGCCCGTAGTCGTTGTGGCAGTAGACGTTGTGACCACAGTCTTCTTGGCCGTAGTCGTCTTGGCCGTAGTCGTTTTGGCGGTGGCCATCTTGGCCGTAGTCTTCTTGGCCGTAGTGGTCTTGGGCGATGTTGTGCCAGACGTCTTCTTTCGTTGTCCTGGGTAAGCCTTACGTTCCTCCATGGTGTCGTACGTATCATTGGGGAAACTGGAATCCGGCGTTGCTTAGATTAGACGTGCGCGTTCCTCCGGCCCAATGTCACGCCAAGCGTCCCGAATTTTATCACCGCCACGGCCACACAAGAAGGTTGTGTCACGCGTACGCCGCTCCAATTCAGGTAGAGTTTGACGAAAGCTTGCATACCAACGCGCGTATCGATTCCCCACCGCTGCCGCGAAGATCCATACTGCGTTGTGTGCCCTCATACTGAGTGGTGTGCTACGATCTTCTGGGTTGGTTCAAGGATTTTGTAGAATGAACGCTTGTTGCAGTCTGACCTGACTAACAGCGTGGTAATAAGACACGAGTAAGTAACAAACCCAAGGCTTCATTTAAAAACTCTCAGTCTTACCGTAATGCATATTGTGGCTAAGCCAATCGAGGTAATACCTAAGACGAAGACGCTGTCAGCCAAAAATACTAAGGGAGGTATAGCGCGATTCGGCGCAAAAAGATAATCCCCATGATCCACTCTGCGTCATAGGCTTGAATTTCCACCGCAACATTGTTGTCATCGTAAATGAGCTTATCACCACTCAAAACTTTGATCGCAAAGCAGTAGTGAGCTGTAGGCAGCGCACACGTAAACTCCATCCGCTAGAGCGCATTTCAACAATACTTCCGACGCGTTCTTGCCGTTGACACCTCCTAGCAAATTGTCACCGAATACGCGGATGCTGATCTGACTTGTCTTCGAACTACCACACCGATCATTCAGGTATTTGATGTAGAAACGAAGCTCTCGAGTGGTCAGGCCGTCAGGCGACAAGGGTCGACCCCGCTGGTCGCAGTACTCCACAAATGCACCAAAGCACCCGGGGGGTGCCCAACCAGAGTTACCGAGAAGCGTAACTGCAGTCTCCACAGCAACAACTGCACATTTTCCATTCGCTGACGGCGAGGCACCGATATTGTGCACGTGTCCATTCCTTCGGCAAAACTCGTAAAACGACGCGTACTTAGACGCTTTCCACATGTCCACGACCGCACATGCTTTCTCAAAGCCGTCCTCCAGCAAACGCTTCCTGGGCAGCCATGAGTCGGCCCACCGGTATCCATCAGGCTCATCTCGCCACTGGACCCTGTACCAAAACGCAAGCCGTACCGGCATGCGATCCACAATTGCGTACACTAATCCCTCGTCAGCAGTATCATCACGGTTCTCGACTTGCGTACAACTTGAGTCGTCATTTCGACCTTTACCGGCGACGACAGAGACCGATACAGCAGCAGATTCAGCGTATCCATCATGCGAAGATACCCAATCATCGTCATTGTGACAATTACAGACGTAGAGTATTAACCCCTTGGACGCGGAGGGGTGACATGGACGGCATTAAAAAACGCTTAAACCGTCCCGGACAGCATAAGAAATAATATGTGTTTCCGTATACCATACCGGGTAGAAGAACAAATTTGGACGTTTTTCGCACAGATTATAGCTAACCTTTCGGGTAATAATTCTCGCAAGGATGATGGGCACTTCCGGATATTTGTGTGACCCGATCACAGCCAATTGCACGAAGTCACGCAATCCTGATACTTTTGAATTACGGGGAGAGGAACCAGTAGAGCTTCTGCCGAAGACGTCCAGGGGATGCAGCACCCGCGGCCTCGCTAACTACGCGTCCTGTAAATGGTTTACAACTAACCCACTGCGTCGCAAGATGAATCTACATGTATTGTAGCATAACGGCTACTCCTTCGCTACTGCACGGTCGCGGATGTGGCTTGTCTTGGGTGCAAACTCACCGTTTTGCCACACGAGGTGCCAGATCTGAGTACAGGTGAGACCTTCATTGTTGGGGTGACCACGCTCCTTGTTGCAAAGCGTGATGGGTCCTTTCTTTCCTTGTGAGCACGGGGCGCAGTAGTAGGAAGACGTTCCTCCCCGCTTCTTTCCTTCAGGCTTGTAGCAGGAGCATACCTTACACTGTCTTTGGCGGAGGCGCTGAACACCATTGTTCATGCGGTAGTCAGTGGTCTGCGTGAGCTTGTGTTCACCCTGCACGACGCTCGGAGTCTCTGCTGCCACGTTTGGCGCTGCTCTTGAGTGCGTAAAGCAGGCTTCTGTGTGTTCGATTAAATCCTTGTGAAGCTTTGCCATGAAGTTGAAGTGCGAGCCTTGTGGGGCTTTCTCTCACATAGTTTTTTGTAGACGATGTAGGCGTTGACTAGGGCCATGTCGACAAGACCGAGGAATAGACTCTTGTACTTGGCGAACCTGTAGTATCCGAACAGCATAACTTACGATTAGAAACCACATCATGTCAGCATAATGTTATCCGTACCTTGTGGACAACTGCAACGAGTATGCTTGTAGCCGCAGTTGGTCATGCCGATCCACACCTCCCATGTAGCGTTGGTATTCAGCTACTAGGCCTGGACAGGGAACATCGCTTGCGCCCCCACGCCTCTCGCGGCGCCGGACAGTGGTTGCTGCAGTTGTCACTTGGGAAGCTAGGAAGTAGACGATGGTGTTGTCCGCCCACATCACTGCCACCAAACCAGGGTTTGACTTCGCCACTGCCATTTGGAATGTGCCCCGTGGGGTCCTCGCTTGGCGTTTCTTCTTCGGATAATTCAGACGATCGCACCAGCCCTTGCGATCCGTTTGCATAGTGCCCACGTAGTTGAAGCCCATCGTGCGTAGCTGTTGGACCAGCGGGATGGAAGTGTAGTATCGATCACCAATAATCAGCCGCCGTCCTCCGTATGGAAGGCCCCGAAACACGCACGCAACGATTCGGATGACAGCAGCAGGACCAATTTTCGTGTCCATGGCCTGCGAACACTCCGTGTCACCAGCGCGTCCAATATCAAGTTCGACTCTATTTTGAGCGTCAGCATCGTATACAGACTTCGTCAGCATAAAATCCAAATAAAAAACCGACCATGTCAACACACACGTACCTCTTGCAATACCCGGTCTCAGCGCAGCAAGTCATCACACCCTTCGAGCCCCAGCGATGAGGCTTATCCTTCATGAAAGTCCTTGTCGGATTTCGCTAGTTGTGGGAAGGAAGAATCCCTTCATCGATGGCAACACGCGACCCAAGAACGTAGCCTTCCTTGAACGTCTTCTCCAGCGTAGAGAGCACAGATCGTATTTTCCAAGCTCGATCGGTAGCAGCTGCAGGGCTCTTGTTATCGGTGAAATGTAGAAACCGCAAGATATCACGGAACCTGTCGCGCCGCATCACTTTGCTGAATGTTCCCATCGGAAGTACACCCGTGGCTTTGGTGCTCCAGTGATCTTCCATTCGCTTGCAGGGACTCAATGCATGTGCAATCATCATGCCAATCCATTGACCATTTTCGTGGGGAGCAATCTTCTTAAATTTTTCAAGGTTTCGCCGCAATGTATCTCTACTGCGCTGTGCACGAGCGTAACCTTGCGTTCCTTCGCTTCCGCCTTGTCGAGTCTGGCTTCCAGCGTTTGCTTCCAATACAGGTGGGTCTGGCTAGCAACGTCACGCCAGAAAGCCTTCGGCAAAAAGTAATAGAAGAGGCCCAGCGGCGACTTAGAAACTGTCAGGATGTCTTGAGATGGCCCACAATATCCAGAGTACATTTTGTCCACGTCAGGATCATCTACGACCGGAGCCTCCATATTCTCAGGCAGCACGTCCCATCCGTCTATTTTCATTTGGTTGAGCTGGTCGTCATCGTAAACCTCCGACGACCCTGTCAGCATAACATGTGAGTTAGAAACCGTTCACGTCAGGTTAGTAAAATCTAAAGTATAACTCACCTTGAACACGCAAGTGCAACCGTTCCAGCTCTGCTGCATCCATTAGCCCCGTTACTCGGCTCAGCTCCTGACGAAGATAGTCCTCGCGCGCCAAAGCATCGTCGTCTTCATCGCTGTCGGTGTCAGCAACGCCGTCGCCGATATCACCAGCGGAATCCTCGCCCCCCTCGCCATCGGTCTCAAGAGCGGTCTCCTTGGTGTCTCCAATAATATTCGGGTCAAGTGAGTCCACAAAGTCAAAGCGCAGCGGCGTTCCGCACGCGGCGTCGCGCAGGGCTCGGTTTTCGTCGTTTCTGGGGTCCTTGGCATCTTTTGTTTCATCTTCTCCTTCTTGGTCGTTGAAATCCGCAGGAACTTCAGAGACGTCATCTTTTTCATCATTGTCTTCTTCCTCACTCGGTTCGTACGCTTGTTCTTCGGAAACAGAGTGTCCGTGTCGTGGACTGGCATCGGAGAGATCACGCAGCTCAGGATTAGTATATACCGCTGCGCTGTCAGAAGCTGGGGGCGGTCTGTCCTTGCCGGCAATAGTTTCCGACGTTGCGTTCTCCTGACCCGTGTTGGCATTCGATGGTGCTTCCGTGTTAGCATTAGCTGGGGCTTCCCCGTCAGCATTTGCATCAATGTCAGCTTTATCTTCAGCTGTTGTGCAGTTCTTGTCGGCATTAGGATCGGCGCTGGTGTTCCTGTCAGCATATTCTAAAATGAGTAAACATCCCCTGTCAGCATTCTATATGTCAGCATAGCAGCAAAACTATATACCTTTCGGGAGAGGCTGACCGCTCGCCAAAGAAGCTGAAGTTGAGACTGCTGCTTGGACAGGCGGCACAACTGCGTTTCCATCCGCAACTAAACAACCAAAACCACGTCAGTTCTATGAGAGCAATTGAGCAGCCAGTATATTGCTTACCTGTAGCGTTCTGTTCACCCCACACTTTGTCAAAAGCTGCCAGTTCCTTTCGCCGTTTGTCCGCTTCTTGAGCCATCTGCTTCTTGGAGGGTTGCTTAGACTTGACCTTGGAAGTACGCGGGGTTTTGGCGGTTCGCTTTGATGCAGAATTCGCTCGTTTTGCTGGTGGACTCGCTTCAGTCACGGATATGGGCGTCGGAGGACGCTTTGGCGGCGCCGGAGCTTTGCCTGGAAGTGTACTTTGAACTGCAGAATGAGTAGTGTTAGCATGAAATGCTCATAACAAAATCATTTTCCGTGCTGTACGTACTTGCTTGGCTCGGCGGCCGGACATAATACTAAGCCGCTCGCATAGTTCCGTGTCTGAGCGGATGTAAGCGAGCAGCTCGTCCTCGCCGTTGAAGAAGTCCACGCCTCGCGTCCCTCCTTTCAGTTTGCAGCCCGGCTTGATGTAGTTGTGGCTGCAAAGGTAGACGCATTAGGTACGGCACCATGCAGGACCTATAAGTAATCAACTTACTGAATCTGGATCCCGGTTGCCGGCTTCCAGGACCATCCTTCCTTCCGAAGTAGCGGCCAAATCGCGCGGAAGTCCATGGCGTATGCCATACAGACAACGACTTACAAAGCCGGCAGACACAAAAAGCCGGCAGACGAAGTCAAGCAAAGCTTAACATGAGCAAACCAGCCAATCAGATCCAATCAAATGACTTCATCTTTGTATACCATCTGGTTTTGTGTACTTTATATGCTTTCTTGTGTACTTCATGCAACACACCGTGTGTTTTATGACAGTTTTACAGATTTGACGGGAGGGAATTTATCGTTGTTTTTATATAGGAGGATGGAATTAAGCATGCCGGCTTTGTAAGTCGTTGTCTGTACTTGAGTCCTACGCGGCGAAATCCGAGAATGAATGGTTTTGCTAGAAGGCGGCAACACGGCTAGCATCGCGGAGTAAGCAAAGGGTGTGTCCTTGATTCTAGCCGTGCGCACTCGCTTTTGTTGGTAGGGGCCGCCCGTCGTCGACCCTTCGTCGGAAGTCGCATCATCATCTTCTTCTTCTGCAGCGCCCCGGGAACCTAAATATGGTTTATCCGAAAACATTTGCCCGCCCTTGCACGCGGTAGTTCAAAGCATATGTTTTACTAAATAATCGTTTGTCTCCTTTTGAACACGTGGACCAATCAGTTTCTTTCGATTTCTGGGAAAGGACGAGAACATATTTTGCGGATTTCGAGACATAATGAAACCAAGTGATTCTTATGCTGTTCTGAACAGCATCAGGTGATTTTCCAACCCTCCGCGTCCAAGGGGTTAATACTTCCCGGTAAGCACACAGCAAGATGTGCGGTATGGTACGATCCGCACACGTTTACTGCATGCACTGTACGTGAACGCTCGTGTCGGGATGCAAGCTCAGTGCAGGATTGTTGTTGGGATTGTACCTTACACCGCACGAAAATACCGCGCACCAACCGTTCCCTAAGCCTGCGGTGGGCGACGTCAACTACCGGGTATCTCATTCTGCAAATTCTTCTCCAGGCCTGAAGACCCAACAACCAGCATCCAGTCATGCGTCTCTTCAACACGACGCTTGTGGTTCTAGCGGCCGTCCTCCTTGCAAGTTGTCCATCAGTGTCACAGGCCGATCAAATCGGTGTGTCGACCGCGGACGGAGTTCACTCCTCGCATGATGTCGCCAGCGAGGACAAGCGATTTCTTCGACGTCACCAAACGGCGGTTGATAAAGCCGAACTCGACAACGAAGAGAGGAAATGGGGTTTGTTATCTGCGAACAGGCTAACGAGAATGAAGGATGACGAGCTCTACCGCTTCAAATCCTTCAAAAAATGGAAAAACCATGGATATACCGCGGACGACGTCTCCACGGAAGTGCCCCCTAGCCTCTTTGAGCTCTACGCGGCGTTCAGGCGTATGTATGGCTAAGCGTCGTGTTTCAAGTAGCCAAGACTTCAAGCTCGCCCCACAACAGCCCCTAAAGGAGGTCACGATACACTTTATCGTCTCGATGCTTTCTTAAAGCTCGAACACGGTACAGCAGAAGAAAACCGCCTATGGACAGTTAATAACAAAAATAGAGGTTGTCTTCGAATTGAGACTCCATTGGAGAGAAATGTGCGGCATGTTTTTCGTTTTCCTGGAAGAAACCTTCATTTACGTAACGAGGGCTCCGCGAAGGCTGGGACTGAGGATTTAGTATAAACCCCTTCTTTTTATTTTTTATTTTTATCAATTGCTTTTCTTATTAGCTACGGTCGTCTCCTGCGCCTGCTTCGCAGCCAAAGCATCTATCCGCAAATTTTCCTGTTTGCATTTTAATTTTGTAAAACATTGTCGGTTGATATCTTGCATCTACAGTTTTACTTGGTTGAGATCTGTTTGCAGTTTGTAGAAAATGCATGTTATTGTACAGTCCGCCTCAATCGTTCTCTTTGCTTCACTTCGTCCATCCGTACCCAGCTCAATATGTGTACTGATTCATACTAGTGTCGTCGGTAGCACACCGGTTCGATCTGCCCACGCACCGGAGTTGTACCGGTTTCAAGAAAATATACCAGTTAGATGTCAGGAAGGGTCATCGTTTGACTTGACGTACCACGGATATAATCCTATTTGGTCTGCGACAGCAGCACTAACGTTGCTTCCTATCCCAGTAAAATAAAAACTGTGTGTACCTAGATACACTGAAATTATTCACCATAAATCCCACACATATTCGACGAAATGAGTGCTGGGTTGGCAAAGTCGCCGAATCTGCAGACGAAATCCCGCGACAATGAAGTAGCAGCGATTGATGCGCTTCTTGTTGTCGCGTGTCAGCCGCTGCCAGCCAGGCGTCCGAGAATGAAAAAAATATCTTTGGTAGAATTGCAATATTGTTGGGGATCAATTCGCAGTTCGTTAGGCGGCAGACGCGTGTGTTATCGAACGACATTCTCCTGGCTTTCGCGCAACATTTCCACTTCAATGTGCCTTCAAATGCCAGTGAGCCTCTGCCCATAGTGCTCGTGCGGGAGATGCCCGGATTCTGTGAACGCCATTCCATCATCGTTGTCAGCGAGGCCTCGAGCCGGTGGCCCCCTCAACCCACCCCCCAAGGCGGCGTTCACTAGTTGAACATTTAGTGCAGCAATAGTGAATTTATTGTTTATTTAATTTTCACTGTTACGTCCGGGACAAATGCTATGGTTGCGAAGCTGGCGCAAGAGATACCGGTAACTCAAACAATAAAAAAAGTACCTCGAAGTACTCGTATTTTCAAAATCCTGCTATGTCAGCCTTCCCTGAGCCGCAGCTGTGTGTCAAGTAGTTGTACTTAGCTGGTTTAGAAAACCCTCGTAGAATGGTTTGGGCGGGTGTGTCCGTGCTTTCGGAACTCCATATCGGTATCTTATCGCTCCTGAGAACTGCGAGCGCCCCGGACCTCCAGTCCGGGTACCCCGAATATTGTATTGTACCCGCTGCAGGGTCATCAATATCCTCTACTTATTGTCAATATTGTTCAGAAAGAAAAACAGCCCCCCAATTACTTCTGACAGCTTTTATAGTACTTCGCTGCCCAGCTCATCTTCAAGTACGCTCAACAAGACTGACCTGCGTGTTGCGATTGTACACGTCGCAGTCTAGTTGTGTGTCTCCGTATCGAGGCACGTGCTTGCTGTGAAGTTGTTGCCAAAGATAGGCAATTGTGGTACACGTGGTGGAATACTGGGATCTGATTGGAGGAGCCCCTATATTTGACACTTCTGATTGGCTGAGAGAAAGGCAAGTTGAAGTTGCCTTTCTGGATACGATCTGCAACATTTACTTTTTGCTCCCCCGCCTCTCCTACGACGAAGTAGGAGGTATGCGTTGGTGCGATTCATGTTTAAGCATAGGAGACAAGGATATGATAGTTAGTTTGGCCTAACTCATTCTAATTCACTTTCGGATTTCCTTCCTAACCAACACTCGACTACCAAGCCTCGCCCGCATAATCTCAAGTCTGCGTACATCGTATTGAGGGGTTAAGAAAAAAACTTCAAAATTACTATAACTCAGGCTGTTGTAAAAGTTGATGCATGTGAATAAGCTCTACGCAGCTAGAATGACATTTCTTGCATCATTCTGCCCTGCTCCATTGGCATAAAGTCCCCATCAGCGTTTTCGCTTCTGTCCTTATGAAAACACTCGAGGATGTACGTCAACGTCATGCAAACAAGTGCCAGCCCCACACTAATCGACACCGACCTCACGCGCTTGGGCAGCCCCGTCTTCAACGCTTGATACACCTCGAGATTTGTCGAAACTGGTGAGAATAGTGACGTTGCATTCGTTGGGAGACCCGTTGCCTTCGTTTCGTTTCGCAGTGAGGTACATTGATGTCACTTAACTTCTTTGGCTAACGACAGCTATGGTCTTGTCGGTGGTCGTCTCTAACAGACCGCCCTATGAAACGGCCCTAACTAACGCCAGAGCCACCTCCACACATTAACGGGTGAAGGCCACGAACTCCGAGCACTGTTCTGCTCCATCCAGTGACCTACGTCGCCGGAAGCGTAGTTGTACACGTCGTCCCACGTCGAGCCGGAGCCGCAAATTCGAGTGGGTATCTTTTGAAAACTGCGGCGGGAGTCCATCGCCATGTTGGCGAGGGCGTCCGCCATTCTGTTGTGAGCACGCAAGTGGTGCTGCCACGTCGTTACCGCCAGTTTGTCTGCCAGCCGCCGGCTTTGCCAATACAGCGGTTGTAGGTGCTTAGCTCGAGGCGGAGTCCGCATCTTCTGCTGATGAATGATGAGGTTGCTGTCTCCTACCACATGAAGTGGGGTCCAGCCAAAATGAAGGCACGCCTTGAGCCCCGTCAGTAGCCCCATGTTCTCCGCCACGTTGTTGGTCGTGCTGGCCGCCGCGTAGGACATGCTAATGACCCAACAGATCTCATGACCACCCCGTCCGTTTCCGATGCGGACCACTGCAGCACCACTACCGCCAGGGCCGGGAATACCACGCGAGCCGCCATCGAAAAACAAAAGGTAGCGGGTCCGTCCAGTAGGGGCCGCGTCGAGCGTCGGCTCCCACGCGGATATGAGCACACGACGCATCGTCCGGGCCGCCATCTCGAGAACATCCCGCTGAAGACTTCGACCGAGATATAGATGTACAGTGTCATACCCGTGGCGCAGTCTGGATACTAACAAGGCCCGGTGGTAGTCTTCTGTGACTGTGTTGAGCGGGTCAAAGAACGCCACACGCCACCTCCATACAGCGTGGAAGTAGAGCACCACGCCGACTCGCCAACAGCTCTCCATTCCCTTGGTCACCGCCACCGTTAACTGGTCAACCGTACTTCGCTCCAGACTGGGGAAGAGGTGCTCTACCATTGTCCACACACCCGCAGGCACCTGAGGAAGGAGTAAGCTAAAACATGACTCCTCGAGACGCGCCCGAGGCATACCCATTGCTAGCCAGCGTTGCGTGAGGACTTTGCGTAGTGATACTGCGGCCGAACACACCCAGAAGATGTGGTGCAAATCTACCCTCGCCAGCCGGACGCACGCTGCATGGGGGCATCCGAGTTGTTGTCTGCTACGGTCGTAAAGAGGGAAGGCATGATTTTTGAGCCGGTACAGTACTTGTTCCCCCCACGACCCTAGGCCAACAATGCGTCGAAGCCTCGCCCATTCAAGTTGCGATAGCCCCTGCGCCGCTGGTGCACTGGCTTGCTCCCAGCGTGCCCTCCGACGGGTAGCACTTGCATATCCTCGCCGTTGGGAAGCGGCCGCAATGAGATCACGATAGTGTTTGCGAGATTGTGTCCACCTCCAATTACCCACCCAGAGACAAACCATACGCGAGACTCGTGGGTGAGGCTGGACATCTACGACACTGACGGCGGGTCTTAACAGGTCGGCCACTTGCTTGATCAACCGCGAGTGACTGGTGACTATCCTGCTTCGTGATGACGAGTCCGCATTCAAACGCACACGCGGGGGCACTGAGGGCACGACTGTGACAATGGCAGGATGGTCCGGGGCGTTGCAATGATCTGGAGCTCAGCACTTCGAGGCCCAAGGTAGAGTAGTCTCGGAAAATTCGTGATGAGTACCAATGCCAGCTTCTCCAGTTGAGATCTCGCTGCAGAAGTCCGCCGTTTTCTCCTGAGAAGCAGCGTGAAAGTAATCCGGCCCCCACCGTGGCAGCACCAGTGAACATATTCTTTGAAAGGCCGACCACGCTTGGTTAGCCTGCGAAAATCCTTCTGGTGAGCCATTTCCCCTGTACTGCTGTCGTGAAGGCGGAGGTCCTCCAAGGTCGCATACGGAAGCCACTCTAAGCACTGCCGTCCGAGCTGGGCGAATTCGTCCTGAAGAATCTGCCTGCAGGAAGCAGCTCTCAGAGCAGCGGCCGCGCCTAAAACTAGTCGCGGTCCGTCCCAGGTGAGGTTAACCAAATCGAAATGACACGCGAGCTGGTAGAGGGAGGATACCATGTCCGCCCTAGTTGCTACACCCTGGTCCCTTCCGACCGCAGTAATGAGCATCCGGCCGGTAGCCCACATTGAGTGACGACGCTGAAATCCTGAAGCTGGCGCCAAACCCACTGCCGGAGTCAAGTAGGTAGCAGGGGCCAGGGTGCCAGGTGCCGACACTCTGGCAAGCAGTATGTCACCAACAATATGAGCTGTATGTGTCCCCACTACCGCCCAATTTGAGACTGTGACTGCCGCCATGGCCATCAACTCGACCCTGAGATCTGGCACCGCTAGGCCCCCGTGCGCGCGTGGCAAGCCCGCGAGATCAGCGTCCAGCCAGGCCCTGCCCCCCTGAAGTTCGGTCGTAAAACACCCATGTCAGACGTAGTTCCGCAATTTCTTGGACAGTCGATTGATGGTACTAGTGGACGGCCATGCATGCTGTCCTATGTAGAGAAGCTTAGGCACAATAATAGCAGACGCTATCAAGCTTCTCTGATCTACTGTCGTGGTTTTCTGACAATCCATTACAAGACGCGTTGAAAGCTGTCGTTCCGCGATCGTCCACGTTTTTTCGGGGTCACGGGCGCTGCCAACGTAAATGCCCAGATAGCGGTCTTGATGCTGTGTGTCTTCGAACTTCAGTATCGCAGGCAGTTGAGTATCCGAAGGCAGCCCAGACTTGCTTAACGCAAACACCATGATTTTATCGTGATTGAGGCTTAATCCAGAGGCAGCACCAAAAGCAGTGGGGACTTGCAGCAGTGTCTCGACTTTTTCCGCCGAGGCCAAATAGACTGCGGTGTCGTCAGCATATCCTGCTACCCTGACTTCCACTTCTCCGCCAGTTGATCGCAGGAGAACTCCTTTGAGCTCTGGGTGACGATCGATTTCTTGATACAGTGCTTCCAGCGCCAAGATGAAAAGAAGTGGTGCGAGAGAGCAGCCTTGCTTGATTCCGCTGGGCACCTTGACCTGCCGAGACTGAAATCCGTTGGCCAGGAAGCTTGCCGTGGTCCCGTCGTGGAGAATTCTCACCGTCTCAATAAACTGCTCAGGGTACCCATGCTGCCGCAGTGCCTTAAGTAAAAAAGTCCGTGAGAGCGAGTCGTACGCCTTCATGAAGTCGAGGAACAACACGAGTGCCCCGTCCTGCTCAGGATCATCAGATAGAGCTTGTTGTACTGCGTCAAAGATGTGCAGAGTCTCATGGATGGTCCTGCCAGGAGCAAAGCCGTTCTGGTTTCCATGGATACGCTCGTCCAGTGTTGCTCTCACTCTGATCGCCAGGATACGCGTAAAAACCTTGTAGTCCGTATTCAAAAGCGCGATCGGTCGGTAGTTCAGTGCATTGTGCGGGTCACCCGATTTCTTGAGACAAAAAATGTTAGCCTCCAGGAACGAAGCAGGAAAACCCCCAGCTTTGTACCATTGATTGAGCAACACTTCAAAAATCGGCACTAGCTGAGTAGCATACATGCGGTACCAACTGTTACCCAGCCGATCTGGCCCCGCTGCTTTCCCCTCCTCGCAAGCAGCAATAGCCCACTCAATTTCCGCTGCCGTGATCGAAGCCACTGTGGCTTCTTGCTCTCTGCTCGCTGTTGTGATTTTCTCGATCCATCCCGCGACCGTGTCTTGCAACTTAGGGTCGATCGCCGATTGTTGCAAAATGGGCTGCCAGGCGTCCGCGTGTCCGCTTTGTCGTGAACACCACGTACAGGACCATTAACGGCAGGATCGAGGCGAGGTACCGTATTATCCATAAATTTGCTGGATACTCGCCGAAAAAACTCACGTGTGGTCTCTCCCTCCCAGTATGTCGCCGCCGAAAAATGACGGCGTTGGTGCAGCGAGGAGCGCGCCCTTTGACACTCGGCAATCGCTCGTCTCAGCGGAACCGCGGGCGAAGAACCATGCATATCCTCCAACGTGAGCGCATCGAGCCCGTCCGTAATGGCGTCAATGGTCGCCTCTTGACCTCGCATGGCCTCCTGTAGACGGTGTTGTTGTTTGCGAAGTCGGCGCAATTTTTGGCTGAAGATACTGCGGCATTTTCGGCGCTGAGTTCGAGCAATGGAGAGCGTGTCTTTGACGATCCGACGCTTCAGCTCATCCCACCACTTTGCCGTTTCGTGCGCAGTTACTCCATCTTCCCCAATACGCCCCAAAAACTCCTGCAGCAAAAATCGCGTGCGTTCCTGAACGGCGACTGCTGCATACGCGGGAACAGGGTGGACTTTCGGCGGCTTGCGCACTCTGATGGGGTCGTCCGGAGACAGGAAGTGGAGCTTAGCACCGGAATGCTCGGCGTGAACTCCAGGAGGTACTGTCTCCCAACCAGACACCCACGTGTGCAAGTGCGCATTGACGTACCACCGATCAAGGCGGGACGAAGCCTCTCCATGTCCAGCCACCGGATATCGGTAAGTATGCGTCTCCGCGCGATGCCGCAATAGCTCACCTTGCCGCCATTGTGTGGGGCGAGCTGCTGTAACTGGATCGACCATCCCCCACGACGCTAATAGCTCTTTCAGTGCAGCGGAGTCATAGGCACCAGCCCGGCTGGCGTAGCTGCGGTCTGCCTCATCATCCAGCGTACAATTAAAATCACCTCCAATGCAATCAGTGCTCCATGTGGCAATTCGATACCGGCAAGAAGACGAAAAAGTGCTTCACGTTGCGGCACCCGGTGCGGGGCATACACATTCACGACCACTAGGTGTTGCCCCTTGAGATGGCCTTGGACAGCCATGAAGTGCAGGTTCCAGTGCTCAACAAGGATCGGTGTCACGTCCGTGAAACCTCCATACGGATCCACCAGGATTGCCACTTCTGCCGTTTTATTTCGTGACGGCGACCAGAAAGAACGCGTCGGACACCCAACACCTGTACGGAAGCCCCAGCCAGCCGCATACAGGTCCGAGTATTTGTCGATGTCGCCAACTTCGACATGAGTTTCCTGAAGTAGATAGAAATCGTTCCGACCATGAGATCCTTGGGCCCGGAAACTGCGAAACCAAGCATCGCGATCGCTGGCTCTGGCACCAAATCCGTTCACATTCTGAGTCACTCCCCCATAGGTTTGATCCTCGGCATTGAGCCCACCTCCGAAACCAGGGAGCTGGTCAAGGAAGGCTTGTTCGTCAGCGCGGCGCTGGGTGACCTGCTTCTGGCGCTCATCCCGGAAACGACTTCGAACCTGTTTGGCTCTTGCAACGCCAGCTACAATTGGAAAGAAGTCTCCCAATTGACGTTGCCTCAACCGCTTGCTGTCGGAACGAGTGGACCGAACAGGCCTGGGCGGGCCGTCCTGCCGCTCCTCCGACGAATCCATGCTTCTCCTCTCGCGAGGAGGATCCCACGACTGCCGCATGGTGTCTGCAGCCGTGGGGGTCCGGCACAAAGTGCCTTTATTTTCGGTTGGCGGGAATCACCCACTCCTCCCGGTTCAGCCCTAGCGGAAGCATCACGATACTTCCCCATTTTCCCTGAGCAATGTCCTCACAGATGGCTTGGATGGCAGGATAACTGCCATACCACTTTCCCAGCGAGCCCAGAGGCGTTCGCCCCATCGGCGTGGTACTCCAATGCCGGATGACATGAGGTAACACGTGAAGAAGTTCCAAATCCACGTCGCTGATCTCGGTTGGTTGCGCTCGTAGGTACTTGTTAGTGAGCCACTTACTAATGTGAGCCCACCTGCTTGCGTCTGCGGCGACTCTTCTGTTGTCCTCCACGTTGGCTGTATTCGCCTCCAATACCCAGGATCGACAGTACGTGCGCAACTCGGTGGACAACTTGGTGTCCTCCCCTATCCGATTGATCGCATCCAGCTGGGCACGATAAATCTCTGCTTTGCCCCAGTTCCGAAGGATGCCAAGCGACAGCATCTTGGCCGCTAGTTCCGGGTATGGTAATACTGCAAAAACCCATCTAAGGGCTTCAGACTGACCGGCTAGCTGGGGTAGCACCTGCGCAAGGCTCGCCGAGGCAATATCCTCCACAGCCACATGCAGCCGCGCGTGCTCCAGACGGAACCAATGCCGAAAGGCGGCGTCGTTGTGTTGTTGCGCCGCCTGTAGCTTGATACCGTGGGCCGGTGTCAAGTCAGCACGGGAGCGTGCATTGAGGATTACTTGGTACGGTTTGACGTGCAGTCGGTCACTTAAGAGAACCCGGTGCCGTAGCAGCGGCATCGGTTCCTCGAAACCCTCCGTGGCGCGTTCCCCGATCGCGCAATCATTCATTCCTGCAGCCGCAAATATCTGCTTCTCCGCAGCCCTTGCACGCTCCTCCAGCTCGTCCAGATCATAGCTATGGGCGTCTAGAATAGGCCACTTCATCCGTAGGTGGGCTACATCCAGACGTTGTCTCATCGTGAGGCTGCGATGCAGAAGCGCGTTGGTCTCATCGGTGTCATCCGTCAGATCGATTGAGCGTCCAGCTTGATGTACCTCAAAACCCACACACGTACGAGAGGCAATCCCGGACACAACAACCGTGACGCCCTCCAGGGGAGCCATGCAGTCCGGTAACCAGTCTTACGGGTGCGCCATTTCCGCCGCGAAGTCGGGATCACCTTCAGCGTGCCATCTGAGGTAAAGATCCTCATGTTGAACTCCATAAAAGTGGTGCTCATGATGACGTAGTAACAGGAAAGCCGGAAGCACATGCAGGCGGCCACATACCCGAAGGTATTCGCTAGTGTCCACCGCATTGACTACAGTACACAATCCGCGCTCATGTGTGTGGCGAGTGACACCTGAGGACGGGGGAACTTCGATGGGTTCGTAGCTGTAAATTTGCATAGAACCATCTCCGTTTTCTTTCACATCAATCACTAGCAGCGGCTGCCGGAGATACTGCGCATATGAGCGCAACACACAAGCGTCGGCCCAGTGGGTTCTCCGGACGGATGCGTCAACCGAGCGCGCGCGCTCATGAAGTAGATGAGTGCAAAGCAGCGCTGTTGAGGCCTCCTTGGTGGGCTGACGAGGAGAGTCCGGGTATAAGCGATCAAGCATGTCCCCGGGATCGACCAGTCCAAGCGCTGCGTCAGCTGGCAGATTGGACACCATTAGCACGTAAATTGCCTTCTTGTGATAGTTGGCCTCGGCTGTTGTTTCCGGGGTGCACTTCAGGGTGTTGCCCTGAAAATTCGAAATCGTCGCGTACAGTGCCAGCATCGCACACTGACCGGATTCCGGAACGTGAACTTCACGCGCTTGAAACCAGGAAAGCCAGTAATCCGCCTGGATCGGGTTCTGACTAGGTGGCTTGGTACCAATGTAGACCACGCTGTCGTCCGATTGTTGACTGCTTACCGCGCACTCTGGGACCTCTTGGGCAAGCTCACTCGATCGGAAGTTAGATTGGTTTGAAGCAAGCGAGCATGGCACTTCTGACCCTGGCGTGGCCGCGAAAGGTGGGTCCTGCGACGGAGCCGACGACCCAATGTAACTGGACATGATTAAACCAGCCTGTGAGGCCTCCTGATGGGCGGCCATATCCACGTCGGCCGACCCCGGCTGAGAAGGCTTGAGCTCCACGTAGTCAGTCTGCAGTTCGGTCTCTACTTCCGATCGCTGCCTCCGGCTTGCACGTTGAGCACTCCGTTGCCGCTCTGCACTGCTGATGTCAGGCAGGACCGTAGTAGGCGAAACTGCCTGGGGAATAGGATGATTCGCCGAAGTGAGCGAAACCGCCGGTGCGATGTTCACCAGAGAGGAGGTGGGCACCTCTCCAACCTTGCCGTCGCTCTGGTGACCAACGCAGTCCGGGCAAGACTCAGCCATATCCACATCATGTGCTTGGCCCGCAGTTGGAGCATCCGCGTCCGTTGCATCAGGGAAAGCAAAAGCAGCGTCATCCGGTGCGCTATCCTCTCCGTCCGAGTAGATATCTGCCTCGGATTTCGCGTCCTCCTCCATTAGAGCTTCAAAGCGGCCAAATTCACGTGCTTTTTGGAAGAGCCTAAAAGCATCGTGATCATTGCGAGGCCGAGGCTGTTTGGAGTTCGCCGAAGTGCGAGCCTTGGCCGTCCCCGACTTGCCAGTCGGTTTTTTGCTCTCGTGGGGCGGACGCTTTGGTAAGGTCGCCTCAGTCGTCTTCAGTACCGCTGAGACGGACTTCCCCGACACTTTCTTGCCCTTGTTTGCCTGTCCTGTCTTGGATCGACGCTGGACGACCATGAACTCAGCGTCATCAGGGATAGAACGCTGCGCAGAAGTATTGCCCGGAGACGCAGCTACGTGAACTGATGGCCCAGCGGAGCGGCCGGAAACCTCTACCGGTGTCTGTTCTCCTGCTTTGGCCGGCGGCTGTGGCGGGAGGTCAGCCGCCAGCGTTGCACGATTGTCTTAGTCTGGTCGGCTGAAGGTATTAACTCCTTAACCAGGTTGCCCAGGAAGGTGGCAAGACTCTCTTCGTCCGAATGATGGTATTGCGTGGCGGATCCCACCTGGAAAGGAGAGACCGTCCCGGTGAATCGGCGAAAACCCCGTGCACGCGCCTCAGAGAGGTGCGCAGGTCGGACCTTACAGTATCCTGTGGTATGTTTCGGGCTATAACATCTACCACAAGGGTGCCGCTGGTGCAGTAGGTGGTGGTGGAGCGCCACTACCGTGTTCCCCACAGCGACATGCGTAACACCCCGTAGTGTAGTTGGGCACGCCTCCTGCGTAAAGACCCGTTGCCTTGCTTCCGCACCAAATGTCCACCGCGTCGGAAATATTGCAAGAATCCAGGAGTCTCTGCTGGTACGACGAGAGCGATCCATTACTACGCAGCAAGTTTTCCCTGCAGTAATCCCATCCGCGCGTCAATTTATCCGCCCTTGATGTAGTGTTGCCCGTAGATCCCAACACCTCGCCCCACTTGTGCAAACTTCAGTGCCGCGAATGTCACAGAGTAGCGAAAACTGCACATTTTTATTAACTTGTTCGTTTAGCATTAATCTCACCAAATTTTAACTCGCCTCTCCTTATACGGCACTTGGTTTCCTGCTTCATCGTTCTCCCCACCTCGATTACTCGGGGCAAGACTACACTGTACGTTGTTGCAGAGGAAGATGTCCACGCATGTCGAGTTTTGTGAGATCAGTGATTATTTGCACGGCATAAGGGCGCGGCGCAGTAGGATGAGGGCAAGGGCGTCGCACATGGAGTACGGAAGTAAGTGTGGATAATAAATACTGCGCTCCTAAACGAATATACGTAAACATGAACTGAGAGACGAGAGGCGAAAAAAGATCGAGAAGACAGTAGCGTGCCCCTGCAGTAGAAATCCACAGCTAGACTATCTTGCGCCATTTTGTCCTTCACCGCCTTGAATTCGCCATCAGCACCAGCAACCGCTTGCATACTTTTCTTTTGAACAGCCTTAGCGCCAGATTCAGATTTTTCTCAGAAAACTGATTCCACAGGTATTGCCCAAGTTTTATTCCAGGTTACTACATGTTTTTCGAAACCCTGCCGAATCCGATGAAAGTAATCTATGCGACCGACATAAATTACCTGACCAGGTATAATGCGCGTGGAAAACCTGGAAGAATCATGGGTGCAGAACTTGAGCAAAAGTGGAAGTGACGGCGCTCGGCTCGTGTCGGAAGAGCTCTAGCCAATCAGTCTTGAGCAGTAGAGTCCGGGTTTCGTGCAGGTATCAATACCTGGTATACTCATGTGAGCGCTACTTGAGCAAAAGCCAGAGTGATAAGCGTCGACTTCGTCGGCATGGTGAGAACCGGCAAGTGAAGCCATCACTCAAGTATGGCTCGATCACGTAACTCCAGGTGTTGTCCAGATGTCATCCACGTAGTGTCCATGTATTGAGTTCAGCCTCAAAATGCACTATGCCTCCGTCATCTTCTTGCAACTAGCGACGATTCGTCTTCAGGATTGCTTCCAGCATTGCCCAGCGTAGCTTGGTGATACCCGTCGGCGTTACATCACTTGGAGCGTCGTCGCTAACACAGGTCCAGAAGAAGCGACACACGAAAACACCGCAGCTATCACTGTCGGACTGACGAGGCTCGGTCACCTCGACAGTCGTGTAGCTCGTCATAGTCGCATCTGCAGCAATAATCTCACTCGCGATCTTCTTCAACCTCTGCTTATTGCGCTTGCCATTTTTGCTGTCGTACGTCTTCACTTGTTTGGCATCTAGGTCGACAACGAGACATCCCCAGTGAGCGCCCCCGAAATTGACGGGCAGCAGCACAAATGCATACGTCGAATCACCTGAACCTGAAATGACGTCCTCCAGTGCGTTGGATGAAAGCAGGCCCTTACGACTTCGTTTCTGCTGTGTAGCCTCACCATGCCCTTGTGGTGTGGCCGTAATCGTCACATTATTCTTGTAGCTAGCAAGCACCACCGCAAATGCCTTCGCGCGTCATCATTTAGCCAGGCCGAGTCGCGGAAGCAATACAGATCCGAGTACGTCAGGTCGAATCCGAAGCCACGCAGTTCATTGCACGGCCAGTTCTCCAATAGCTCGGTAAATGCACCGGCACACGGAAAGGGAGGGGCATGAGCAGCTCTTACCTCGCGGCGAAGCCACGAGCAACAAATTCACAGGTCGAAGACCTGTGCTTGGCCCCGGCAAAAAACTTGTAACTTCCCAAAACCGGGAACCAAATCGGGTATCTCTTTCTTAATTGTAATGTTTAAGCTAATATCTGCCGGAATCGGGTACCCGTCGATAAATGCTAAGATTTATGCACATTATTTACCAAAGGTTGATACTAATCGTTTATTATTTACCAAAACCTGCATTAAAACACTTGCGGACCTAATGGCTTCACTGAAGGCGTATCCATTTGCGCCATAATGGACCAAGCTTAGCTGAAGATGACCAACGTGACTTGTCTAGGTGCAGGCTGCACTTTTTACATGTCCATTTGCTCAATACCCAATCACTCTTAGCCGAAGATGCCCAACCTCGTGTCTGTCGCCAAACCAATCAGCTCAACTCGACAGTGACACGAGCATCGTTCGTTTGAATAAGACTTTTTTCCCTGCGTTGAAGCATCCACTTCCAAGGAATTGGCCCATTAGCGTATTTATCATTCCGCAATTTACTCCCCAAGCCCTCAAGTTAAAAGTTTGTTTGTTTGTTTTGTTTTTGAATTGAGGATCATTATTGTCACTTAGCTAACATCCTCAAGTTAAAAAAGGGCCAAGATCAGCGCACCATGCCTCTCTCCTTCGTTCCGCTACTGTTGCTCTCTCGTCTTATCGTTAGCACACAACATTGTACAAAAATGAGCACTGCAAAATGAATGAAATAGCTCTCTCGTTGCTGGTGCCAACGCAGCCATTGGACGCTGACCAGGGTGTTATGTCACCGACAGCGTTGCGTCAATTTACATTGAAAAAATGATTGAGATTTGTCGTCACGCTACAATTTTAATTGTACAATGTAGGCATTGAATTGTATTCTTGTGGTTTGTATAGGGGTCTGTATGGACCATTTGATTGGCTACCCACGCATACAGTTATCAAGTCAACTGTCTTGTACAATACAATAAAATCATTGCAGCCAATTTTCTAATTGTAATTGTTGACCCCAATGCTATCAATAGTTTTATTGCAAATTTTATTTACGCAAAGCTGGTCACCGATGGCCTCATCAGACCAGGCAACCTCAATTGGTGACTTTCGGTTCCTGAGAACCCACCACGATAAAGAAGAGCGGGGCTTGTTGGTTACCAGCCTCACAAATGTTTGGCTGAAACATCATTTCCGTATCGATACATTTCGATGTGCGCAACTAGTTGTTCAATTACGCATTCTCGGGCAGATGCTGCGGCTGCGAAGCAGACGCAGTAGATGCCCACGTTAGAATCAACTAGAGAGTTGGGCTGGTAGTGCTTTCAAGGATTAAAACAAAACAACTTTACGATTGACTAAACTATTATCCGTCCATGAAACTATTCGTCGATCTGTGTACCCTCCCGGAGCAACGCTCCGGGTTGCCTATTAAAGCATCACGACATGTAGCTTGTAGGTTCCACAACCAATTTATCGACTCCACTTGGTCACGCCTGAACTGGCCGACCTTAGCAATAGCCGCCACGTAACAATCGCCGCCTGCAGCGGCTTCGCCCTCACTGTCTAGCTCGATCTGTTCGTTCTTCGCAAGGCCGCCGAGAAGTTGCTCCAGCGCGCTGTCAACTACAGACTCCAGTAGACGAAACTGGACTGTGTCTGGGACGAATTCAGCGTCGACGCGCCACTCAATGGGTGTGCCTTGCCCGTGAGACTTTACTTGCAACGTAGCCAGGAAGGACCCTGTCTCACGAACACCGGGTTTAACATCGTGAAGTGTAGCCACCACTTCACACACATCTTTTTCGCGTAATAAAGCCCGTAGGTTTGTGCCATTGTTGTACTCCTTCAAAGCCTTTTTTGCCTTTTCCTTCTGCGCTGCACGGTCGAGAGGGGGGCTGCCTTGCCGTCTGACATTGCCTGACAGTCGAACGCTTAGCCCGCGTGAACAACCTTCATTATCGGCAGCTTGGGTTGTCGAATCGACGACCTGCGTCGGTGCCTCATCGTCAGATCCGTCTTCGTCCTGCATGTTCCCTTCTTCGGCATTGCCATCGTGATGATCTTCTTGCGGGCCCTCTCCCTGGGACGCACTCCCACCCGGAGCGCCACCATCGTTCCCACCACCACCACCACCACCACTGCCTGAGCCATCGTCACCAGAGGATGGGGTCGACAAGAGATCCGTCTTACCATGCCTCAGATTGTACCACCACTTGTCAAGGTCGCTCATAGCAGACTCAAACACTTCGTCCGGAACCTGCGCGAGCTCTCCACTGATACGGCCGAATGCCTGCTGTGCTCGACGATACTTTTCCGCCTCTGTGGTGTAGAGAACACCAGATTTCGCGCGACCAACTCGGCTGGAGTGGTACACTGTACCGGTAGCCGAGCTCAGCCGAGCTCAGCAGCTTATCCGGACACCTTATCCGGCTCAGCCGAGCTCGAAGAATTATCCGGATAGTTCATCCGGACCAGCCGAGCTCAAGCGTTGCCGAGCTCAGCGAAGAGTCGGCCGAGATCCAAAACCGCCCACTTTCATTTGGTATTTGTATAGGAGCTTAGGAATAGTGGAGGTGCCCCTTCAGGGCGCCCGACAGAGATAACAAACAACAGAGCAGAATTTTCTAGGCCTAAAGCACGTGTACACGTTCCGGTAAGTCCCTGCACGGGGCCGGGTTATGTCTGCTGCCGGTACCCGAGATGCATAGCTTGTAGGGTACTCGGCTGGCAGCGCCAAGAGATTAAGGTCGGCCCGGGTTGGGCGCGAGTCTCGCCAAGCGCGAAGGAAAGTCTCGCCACCGCTGCGAGCCGGTGTTCCCGTACGTCCCGGGCACTGATTGCTGAGTCGAGAAGCCTTTGCTCTCGGCGACCTGTAAAAGCGCTCCGTGCGCCGTCGTCCATCCTTTGGTGGAGGGCACAGGGTTGAGTGAACGGAGGCCGTCGAACTTGGCGGTTCTCCGGAGGAGTGATCTTGGTTGGCAGGTCTCGGCGCGAGGCGAGACACCCGCTGTCCCGGTTGGGCCGAACCGCTCGGGGGCAACCCGGCGCAGGCCAACAAAGCCGACCAGCTCGGCTATTGTTGTGTTTGTAGCCAAGTTACCACAACTGACGACTTTGTGTGCACTGCTATACCACAACTGGTGCCGCGACCCGGGAACAGGGGTGTGCTTGTGTTTCGTAGGTACGAGCTAACCAAGGTTTGAGAAGAAGAGAAGAGAGTGTGAAGATGGTCAAGGGAATTGTTACGCCGAGTCCAGCGACGGTTGGAAGTAACTCGGCTGGACTGACCAACTCGGCGGACTCGGCGAATGCGATGATCACGGACGCGACGGCGGACGAGGCGCGCACCGTCCAGTTCGATGAGGAGGTTGCCCAAGACCAAGAAAGTGAGGAAGATGTTGAGGATGAGTATGAGGAGAAAGCCGGGCTACTCAGCGAAGTCGACGAGTTGTCGCTGCAAGTCGGACGAATGGGTACCCCACGTCCAGTTGTGCGCAACCTGGCGGCCGAGCTCGGCAATGATACGGACGACGAAGATCAAGCCACCGCTCAAGGGGAACGTCCGCCCCTGATCCCGCGAGCGACGAGGAATGCGGATACGCCAAGTGCGAACAAGGTTATGGGCAGGCTCGGAGAGGAGATGCGAGCTCAGAGCGAGTGGATGATGATGTTTGCCCCAGTGGCGATGGCTCAGGCGAGATGGCCGGTGCTAGGGCCCGAGCTGACTCAGCCGGTGAACAGCACCGACATCAACCAACTAGTCGAAGACACGGTGCTGCTACTCAAGGCGATGGGGTTCGGGTGCACGAGCCGGCCCAACAGCCTGCTACTCGGCGATTGGGACCCCAGCCGAGCTTCACGCGAAATCCTCAAGTTGAAGCGTCGGTTGAGAGTCTCGTTTGGTCTCGAGCGGGGTGCCGTCGGAACTCGACAGACTATTGCGAAACGAGTGGCTGATACTCCGAAGACCGTCGAAGACCCCAGCAGGATTCCCCTGCCGAAGACTCCCGAACGCAAGAGAGCCGAGGTGTTCCGCTCTACTGAGGGTACGCCGTATTTCGAAGATTCGCATATGAAGACGCCAACGCGTGGCAAGCAGCCAAGTGGACGCTACGCTGAGTTGTTTGACGCTGCAGACGCAGCTGAGCTCAGCGACAGCGACGATGGGCGCGAGTACCTGAACTCGGCTGAAGAGTCGGTGAAGGACGTCATCAAGCACCTTAGCTTCGATGACGCTGAAAGTGATCGGACGGAATACTTGGAGGTTTGCACCCATGCGTCCCTCGACAAGATCCCTATGTTCGAAGGCAAATGTTACCGACCGGATGACTCTCTCCAGTGGCTTAAGCGGTTCATCTACGAGATGAAAGGAACTCGGCTGGCACAAGACCTCTGGTACGAGCCATTCTCGCTGAAGATGGAGCGAGGCGCGAAGAGCTGGTATCGCCAGCTCCCGAAGAAAACGCAACGGAAATGGAGTCTGCTGAGTGAGGCATTCGCCGACTACTACTGTTCGCAGTTTGACCAGTCGGCACGAGCTCGCTATTACTCGGCTCAGCGCAAAGACAACGAGCTGGTGTGTGACTTCCTCGTTCGTCTCAAGGGATATGCGAAGTCGGCGAAAATCCAGTACGAGGCCGGTGGAGCGGATGCTGCTGACCATGCGGAACACTTCCTGTTGCACTGCGGAGATGATGACATCATGGATCTGCTCTATCCGCAACAGCTCACCGACATCAAGAAGGTCGAGAAGATCATCAACCAGAAGATCCTGGGGGAGCGCCGGAAGAAACAGCGCGACCGTCTCATCGGAAGCCGCAGCCGAGATGCCAAGCGCACCGATTCGCCAAGGCACTCGGCAGCTCGGCGGAGTGAGCCGCGCCGAGATGACCACCGGGAATGACGCAGAGATGACCGCCGGGATGACCGGCGAAGCCGACGCGACGATGGTCGAGACCGCCGACTAGCGACAGCGCTGCTGGAGGACTACCCGTATGAGCTGGCTGAGAGACGCCAATCCAATCGACGATCCAACCTCTACGAATCGGACAGCGATCAGAGCGACGGCAGCCAGCCGAGCTACTCCGACTCGGCTGTAGACTCGGAAGACGATTACATCGACACCGGGTTCACCAGCGACCGCGAACGTAGATCGGGGGACCGAGGGAACTCAGCTGGGACACCACGGAGTGATCACCGAAGGGGTCAGCCGAGCTCGGCTGACCGCGCCAGTCGAGGATACGATCGGCGTGACCAGACTGGGCGGCGCAGTGACTCCCGTGAACGCCCTTCGTATGGACCTTGTGCTGCCTGCGGTGGTGCGAACCACTCCGTTCACTACTGCCGCCGTCGCTGCAAGTTCTGCAAGTAATTGCACGATGTCGGTCAATGCGAGCTGTTCCAGCGCTATGAGAAGCTCGCCGCATTTGTCAAGTCCAATGTCGACAAGTCCAAGTTACCTGAAGACCTCCAGGACCTCTACACGCCGAGTGATTTAAACTCGGCGGCCCGCCAACACTGACTCGGTTGGATGATACCGGGCTGACACAGTCAGCTGAGCCAGCAGTAGAGGCGAACTTTGTGTTTGCCTTTGTGGGTGAGGCAGGAAGGCCCGAGGACCGAGGAGAAGACGACGTATTGGATTGTGAAAGCGATGGACTTGATGGTGAGCTCGGCGAGAGTGGAGAAGAAAGCCAAGCAAGATTGTGCAATGCAGTTGCGACTCAGCGATCGACGAATGTGACCACAGCCACCAGAGTTATGAAGCTGCTCCCTGGGGAGCGACTCGGCTGGTGGTCGTCACAAAAGTTTGACCGCCGAGTTCGGATGAGAGCTCTCGTTATGGGAGCAGTGAACGACCAGCGTACAAGATATTGCTCGACACCGGTGCGAATGTGTCGGCAATAAGCGAAGGGTTCGCGAAGAGGCTGCGGTTGAAGCGGTTCACATGCCAGGACCAACAGATTGGCGTTCAAGGTATTGGGAAAGGCAAAGTGGCGACGATGTCACGAGCGATGGTAAAGGTGACGCTCGGCTGGGAGGTCACGTATGAATTTGAAGTATGGATCCTCGATCACCACGCAGGAGTCGAGTTGATTCTCGGTACGGACTTCATGATTCCGGCTGGAATCCGCCTGGATCTGTACAACTCGGTGGCGAAGTTGCCAGATGAAGTTGTCCTACCTCTCGTGAGGTCCCAGAACTCAGCGGATGAACCGAAGGGCGGCCTCTACATCACAGACGGCCCGACCGAACCGGTGAATCTCGAGAGCCGACTTGGACGTGGTGCCCAGCACATTTCCCAGTGGTTGCCTGGGCGCCGCATGGGGTGTTACCGCCCGATGGTTACGTCAGGTTGCACTCCGCGAAGTACAAAGATTGGCAAGTCATGGCCTACGAAGCGGCTATGGATAAGGATCTGCTGCAAAAGGAACAACAGCTGTACGCCGAGTGGCTGGCTCGACAGCCGTCAGCTGTGGACCGTAGAAACTACCCTGAACCGAAAGGGGTGACTACGTGGCCGTCTACCAAGCCGCGGGATTCGGCACTGACTTGCGCCCAGCAATGGGAGAAGTTAGCCGAGTCGAAGGAGCGAGCCGAGGCAGAAGCAGCCGATAGTCCACCCTCGACTCTGACAGAGCCAGCGAACTCGGCTACCGCTACCCTAGCGCCTGAGGAATTAGCATTGAGCGCGGAGCCTACTGCTGACTTGGTCAATGGCCCGCCTAGTCGAGCAGAGATCACAGTGACGGCTGGTCAAGAAGCGCCCAGCCAAAACGCCTGTGCAGCAGATGAGTGTGAAAGTGAGCAATCCAGCGATTTGTCTGACTGGACGATCATCAACGACCCCGGGCCCAAGCCGCCGAGTCCAAGGCTCGAAGATGAGGTCGATGTGAGCGACGAGCCCATGTCGTCAGACCCGGAGGAAGACCTGCGCTTACGTTACCTTCTGGCAGCCAAGTACGAGGAAGAGACAGATGGTCGAGGCGACTCGGCGGGAGACTCAGCCGAGTTCGAGCACCAAGCAACGAACTTGGAGCTCGAAGACTATGCTCGCGAGTTGGCGTTCCTGCCCGATCTGACTGAAGCGGTGTCGACGCCACTCGACTATGAAGCGTCAAACGTTCGGAGCTCGGCGCACACTCGGCCACAGTCTACTCGGCTGGTGGAAGTATTGAAGAACCATGAAAAGATCATGATCTCCAGTGGTAATGTCCTACCTCCACCAGCATACGGCGTAGTGTGTGACATCGACGTACAGGGGCATCCGCCAATCCGCCAACGAGCCCGCCGAGTTCCGCTGAAGCATCTCGGCAAGTTGTACGAGCTGCTCAAGGCGCTGTTACGGGCTCGGCTAATTGCCTTCTCGAACAGCCCATGGGCATCACCCATCGTGATTGTCCTAACGAAGAATGGGGTCGACATTCAGTTGTGTATCGACTACAAGCTGGTAAACGCGATTACGTTGCTCATGGAGTATGCCATGCTGCTAGTGGACGATCACCTCACGGAGTTGGAAGCGTACCTATGGTTCTGCTCTTTGGATGCTGCTAGCGGTTTCTGGGCGGTCATGATGACTCGACGGGCGCGTTGGATCTCGGCTTTTGTTTGCGTGATTGGCCACTTCGAGTGGCTGCGGATGCCCTTCGGATTAAAGAATGCCCCAATGATCTACCAGCGCCTTATTGATAACGTTCTGTGGGGTTACGTACAACCCAAGGGCGGCTGGAAGGTGTTCGCCAAGCGCATCCAACAAGCGGAAGCCGCCTCAGAAGCTCCGCGGAAACGGCTCGCAGCCGACATCGACTTTGAAGCCAGTGGCCAGACCAAGTTTGAGGCCGACCGCCGAGCTCAAGCTGAGTTTGACCCATTGGAAGAATTCATTAACAGCCCAGAAGCCGACATGTTCCGGACGGGCGAACCTGATGAATCGTGCCTTGCACCGGTTTTCGACCGGCGATCGTTTGTGGACGATATCTGCTTCGGTGGGAGGACGTTCGACGATTGCTTGGGGACGCTTGACCGATTGCTGCAACGCTTCACTGAATGCCGCATCAGCGTCAGCTTCCCGAAAAGCATCTTCGTCCAACCTAAAGTCGACTTCCTGTCACATGGGGTGACCTCGGCTGGAATCTAAGCCGACCAGAAAACGATGCTGGCGATAGCCGGGCTACCGTTCCCGACGACGAAGAAGGGGATGCAAGCATTCTTAGGAGCGCTGAACTACTACGGCCGGTTCATCCAGAACCTGGCTGTATATGGGGCGGTCCTCTATCAGCTGAAGGACGAAGATTTCGGACCCGGCGGTGATCTGACGGCCGCAAAAGCGGCGTTCGCCGAGCTAAAACAGCAGGTGGTCAACGCACCCGTACTCCGCCACTTCAACTCGGCTGAGGACGTCCAGGTTATGCTATTCGCCAATGAGTGGGCTCTGAGTAGCACGCTGATGCAGCTCCACGACGGGAAGCTCCATCCAGTGCGGTTCTGCGGCCGAGTCCTTAAGGATAATGAACTCGGCTACCATCCCGCCGAGAAAGAAGTTCTCGCCTTGCTACAGCTGCCACACGTTGCTCGCCGGGAAGACCATCCATGTTTACACCCGCTACTCGACTCTCGAATGGGTGTTCCAGTCGAAGTCTCTCTACGGCAGAGCAGTCAGCTTTGCGGTACTGCTATCACCGTTCCACCTAAAGGTCAAGCGGGTCCGCGAACGGGACACGGATTTCACCCAGTTGCTCCAAGCGTCCATCACGCCGGCAGTGGGATTGGACGAGCTACTAACGCATGTCACTCCACCGTCCAAGAACTCGGCTGTGGTCCGCATGGACCCAGAATTGCTGTATACGCATGTACCCCGAGACTTCAAGGGACACGTCCTGTCGTTTGACGGATCGGCGAAGACTGCTAAACACGGCGGGTTCGGGAGTTGTTCTTGGATCCTGTGGCGTTTGTCAGACTGGAACATTGAGATCGCTGCGAGCGCGCACCTCCCATCGACCACGGTGAATATAGCCGAGTACACCGGCATGAACAATGGGGTGACCTCGGCCATTGAGCGCGGGGTGACGGATTTGATCATCGTGGGCGACTCCCGGCTTGTGATCCAGCAATCCATGGGGGTGATCGCGTGTAAGAAGGAGGCATTGCAAGTCGAGTTAGCACGCCACACGAAATTGGTCAGCAAGCTGAATTCAGTTCGCTACCTCCACGTAGTGCGTCTCTACAACTCGGCTGCTGACTCTTTAGCGACCGAAGCACTAGCCGAATGGCGCAGAGAAGCAAACTGACAGAGAGAGGTGGCTTTCAAGCTTGCGGCCGAGTTCCAGTTGAAGGAGAAGAAACGGAGAGCAAAGGAACACACTGACGGACTCAGCCGAGTCGAGCAGAGAGCTGTCCCAGCCGGGGAGGAAGGGACGGTTACCCCAGCGAACTCACCCGAGGGAGCAGCCGAGTCGACTGAGGAAGGTGACGAGTTAGCCGAGTCGAGGAAGTCACTATTCAAGGAAGGTGACCAAGTTTGGTTGTTCATGGAACGAGTCAGACCTGGCTTGACCAAGAAGTTAGCACATCGATGGCATGGGCCATTCCGAGTGAAGATGAAGGTGGAGGAGTTTGCCTACGAGCTCGAACTCCCGGACAAGAGCGGATACCGTTTCTACCCTGTGATACATGTGTCACGTCTGAAAGCGGTCACGGGACTCGGCGAGCGGTCGACAACTAGGCTAGTAGCCGACTTAGCCGAGTCGGATCGTCTCGACGTTGACGAGAAACTCCTTCCTGAAGATAGCTGGGAGCCCGACGAAGCAATGAATGAATACGAAGTCGAAGCCATCCTGGACGACGAGTTGTCGCTCTCTACGAGCACCTCCAAAACTCAGCGGAAGTTCAAGGTCAAGTGGGTCGGCTATGATGAGCCAACCTGGGAGCCGCTGTCGAATTTGTCGTGTGGGGACTACTTACGGCAGAAGAAGCGTGAAAACCGTCTGCAAATGGTGCAAGTTGCAGACGAGGATTAAAGCTATTGCGCCAAAATGATGAACCCGCCAACTCAGTGAAGACAGCAGAGGCGAAGGAAGCTACTGCGTCAAATTGCATACATTACATGAATTACACCGAAGAATGCTGGGAAAGGAAGAAGAGCTCGGCGGCTGAGCCGCACGTTACGAAGACGAAGGACCCTGTGAATGCGCGACAGAGAACACGACGGTAGCAGCAGCCGCTGCGAGGAGACCAATCGAACCTTCAGTGTTCGTAGCTGAGCCGACCGAGCTATCCGCTGCTCCCGCAGTCTGCACAGCCGAGTCCGCTGAGCTTGAAGCCGGAATAGCCGAGTTGTTAGCCAGAGGGACACTCGATCCTGCGCTCGACTCAGCTGGAGACCCAGGTGACGCCGAACCAAAGAGGGAAGCCGTGGGAGAAGGGTAGCACACGTTAGGCGACCCGATCAACGGAGACGCCGGATCCGCATCGCCAGCGGCCCAGCCGAGCTCACCAGCTTCACAACCTTGGAAGATGTGGATTCCTGCACGGTTGACCGGAGTCGGAGCACTTGACGAAATCTGGGGAGGCGCAGGCTCGTCGAGGTCCACATCTTCATCGACAGCATCCTCGACTAGGCGCGGATCCACACCAGCGGGAGCGAAAACCATGAATTCCAAGTTACGCGTCCGGAAGCAGGTGTTGTACGGGTGCGTCGCTGGGTCGGTCAACCACCAAGCTCGCCGAGGCTCGGAGTCGTCTATAGACTCGGCTTCAGCACACCAGTCTCTGCCCGCAGGAATCCAAGCAAGATTGACCAGCGGATACAACGGGACCGACGGCTCGAAGAAGAGCTCCGCGTCGATTTCCGGGGCAGCAAGCCCGCCGAGAAGCTTCATCACTGCAGTGAACAGGTCGTCCGGCAGGATAGGCATGAGACTTCGGAGGGCATCGCCTCGACGCTTGCGAGCCAACTTGTACAACACCCACGTGTCATACATCTCGGCTATCACGTGATACGGGAGCCCCGTGTGAAAAGCCGGATGTAGCCCCATCAGCACACTCGACTCGACCATCCAGTGACACCGCTCGAACAGTGCTACGAAGAACTTGGTAGGACCCTCTTTGTCACAAACCGAGTTCGGAGCCTCTCCGCGGATCTTCACGAATACTTCTGCGAGACGCTCCATCAAGGTCACCGACTTCACCGAGTTCGTCAACCGGCGCTTGGCATCGTCGAGGACTTGAGGGGAGAAGAAGATAGGAGTCTTGGGAAGCAGACGAAGGAGCCGCTGAGCCGGGTGATCCGGATGGTAGACGTCCGCGAACGCTTTAATCTCAGCGAGGGAACAGAGCGTAACCGGCACACTACCCTTCGCCGACGCGTCATCCACAGTGACCTTGGCCGTTTGATGACTGAGGATTGCCTCCCAGCACCGCCGAGACCCGTAATGAACGAAGCGGATGTCACGCAGCTGAGCTAGCTGGGGAGTGATCCGGGCATCTCGGCCGACCGCCTGGCGAGCTCGAGTGCGCAGCTGAGCGAGCGAATAGCGTAAAGCTGCAGGCTACTGAGGGAGAACGTGGGCGCCAGCGTCATGAGCGGTCACGATAGGCACCGACAGGGTTGAAGCTGGACCAGCAGAAATAGGCGACGGCGAAACAGCCGAGCTCGATGGGATGCCAGAGCTCCCAGCCGAGTTGTTAGTCGAGCTGGAAGCGGCCGAAACCTCAGCCGGACCGACGGCCGAGTCCCCAGTCCAACCTCGCTGACGCTTGGACGGGCGGGGGTCCTTAGCCGAGTCCGGAGACGCAGACCTCTTCGACTTCTTTGACCCTGCCGACTTCGACTTCGACATCGACTTGTGTTTGTGCTTATGCCCGTGCTTGAGCTTGTGCTTGCGCCTCCGCTTGCGCTTGCCCTTACCGCTCTGCTTCTTGGAACTCGGCTGTGAGTCTGAGTCACCTGACTCGCTGGACGGAACGAGAGGCGATTGACGAGCAGCCATGTAGCTCTGGATCTTCCCGTGCGGAGGTGGGAGCGCAGAAGCTAACGAAGCCCGGCGAAATGCGTCAGGGTCGGCCCAACTGAGCTCGTCAGCAGATCCAGGGTCGTCAGCCTCAGATTCAGAGCTCTCGGACACAGACAACGGATGTGCTGAGGTTCCAGGAGCTTTCAATCCAAGAGCCGAGCCCGACGAACCAGAGGAAGAGCTACACCGAGCGGACCGGAGGACGAGATAGTCAGGAGTCTCGAACAGATCCAAGCAGTGAGCGTTCAACACTCGGGCAGTAGCCGCAGTGGAGCGTAAAGGGCGACCCGATGGGAAGTCATCCCAGCTGAGCTAGGAGGAACCGCTGGCCGGGTCGAGGCCACCGACGGAGTGCTCGGCATTGGGGTGACTACAGTCGACGCCACCCCTGACGGGCCACGACGACTCTGGGCTTGATTGGCAAACCGGGAACGAGTACATGTCAAGAGCCGGTGAGCGGCCGAACCCGGAGAAGACTGCGAAACCCGAGGCGGAATCGCAGCGGAGCTGTTAATTGTACCCGCAGCCGAGACTCCAGCCGTCGAGCTCGGCGCAATCACAGCATGCGTTGTAGCAAGCACCGGATCGGGAGCAGAGGAACCCGGTTGTCCTCCGGCGCCGACAGTCGATGTCACCACAGCCGCGCTCGGCACGCTGGTCGAGGGAGGAACCCACTGGACACGAGTCGGGAACGGAACCGAGGCAGGAAGAGAAAAAGCGGACGGAGTTGCAGCAAGGTCAGCAGATCCAGGCAACGATACAACAGCCACTCCGCTTGAAGGCGTCTGCACCGGGGAGGAAGAGTAAGGCACGAGTTACACGGGCGGTACACTCACGGTCGGGCCGGCGGGCCCCCTCGGAAGCTCGGCGGAACCAGGCACTTCGGTGAACTCGAACAAGAGGTCCTCTTCCAGCGAGTGAACCTCGTCGCCGGCCTCCACATTCACATCGTCGACAGTCAACCCGGCTAAGTTCAAGCTCGACCGGAGCGATAGGTCGCATGCGGCGTCAGTCTCTTGGGCAGCCTTTTCAAGCTGGACCAACGCGTCCTCATGGCCGACCTCACCAGGAAGTGGACACGCGTACGGCTGCTCGAGTGGCTTCTTGGGCTTGCGCTGAGAACCAGCCGCCGTCGCTGACTTCGGGTTTGAGTAGCGAAGTAATTTTTCGGCGGGTGTCAGAGTATCCAGCCGAGCTCGGTGAACCTGGTCGACCGACTTGCTGCGGCGACGGCGCGAAGCAGAAGCGGACACGGGCGTAGAAACCGCACCAGCCGACACAGGATTGGCGGCAGATGATGCGGGAGACTCGCTTGGAGGGGCCGGAGCCTCAGACCCAGTCAGCCGGGTTGATTGTCCAAGGAAAGAACCAGCCGAGCTCACGGGCGCTGGCAGAGTAGTAGCAGCGCCGTCCGCTCGCGGGTGGATGGTCAACTCGACTCGACGAGTCTCTCCAGCCGGGATGTCCATCACCTCCGGGAAACGTTGAGCCAAGATCCGGCATAACCGAGCATTAAGCTGCAAGTCAGCAGGGCTCAACCCAGGCACGTCCAACCCGGCTGCAGCTGCAGCAGCCATGTGAGGATCATGCATGGGTAAAAGACCCATGCGAGAAAGGACACGCGTCTGTCGGAGGATGACCTCACGCTGGTGTTTGATGGTAGCCTTGGCATCACGGAGAGGCTGGGCGTTTCCAGAAATGAGTAACCCAGCCGGCTCCTGCAGTTGCTCGAAGTGCTTGGTCGAGATCCCCTGGAGCACAGCGTACTCGGCGTCACGAGCCGAAAGAAGCTGAGTCAAACGCTCAATCTCCGAGTCGCGTTCTCTGAGCTGCCTGCCGAGATCCTTAGCGTGAGCGAGAGCCGACTTCACTTTATCATCCTGAGACTTGCGGGCCGACTTCAAGGAAGCTTCAGACTCGGCCATCGCCTTCCGGAAGCTGGTCAGAAGAGGGGACGACTTCTTCGACTCGGCTTTCCATCGGTCACGCTCCTCCTCGACAGTCTTCAACCGTTCCTCGAGGTCGGCCTTCACAGCCGCCTGTGAATCCAGCCGCCGAGTCAAGTCAGCGTTAATAGTCCGAGCAGACTCCAGCTCGACCCTCAGTGCAGCGACGTCACTAGCTTGACTTGAAGGTTGGCGCTGACCGCGAAGGAGGCTCACAAGTTAGCTGACGGACGTCGCCTCGAGGGCAGCTCGGCGGACCTCTCTATCAGCCGCCGGCGCGGGACGAGTGATCACGAACGACAACAGCCGAGCCAAGTCCGCGTTCTCGATGCGGCGTTGCTCGGACTGCGCATGGATCAGCGCAGCGAGAGAGTCGAGACTCACCGGCCCAGCCGAGTCCGACCGACCAAGGTCGGCGGCGTCCGAAGTGGTGTCGCCACGCGGACTCGGCAAGCGGCGATGAGAAGTGCGAGATGCCGGCTCGGACTCCCGGTCGAACCCACGGGAAGTTGTCAGATCGATGACAGGGTGCTCCTGCCCATCGCTGACCCCGCGAGCCCGGGACGCCGAGTCGACCAACTCAGCGAACTTCCCCTCATCTCGCGCGGGAGGATGTGAAGACTGCAAAGACGACGCAACTGAAGTCTGTGAAGATCAGTAGAAGAAGGGTCAGCAGCAGAATGAATGGAGCCGTCGGAGGCGAGGAACGTACCGGAGGAGCGGCAGGAGCGTCGGACGACGACATGGCGCGGAGACTTGTTCGCTGCCGTTGGAGTTTTGGCCGAGATTGGACTCGACTCAAGGAGTTATGGTCAGGCCCCTCACCAACTCGGCTCGGAACATGACCGGGGCAGTTGTGGTGTAGGAAACACCAGATTTCGCGCGAACAACTCGGCTGGAGTGGTACACTGTACCGGTAGCCGAGCTCAGCCGAGCTCAGCAGCTTATCCGGACACCTTATCCGGCTCAGCCGAGCTCGAAGAATTATCCGGATAGTTCATCCGGACCAGCCGAGCTCAAGCGTCGCCGAGCTCAGCGAAGAGTCGGCCGAGATCCAAAACCGCCCACTTCATTTGGTATTTGTATAGGAGCTTAGGAATAGTGGAGGTGCCCCTTCAGGGCGCCCGACAGAGATAACAAACAACAGAGCAGAATTTTCTAGGCCTAAAGCACGTGTACACGTTCCGGTAAGTCCCTGCACGGGGCCGGATTATGTCTGCTGCCGGTACCCGAGATGCATAGCTTGTAGGGTACTCGGCTGGCAGCGCCAAGAGATTAAGGTCGGCCCGGGTTGGGCGCGTGTCTCGCCAAGCGCGAAGGAAAAGTCTCGCCACCGCTGCGAGCCGGTGTTCCCGTACGTCCCGGGCACTGATTGCTGAGTCGAGAAGCCTTTGCTCTCGGCGACCCGTAAAAGCCCTCGAGGGCCGTCGTCCATCCTTTGGTGGAGGGCACAGGGTTGAGTGAACGGAGGCCGTCGAACTTGGCGGTTCTCCGGAGGAGTGATCTTGGTTGGCAGGTCTCGGCGAGAGGCGAGACACCCGCTGTCCCGGTTGGGCCGAACCGCTCGGGGGCAACCCGGCGCAGGCCAACAAAGCCGACCAGCTCGGCTATTGTTGTGTTTGTAGCCAAGTTACCACAACTGACGATTTTGTGTGTACTGCTATACCACACTCGCCCTCTCTTCCAACGTAATTGCTCACGCTGAGCTTCAGCGATTGCGCGCGCGGTGTCGTCCCCGACGCCACCGTGGTAGACGAAGCAGCATCTCGCTGCTCCCTCATGATGAATCCCAGAGCAACACCATGTTGCTCTGTCGGCGTTAGCATACGCAGCATCGTAGCTACAGCCGCCTCACCAATAACTGTTGACAGTCGTTGGAGAGCTTCCCACTCTGGGTCCGACAGGTGGGGACAGTCAGCGCGTGCAACGTGAGTTGCAGGCGTAGTGGAGCTTTCCATGAACACCTCCGTATTCATGGGAAGGTTCTCAGCTCCGCGTTCGTGCGGTGACGTACGAACTCAGGTAGTCGGTCGTTGGACGGACTACAAAGTGCTACCAGGTGTAGTGGGCCTACTTTGGCTCACTACTTTAGCTTACACGTGTGCGCGTGTATGTAAGGAAGCGTAGCTTAGTTTAAATTAGAGTTAATTATACTCGGGCCTCCGAGTATAGATTAATCTAAATAAACGATCCAAATAATGTTTTTGGGTTAAAATGAGAACTGCTATTTTTGTTTTATGTTTCTGACTTCCTCTACATGTAATATTCTAAGATAGGAATCTGCCAACGGCTGGTTGGCAGAATTCCAATGCTATGCATGTCGCTCATTGGCTAAAAGTGCTGCTCTCAGCCAATAGGAATCCTAAGTCTCTATGGACCACCCGTCGTGGTGGTCGTAAATGTATGTAGCCATTGGTGTACCTTACACCAAGGTCGAGGAAGTGTTCAAACCTCGAACAGACATCGCATCTGTTAGAGTAACAAGTGACTGTAGCCACTTGTGCGTGTAACCCTGTTACACCCTAGCTACAAACACAACAACAGCCGAGCTAGTCGGCCCTTGTTGGCCTGCGCTGAGATGTCCCCCAGCGGCTCGGCCCTTCCGGGACAGTGATGACTCGTCCTCGCAGAGACCAAGTACCACAAGCCAGTCAATCGCGGAAGCCAGCTGAGTTACCTGACTCCGGAATTAGAAATCCCGTGCCCTCCGCCAAAGGACGGACGACGGCCCTCGAGGGCTTTTACGGGTCGCCGAGAGCAAAGGCTTCTCGACTCAGCAATCAGTGCCCGGGACGTACGGGAACACCGGCTCGCAGCGGTGGCGACGCTTTTCCTTCGCGCTTGGCGAGACACGCGCCCAACCCGGGCCGACCTTAATCTCTTGGCGCTACCAGTCAACACCCTACAAGCTATGCCTCTCGGGTGCTGACAGCAGACATAATCCGGCCCTTGCAGGGGCTTACTGGAAGCGCGTGCACGTGTTGTGGACCTAGAAAATTCTGCTCTGTTGTTTGTTATCTCTGTCGGGCGCCCTGAAGGGGCACCTCCACTATTTCTAAGCTCCTATACAAATACCAAATGAAAGTGGGCGGTTTTGGATCTCGGCCGACTCTTCACTGAGCTCGGCGACGCTTGAGCTCGGCTAAGCCGGATAACCCCTTGAACTCGGCTGAGCCGGATAAGGTGCCGGATAACCCAGTGAACTCGGCGGAGCGACCCGTGAACTCGACTGCGCAACTCCCGGACTCAATTGAGCCTGGTTACCGTATCGGACGGTACATGGTACCGTTTAGCCTGAGCTCGGCGGCTTGAACCCCCCATGATCTCTGCTGAGCGTGTCCAGTGCCTTCCTGAACTCGGCTGGGTCTTCATCACTGGGTCTGCCACGTGTCACCAGGTCGGGGCCGGTGTGCCTTTAGTTTCTGACACCATCAGCCGAGTTCAGCGGTCCATCAGCGCATTCTTGGCCACCGAGCTCGGCGGACGGTCATCCCGCCGAGTAGAACTTGGCTCCTGGTACGTTGTTCCACTGCGGCCTTAGAGTGTGACACAAAACTTGATGTTCCCTACACCACACTCCGGCTGAGGTGGCACCGACTGTCCCACCCGTCGCTCAGATCCCGGAGCCCGAGCTCCGTCAAGCCATTTCAAGGCCATTGAGCAGAGTGGGTGGCGCCCGCCTGCGCAGAGCAATTCCCGTTCAGGGTGGCAGTCGCCCCGGCCGGGATGGCAATCACCTCGGCCCGGATGGCAATCGCCCAGACGGGAGAACCCTGACCGGAACGAGTTTTGCGAGAAGTGCCTCAAGTTTGGTCACAAGGAGCAGAACTGCTGGGCGGAGATCGTTTGCGACCGGTGCAACCGGAAGGGCCATCCGGGATACGCGTGTTGAGTGAAGCCGTGCTCACGCTGTGGCAAGATTCATGAAGGAACCTGTGGAGATTACGACGCCTTGGAAGCCGTGAAGAAACTCGCACGGAAGGGGATGTTGCAAGACGTGCCTCCACCCCTGCGCAAGCAACTGCTGGGTGAAGAGGCCAATCCGGGGTCGCCGTTAAACTAGTAAACCCGCTGGGTGGGGATCCAGAACGCGCCGGGCTGGCGAAACCCAAAGGATTGTGTGTCTTAGTTAATGTCGGACCCGAGTTGAGAAGGAGAAAACCAGATAACCACCAATGCATGTCAACTATATTTCAGGACCAGTTTGACGACCCCAACTGTACGAATCCTGGACGGGAAAACCCGGATGGCGATGACCAAGTCGAAGTCATCCTACAGCCTTGACAGAGATGCGGTTGGTGGGAGGATCACGAGCCTGAAGAGAGTCATGAAGTGGCGACAGTGCATGGGGCGGTGAACGATCTCCGAACGAGGATACTCTTGGACACTGGTGCATCTGGAAGCATGATTAGCTTGGACCTTGCGCGTAGGCCCAAGCTGAAATTCCGGATGTTGCCGGAGCCGATCAGGGTGTCCGGATTAGGAGGTGCTCCCACGAATATTACGTCGTACGCCCGGGTGAAAATCACTCTGGGATTCCGTGTGGTGTATGTGATGAGTGTCGGGTTGGCGAATATCGGCGAAGGATTGGAAGTACCTCTGGGAATGAACTTCATGTATGCGGCTCGAGTGCGGTTGAGCGTGCGAGAAGGACTAGTGCAGCTCCCGGACGAAGAAACTGTTGTGATGTGTGACGGTCCGCGCCGCGACAACATGGGCTTGGATCTTCCGGTAACCCCGGATGAGCGGATCTATCTCCGTCCGGGGGAACATGCGATCGTGAAGGTTAGGTACGGCCAGAGCAACCCCCAACGGGATGTTGTGTGGGCCGGCCGGGGTGATCGTTGGGTCACCAAGATCCTGTATGCTACCAAGTCGTGGGCATCCTCAGTGAAGGTGGTGAATATCCCTAAGCAGAGAGTGTGGATCGACAACCGGACTCCTGTGGCCCGGATCGTCGAGTTCGGGCATTTTCTCCGGTTTGGAAGATTTGTCCGGCCGGGAAGCAAGCGGTACCAGGAGTGGCAACAGCTGATCTACGAGAACACAATGTCTCCGGAAGCAGAGGCACGGGAGCAAGAGCAGATCGAGCTCGAGTGGAGTCGGCAGCCCCCAGCTGTAGAAAGACCACAGCGTGAATGGCCAACCAGGATTCTCCTACGGCCTGAATCGGGATCCCGGACGGACCGGCTGGTCATGCTCCAGCAGGGTAACGCTGAGTCCCGGGCGGGATCTGTCGAAGGCGTCTCAGATGGAGATGATAAGGAAGCAGAATCCGGTCGACGTCCGACCGTCGAAGATACTCACAGCGGTGTCGGCACTACAGCTGAGTCCAATCCGAGTTCTGGTGAGTGGAACCTGAGCATCTGTGATCTGGCCGAGTCCGACCTGGATGGTGACCGCTCGGAGGATATCTCCGACCGTGAAGAGCCTGACATACCCACTGCGTCGATGCCCAGTACCCCGCTGCGAAAGCTGGAGGAAGAGTACAATCGATGCATGCGAATCAATCAGGAGGAGCTCGACCTGGAAGCTGGAGTGTATCTGCACGAGGGGAGCGAGTTGTTGTCCCAGTTGCGTGACGAATTGGCCTTGCTTCCTGAGCTGAAGTACCTGAGCCCCGAGTGTGATATTGACAAGGCTGATGTTGGAGAACCCGGGCGGACTACCCCGGATGGGGAACAGAAGTTGCGCTCTATACTCAAGTATCACCGCAAGATCTTCCTTGGGGATGGCAATGCTGCGCCGGCCCCGGCCAGGGGTGTGGTATGTGACCTGGATGTGGGTGACGCCAAACCCGTTGCTCAACGACCAAGGTCCATTGCCCCTCACTTGATGATGAAGGTGTACGAGCTCCTGAATAAGCTGCTGGAAACGGGTCGAATCGAGATGTCGCTGTCGCCGTGGGCTTCCCCGATTGTGATCGTCCTCAAGAAGAATGGCGTGGACATCCGAATGTGCATCGACTACCGGGTGGTTAATGGGTTCATCCGGCGTTTTAGCTACCCGTTGCCCCTGATCGATGATCTCCTGATTGGATTCGAAGCCGTTATGTGGTTCATGAGTCTGGACATGGCGAGCGGGTTCTGGGCGGTCCGGATGACGGAACGTGCGAAGCTAATCTCCGCGTTCATCTGCCCATTCGGACACTTCCAGTGGGTACGCATGCCATTTGGACTCAAGAATGCCCCACTCGTGTATCAGGCGGTGATCAACAACTGCCTTTGGGGTTTCGTGCGTCTCCCTCGGGAAGAAGAAGAACAGGTGGACCCGGATGTACTCGAGTTCCTCGGTTTGGACCCATCCGTCCGGGATGAATCCGAACGGGAGAAGGCTGGAGCTAGTGTTCCCGTCTTGGTGGAGCAGATGACTGTGTTTCAACGCAATATCCCGATGCCGTCCTAGATGGGACCTGTCCTCGGACGGAGTTCCAACATCGATGACATTGCGCATGGGGCGCCCACCTGGGATCAGTTGTGTGAGGGCCTGAATGCACTGCTATTCCGGTTGCGCTATTGGAAAATCTCTGTCAGCCTGCCCAAGAGTGAGTTCGGGAGTATCCCGTATCTCCCTACGAGATCAGTGCCGAAGGACTGCGCGCGACTCCGAAGATTGCGAAGGGTGTTCAGGATCTGCCGTTCCCGTCTACCCTGAAGGGAGTTCAGTCATTCCTCGGAAGCCTTAACTACTATCACAAGTTCATTGAGGACTTCCCGATTGTGGCTGCAGTCCTGTTTGAGCTCACGGAGGATCAAGTGCAGTCCGGCCGGGACCTGTCCTGGGCGAAGGAGGCATTCGAGATCTTGAAACGGAAGATCGTGTCGACACCCCTGTTGCGACACCCCGACCGGACCAAGCCATTCGTGATTATCCCGCATGCTAACCGCTGGGCCGCCTGCGCGGTACTCGGCCAGGAATATGGAGTGATCCAGCCTGTGAGGTTCACGGGGCGCGTACTGAACGACGCGGAGATTCGATACCACATCGCCGAGAAGGAGGCAGTTGCTGTCATGCGAGTTCTGGATGTGTTTAACACTCTCGTCCAGGGTTGCCCGATCAAGGTGCACACCAGGTATTCAGTACTGTCCTGGCTGTTGAAGTCCAAGACCTCCGACGGCCGACATGTCCGGTGGGGGTTAACACTATCCCATTGGGACTTGGAAGTGCAGAAGGTGAAGCAAGACGAAGACGGCCTGGCCGCGATCCTGGGCGCTGGCATAACGCCGCGTGAGCACCTGGACGAGGTTGCTGAGTCGCTCATCCCGGCCAAGGGTCAAGTGAAACCCCCACCGGTGATCAGTGTGGAGATGCTGGAGGCTAATTTCGCTGGATACGTCTTGAGTTTCGACGGAGCTGCGAAGACATCGACGAGGCGAGGAAATTGTGGGTGTATCATCTGGGAGCTCCCCGACTGGAAAGTCCTGGCCGCGCGGGGTTTCATCCTGGATGATGTTACGGTGAATGACGCTGAGTACCTCGGCCTCCTGAATGGGCTGAAGATGATTCACGACCGGGATATCCCGGATATGGTTGTCGTCGAAGACTCTCGGATCGTCATCCACCAGGCCCAAGGACTGATTAACGGCAACCAGCCGAACCTGCAGCGACGTCTGGCTGAGTACCAGGAAATGAAGTAAAAGTTCACCTCGATCCGGCTGGTACATGTCAAGCGGGAGTACAACCAGGCTGCAGATTACTTGACATCCAAGACGCTGGCGCTTGGAGAGTCCTGCACGATCGATGACCCGGATGAGATGGAACATCTGGGGCGAGTCTCTCGGATCCACGAACAGATCATGAAGCCTGAAGTGGCCCTGAGCGACGATCCCCCCGGTGAGCCCAGTCAGGAATCTACGACTGGGGCGCCCGACGATGCCGGTCCAGGGCCGGAGTCAGCCCCCCTGCCAATGGTAGCCCGGGTCATGGCCGCAATAACTCGTAGCCAGAGCCGTGAGGACCCCAACCAGGGCGAGTTTATGAACCCGCTTGAGTGTCAGGCTGAGAGGTGGCGCCGGATCAAGGTACACCAGGACGTTGATCATGAGTTGGTGAACCTGAAGAAGATCCTTAAGGGCGACCTGGATGACTTTTCCCGGCTGGAGATTCGCAAGCTGTCCAAGCGGGCAGACCTATTTGCGTTGGATGTTCGGGACGTACTCTATCGACTGGTCAGGTCCAATCGGGACCAACCTCGCGACAAGACCGACGAGTTGCGCCTAGTCGTACCGGAAGCACTCCGTCTGGACATGTTGCATTACGCCCATGAGGATTTCCAAGGTGGCCACCAGGGAATAACCCGGACGCACGAGAAACTCCGGCTGGTGTTCTACTGGCCGGGGATGTACGCAGATGTTGAAAGATACGTCAAGGAGTGCACCGACTGCGCCAGTGGCAAGGGCCGTCCGCCGAATCCAGGACCTTCGCCCAGGAACATCGAGCCCAGAGAGCCTTTCGAAGTGGTCTCGATGGACTTGTGACCCATTTGCCGAAGTTCGAACGGGGTAACACGTTCTTGCTCCTGTTCCAGGACGTGTTTTCAGGTTTTGTTATGTGCAAACCGATGAGTTCTACCACCGCTCAGGATGTCGCGGAAGCGTATGAGGAGAGGGCGTTCCGCTGCTTCGGAGCCAGTTCCCTACTGCGTCACGACCAGGATCCCAAGTTCATGAGTGAAGTCTTCACTCGGTTCAGGGAACTTCTGGGTAGCCGATAGCGAGCTACGTTGGCATAACCGACCCCAGGCGAATGGACAGCAGGAACGTTCCGTCCAGACTGTGGTGAGATCCATCCGGGCTTACGTCGCAGAAGCTGACCAGAGCGACTGGGATGACCACGCAGAGAGACTCATGTTCGCGCTCAACACGTCGTTTTCCCGAAGACAGCTGGGAAGCGGACAACGAGAATGACGAGTACGAAGTGGAGAAGATCAGGGATCTCAGGTGGAACAAGCGTACGCGGACCTCCAAACGGGCACGAGAGTATCTCATCAAATGGAAGGGGTACGATGAGCCTGCATGGATACCGATGGCACAGCTGAATTGCGGAGCGCTCTTGTATGAGTGCAATCAACGGGCGAAAGCCCGAGCGCGGTTCCAAGCCATGCAGGCTGGGAACGACCACCCTAACATACGATAGTTGGGAGTGGTCAAGTCCGAATGGGGCGACCCCAGTCGGGAGTATTGATCCCAGTTGGAGATTCCCAGACGGAGGCCGGAGATGCCTGGATGTGAATATGTGAATTACGGAAAATTGATTGTGAATTTGAATGGAGCGGATCTACGATGGAGTTGTGACTATGGAGAGTAACCCGAGCGAGAGTGGAGTTCTCAACGGCGAGTGTATGAAGTTGACTATGTCGCCCTGAAGGAGGTGCCAAAGCCAGAAGAGATGAACAAGACTGCGCTCAAGGTTGAACCGACCTGGATAACCCGACCGAAGAAGGAAACGATGAAGACAGCGAAGACATTAACGGTGATTGTGGAATGAAAGTGTTACGCTACGGATATGAACTACATCCGGGACCGCTGTGGATGCTGGATGGGATGACTTCACTAGAATTTGGTCGAGACCCAGTTGTCGACGCGCTCGTGCTCTGGGAGCAGCATCTTGTTGACGATCTTGGCTGGGACGTGCGCCAGACGCTCGTCATCCGTACAGGTAGTCCACTGAGTCCGGTCGGGGTCTTCGAGTTCGGCCATCGCGATCTGGCCAGCCAGGGTGTAACGCGTACCATCGTCCTTCTTGGTTGATTCGTCGACCAAGTACAGGTAGCAGATCTTCCACGGGTACAACCAGAATCATGGCTCCCAGACCATCGTCTTCGGCATGCCGGCCTTGATCAGACGCTTGATGCGGGCCTCGAAGGTGCGCGCAACCCCGTCGTGGAACCCCTGGCGCTTGCGGTGAAGGTCTTGAGCCCGTTCGTAGATCGTGAGGTCGTCGCACTTCTCGTCGTCCTCCGGCTTGGTCTTCATCACGAACCAATGTAGAATGTGCCAGAAGGCCGGGAGGCGATCCTTCATGTACTCCACATGCTGGTCCAGAATGCGGATCACAGCTGGAGATTGCTGATCACGGCGGTGGAAGTACAGGACCTTGACCCGGTTGTTAAACATCTCCAGCCAGGGTTCCTTCTCGACCAGGGCCGCATACTCATCTTCGACTGAAGGCCAACGCCTGGCCAGGTACTTGGTCTCAGGCTGCTGAGGTGCGTAATTAGGAAACCCAGGCGCCTGGCCCTCGATGCCACCTTTCTTCGGAGAGAAACGAGTGCCGACACAACGACGACGCCACGAGACAATGTCCCCAGATGGGGTCTCGATGATCGCCAATTCCCTGCTGTTCAGGTCCTCGTAGGACTTCTGTGCCAGGCACCCTCCCGGTTGGACTTCGACGTCCGGCTGCGCTTCTTGGGGTTTTTCTTGGATGATGGCCGGTCGGGCTTGTCCTGCAATGCAAACTTGGACCGAGGGGATTGAGGCATTTTCTGTGACGACAACCGGGTAGACCGACGCTGCGACGAAGAAGACGACTGGGGTTCACCCTCGGACGAGCTGTCCGAAGATGACTCGACGCGGTTCCGCTTGGGATTGCGCTTGGGCTTGGCTGGCTGCTCCTCATCAGTGTCGCTGTCAGATGAGCTGCTGTCCTCGATAGACTCCGCCTTGGACGACCCATCTGCGCCCTTCCTGGACGTAGATGTCTTGGCCTTGTCTTCGTAGTCGGAGTCGCTGGAACCACTGCTCTCACTGGAGTCATCGACCTCGACGATCTCCATCTCGGCGGCAGCATCTTCAGCCAGGTTACGCGGAGGAGGAAATTCCTCGGGTACATACCCGACCGGAGACGTCCCTGGAGCATGACCTCAGCCATCTTGTAGAAGGTCTCGGGGACGTACCGTGTCCAGGGAGTGTCGTCCAGGGTGCCATGGTACATCATCTTGACCAGCTTCGCCAGCAGCCAAGGCTTAGGGAAATACTGGTGGGCCGGACGATCCTGACGGAGGATATCCAAGGCCTCCTCGTACCCATGGTCCATCCGCATTACGAACTGGACATCCAGCCGGACATCCGACCAAGGGACGAACTCCGGCAGGGACGCAGCGCAGTCAAAAATCAGACGCTTGAAGTCCGTCTGGGGCGACCGAGGGAGCACATCAGACCCCGGGTGGACCGTCGGTCGCATTTGGACGTACACTGGCCCACCCTTGCTGGAAAGCTCGGCCATGCCACGTGGGCACGACCCCGAACGAGACCCCTTGGACGTACGCCGCTTGGGTTTGGACGGAGATCCATCTGCAGACGGGAAGTCCGAACGGAGTGGCTGGGGTGGATTGTCCTCCGACTTCTCCTCATGATCGCCGTCCTGGCCGCTGTTGCCGTCACCCGCCTGGTAGTTATCGTCATCGTCCTCGCCGTCCGGGTTGACTGGGCCTGGATAGGGTGGGATCATCCTGGACGGACGATCAGCGGTCTCGACGGCGATGTTGGTGACCCAGTGCGCAGGAGGTGTGGACCCCGTTGGAAGTGCCGCAGCAGGCGTACCAGCCTGGGCCATCGACCGCGAGTGGTAGCCCCACCTTGGTTGAGGAACCGCATCAGCCGGTTGGTGTCAAACGCATCCTCCTGGCTGGTGACCCGCCGACACTGGATGGCCAAGATCGCACGCTCGAGCTTGGCCTCAGCCTCGGTAATCTTGTTGCGCAGCGCGTTTTCCTCATCCAGATGGCTTTGCGCTGCCAAGGCGAAGTCCTTCTCCACCTGGGCTTGGAGCTCCAGCTTCTCCGCCCGGAGTGCAGCCACCTCCCGCTGGTGATACATCTGCAGGAACCGGTGCTCGTCGACAAGCCTATCGTAACGCTGTTGCAGGGTGGCGCCCCCGCCGGGAGATGCCTCAACCGGCCCTTGAATGGGGATGTCGCCACGCCGTGCCCGGTCGAGGATGCGATGAAGCAGAGACGTCGTGAAGAACAACTTTTCCGCGAAGCGCCCGGCTGGGAACTGGGCCAGCACAGAGGCGGACTCCCGGCGCCTCAGCAACGAGTTTAAAGTGGTCTCGAGCTGCGGCAGCCTGGGAGACTCCCGGTTGGCATGCGGGCGCAGCAAGTTATTACGCAGCTCCGTCTGGTTGCCAACCAGGTTACCCAAGTCGTGGAGGTCCTGGGCTGAGAACCCGTCGAAGATTGCTAACGCTTCCGTGCCGCCATACCCCTCCTGGATGTAGCCCTCCGACTGATACGCTAATGGGTGTGCAGGAACGCCCACCAGGTAGGAGTTGCCGTCACCAGGCCGCTTGGGCGGGAGAACGTGGCGTGAAGGCAGGATGTTGGCATCTTCTTGAGATCCCGGATGGGTTGACGAGAGGATGCCAGACGCCTTGAAGTCGATCACTTCATCGAACGACAGCAGGCTGGACACCGCAGCCGTGACGCTTGGCGTGCGCTCGCGCAGAGGATCCCGGATGGGAGCTTCTTCCATGGCCTCGTCCTCTCCGACAGGCTGGCCGTTGGTGTGCAGAGACGAGCTCTTCGCAGAAGACGCTGCGCTCTCCTCCTCCTCTTCCTCCTCGTCGGCGTCGTCGTCCTCACCGGTACCCACCTGCTCGTCGACCTCCATGGTCGCATCGGCCTCGTCGACCTTGCGCGCAGGGTCGCTGGCCTTGGTCGGCACATGGGCCTCGCCGCTAGTAGCCAGACTGCCGCCGCCGTTGCCCGCGCCCGCCTCCGTACCCCCCACTGGAGGCGCAGAAGACGGGAGTTGCGCTGGGATAAGCGGCGCGTCGGCGCTCGATGCGGGGGCGTCCATGGCGTGAGTGGTGGCGCGAAGATTTCGTTGTGAGTGGAGATTTCGTTGCCGCAGTCTGGAAAGAGAAATTGATGAAAAGCAACCCGGTTGGGACAGCGCGCAAAGAAGAGACGCAACAGTTGGGAGTTGACTGAAGACATCTGGGCTTGCTCGGATCGTGAGATCTTGTCATGATCGATCGTTTCGCCGAATGGACTCTACAATGGATCGTAACAAGAGGGGCGGTTGACACGATGGAATTGGAGATTTTCGAGGATTCCCCGAGTCGCGCCTGTGATTGGTTGGCTCAGAGGCTCACTATGGGAGAGGGAGGCAGCGACACGTGGCGTTTGGGAAGAGCGGATCTAGGCCGGACTCGCGTTGGCAGTGTACAAGGTTTGGTGACCCCGGATGGAGATGTCCCGAAGAGCGGACCCCGGCTGGAACCAAGTACTGAACGAGAGGCAAAGCCCAAGGGAGCGTAGAAGTGCCTCCGACTGGAGGCCGCCTGCTCTTGGTGCACTGTGCAACGCAAGAGGAGCCCGACCGGATCGAGTGAAGTCCCAGAAACCGTGAAGCTGTCCAAGACATCCCGGATGTGAAGCCCAAGTGGCAGTGTGATCCCGTTTGGAGATAATCATGAATCCCGGATGGAGATACCAAGATACCAAGATACCATCCCAGATGTAAAGATCCAGTATACAAAGTCCAAGATGTTTCCGACCGACCACGCCGACCAGCCAAGATCTCTTCGGATTCCGTGGAACATTGAACTTCGCTTGCGTACCCAGTGATGATTATACTTGCTGGAAGTGTGCTACGAGGGACCGCGGACGATTACGACGACAAGACCATAGTGAAGACAAGGCAAGATGGAGTGCATGTAAAGATCGACAGAAGATAGCCAGACAGACAGAGAGAGAGACCACAGATAACAGATAAACAGAGTTCGTTTTACCTGCCCGGTGACAAGTCGCTTTGTAGCTGCCTATGGAAGCACACCCCGTAGGAGGAAGACAAGTGGCCAAGCCGGACCGCGTCGGGGCTAGTGACTGCGAGCGCATGCAGCCGGGAACGCCCGGGAGCGCATCAAGGAAGTAAGCTCGGATGGAACGTCGTTGTCGTGAAGTTCCAGTATACGTGCTGGATCGTCGTGGCGCCGACGCCGTAGCTACACGCGTGGGCAAGACAACTCTCCCCTTCGGAAAAGAAGGGTTCGTGCTACCCCGTCGGCGATAGCTACCATGGAACTGCCTACCGGATGGAGACGTGCCCGGAGGACCATGGGGCATCAAGGCTGAGAGAGATTAACCCGTGGTGACCAGCTACCTTGGGGGTTGCCTGCAGGAAGAACGATGCTTGTGGGACTAAGGGGCGGATGCCGCGCCCAGGCGGAGATAGTTGAAGTTACTTTGGAGTTGCTCACCGGAAGGACCATACCTGGGGGACCAAGGGACTGATGCTGCGAAACCTGGACGTACGGGGGAAAACACGACCCATAAAACCCAGAAAAACTAGAAGATAATTGGATGAATAAGCCCTAAACAAAGAGTTCGTTTTGCCAAGGATCGCGCAAGTGAGTTGGAGCAGCCTACCGGACGTGCATTCCCGGAGGACCGACTAAGTCTACGTGTGAGGGCCCAGCAACTGTTACATCTGGGTCGAGCTCCCGCAACCAAGTCCAGTCCAAGTTGGGGTGAGTACCGGGTGACAACCCGAGGTTGATCCATCCCATTTCATTTCCTAGTTGCGGTTGAGCTCGTCCAGACCAGGAAGGCCCCGCATTTCATATTACCGATTACTTTGTCGCCCCGGTTGGAGTAGCCCGGGTGGTAAGTACGGATTTAAGAGCTATCGTGTGATAGGAGGTATTTGATTGTGTTAGATTCCCTCAATACTTGAGGGTGGTGCGCGTGAGCCAAAGCCGACCGGGATTGACCAGTATCCCGGAGTCCGGCTGGAGTTGACTGGAGTAGTGACCGACCCTTTCACGGTCCAAAAGAATAAGGAAGGGCTACGTGTTTGTATATAACTCTGTATCTGTTTGTATTGTTTGGTTGTCTGAGGGCTGTCAGAGGCGGCATCCAGGAAGGTTACGTTCTGCCCTGCTACCTAGCGACCTACAAGTATCAACACAACTCATCCACGGTTGAAGACCCCTGGTTAGGAAGCCAAACGAACCCACAGGGATTGTTCACAAGGACACACGCCACCCCGGTTGGAGTGTACATCTAGGTGTACTATATCCGGCTAGGGTTTGTTCTGGGTGCACCCCACTCGGGAGTCTACCCCGGGACGCGCCAAGCTATACACCTGGGCGGTCAGGCAGGCGCTCACCCGCCTCGCCTCAGCTGGTGGGCGTGCCCGGATTCGAACCAGGGATTTCACCAGAGTTGTTTATATTCTGTAAGTTTATAGGTGTGATGTGTGCTAACTTTCCTAACTAGCGTCTATGACAGCTAAGCGAGGAGACATGCGCGGAGGACGAGGACGCGGAGAGGTGTCGCGTCAGTCGCGTCGTGCGGCGGGCACGACGCGCAACCGAGCCTGGAAGAGGTTCAACGCAATGCTCGGAGGGTTAACGCTGAAAAGCGGAAGGCGGCCCTGGCCGGAGATGGGTCTTCGAACCAAGTCCAGCCGGCACCCGAGCAGGCCGTCCCAAATGACGCGCACCAAGTGTCGAAGGACGGCGAGCCCGAACGTGCTGACGCGGGCGAGGAGTCGAAGACCGCTGGGGGGGATCCCGGTCTGGGTGAACCCAACCAGGCGTCTGAGGGAGACGCCGACGTGGATGAGCCCCAGGCGGAGGGTCGAGTTTCGGACTCCCCTCTGCCTGGCCAAGATGTGCAGCCGGACGCGCAAGTGTCCGCCGAACCCAAGCCGACACCGTCTGCTGAGGAGGAGAAGCCGGCCGCAGTTCCTGCGAAGGCGGTGGCCCCGGCCGCTGATGCTCAACCGGAGACCCAACTCTCGGTGAAGGCCAGCCGGGGTAATCAGCCCACAGAGTTGTCGGCCGGACACCCAAGTGTCCAAGCGGCGAAGACGTACGCGGCGTTGCAGGCTTCCCGGTGGGAGAGAGCCCGGTCTGGGCTCACGCTTCCGCCGAACGTGGAGTATGCCTGGCCGGAGTCCCGCCCGGACTCCGTGCTGTGGCTGACCGCGACGCTTGCGACATCCAAGTACCTGGCGTCCAAGGTGGCTTCGCAGGACCCGGCCGAAGTTTGGTTGGCCGACCTGGCACCCAGCCGTCGGGACTTGTCGACTGCCCAGGACCTGGCCGGAGTCCAGATCCCAACCGGGCTGCTGGACTCGCGGGAGTGCGTTGCGGTCCTGCAGACGCTCCTGTTCGAGGCTGGTTTCCAGTTCGTCAACGTGATGCCGGCCTTGGTGGAGATGCGAGTGTCCAAGTTGGAGCCGATGTCCATCCGGACCGTGGTCGGAGGCGTCCAGGGACTGCTTGCGGTCGAGCTCATCGAGTGGCGCGAGCTGGTCGTCGGAGCGACGTTCAAGATCCTGCCAGCGTTGGAGGCCCAAGCGAAGACAGAGAAGCCGCCGATCATGGATTACCACACGGAAGACGCGGATGGAGATCTATTGATGAACGACTACGAACTCTTGTTGGGCCGGACCTACGTCCTATGCTTACGCTTGACTGGTCTTCGGCCCATCCGGAGTCCGAGCGGGTCGTCCCCCGGTGAGCCTGCGCACAAGCGTCTGCAGCATGCACCGCCGAGGGCCGAGAGCTCGCTTGCGTCCCCGCCGTCCCAGTTCGAGTCGCTGCCGTCCGAGTTTCCGTCGGCTGAGGAGTCCGCCCGGGATGCCCCGGCCAGAGGTGCAACTTCGGACCCTGTCCCGAGCATAGTTGGCACCTCCGACCGGGCTTCCTACGGCGCGACGTCCGAGTCGTACGTGTCCAGGAACACAACCTCGGACCCGTCGACCTCGACGCTCGGGTACAGCGCTGCGTCGCACTTCCCGTTGCCCCAGTTGGGATCCTTGGCGATGTCCGCACGGGGTCCGGTTGGCGTGTCGGTCGGCGCTGGAGACGTGGGCTTCTACGTGACGCGCGAGGTGGTCCCCAAACGAGAGCCGACCCCCGATCAGGCTGATGCCAATTTGGCACGCTTGGACGAGGTGGCCAGCCGGGCGACATCCCGAACGCGCACGGCGACGAGGTCCCGGACGCACCGACGCTCAAGGCGTGACTCGCTGTCGAGTGGCTCGGACTCGGATGGAGATGCTCGGCGTCGCCGCCGACGTTCCACCCGGAGGTCATCACGAGACCGATCCCCATCGAGGCGCTCGAGTCGATCCAGGCGCTCGTACCGGTCCACCCGGTCCGGGCGGACAAGCCTGTCGGCCCAGTCGGGGATGGCGGAGATGGCGGTGTCGACCTTCCATCAGGTCCAGCAGCTTGGTGCCGAGCCGTCGAAGCTTCGCGAAGCTGTGTCGACCGGGAAGGATCCCAGCCGGGATGCCGAAGCCGAGCTTGCTCTGGCCGAAGCCCAACGGGAGGCGCGAGAAGCCGAGCGCCGGGCCCAGGAGCTTGAGCGACACCTGCATGAGGTCTACGCCCAGGCGTCCCAGGTCGCCTCGCAGTCCCTGACGGCCGAGGCAGATGTCGAAGCTTGAGGCCGCGCGGGCCAAACGTGAGCGTGTGGAGGCAGCCGCCGCGGAATACATCCACCGGCAGCTGGCTGAAGCCGATGCGAGGCACGCCGCCGAGATGGCCGCCCGGGCCGGGCAGGCCCAGCAGGACCTGGCCGCGTTGGCAGCCAGGCTGCAGGCGTCGGAAGTCGCGCGTGCGCAGGAACGTGAGTCTGCTCAGAATATCCAGCGTTTCCATGTGGGACAGATACGCGACCTTCAAGCAACATCTGCCCAAACTCAACCTGAACGGGAAACATCTGACCCTAATCGGGCAACTCCCATACAAATGGGAAGTGACAACCCTGAACGGGCAACGGGCGTAATCACGGGAAGCGCAACGGTCGCAGGTGCACAGACGGGACAGAAGAACACGACCGAAGCCGGCTGGGAGCAGCTACTGGCGACACTGCCGGAAGTCGACGTCCGCGCGTCTAGCAAGGACTCTGAGGCCGACCGTGGTGAAGAATGAGCCGGCCGCAGTTAATGCGGCGCACCGATCTACTACGGTGACGCAGGTTGCCCCGACGGGGACCTCCCGTCCGGGGACCAAGACGACGGTGAAGAAGGAGCCGATGGAGTCAAAGAGGGGGAAGGACGAACGCAGGAAGGACGAGCGCAGGAAGGACAATCGCAAGAAGGCGCCACGCAAGGGACGTCGCCGGGATCGCGACTCGTCCCCGGATTCAAGCTCCAGTTCCTCAAGCTCGGATGATGATAGCTCCAGCGCAGACGACAGCCTGGACGACGAGGACGCTACACCGACCGTGGAGTCAACTACGGTTGGGGATGGCAAGACCTCCTGGACGCTCCGCCCGTATGTCAATTCAAGCACGCTGGGTCAGTTCGATGAGAAAGCCCCGCTTGGAGATCGACATACCTGGTGGGAGAAGTTCACCAACATCTCCGTCCAGGGTGGTTGGTTCGACCAGACCGAGGTTCGAGAGCTCAAGATGAAGTTGTCGCCCGCCGCCCGGAACTGGTGTGGTCAGCTGGAGAAGCACGTCCAGAGCAATTGGAAGCGCTTCGTCCAGGAGTTCCGTAAGGGGCACCTCCACTATTTCTAAGCTCCTATACAAATACCAAATGAAAGTGGGCGGTTTTGGATCTCGGCCGACTCTTCACTGAGCTCGGCGACGCTTGAGCTCGGCTATGCCGGATAACCCCTTGAACTCGGCTGAGCCGGATAAGGTGCCGGATAACCCAGTGAACTCGGCGGAGCGACCCGCGAACTCGGCGGGGCGACTCGTGAACTCGGCAGAGCGACCCGTGAACTCGACTGCGCAACTCCCGGACTCAATTGAGCCTGGTTACCGTATCGGACGGTACATGGTACCGTTTAGCCTGAGCTCGGCGGCTTGAACCCCCCATGATCTCTGCTGAGCGTGTCCAGTGCCTTCCTGAACTCGGCTGGGTCTTCATCACTGGGTCTGCCACGTGTCACCAGGTCGGGGCCGGTGTGCCTTTAGTTTCTGACACCATCAGCCGAGTTCAGCGGTCCATCAGCGCATTCTTGGCCACCGAGCTCGGCGGACGGTCATCCCGCCGAGTAGAACTTGGCTCCTGGTACGTTGTTCCACTGCGGCCTTGGAGTGTGACACAAAACTTGATGTTCCCTACACCACAACTGCCCCGGCCAATGTACGAGCCGGAGTGGTGAGTGGCCTGGCCAACCGGATGTGTCGCACGCTTGATTTCGTCCAATCAGATCTGTCGCAAACACTGAGTTCACATTTCCCGAATTCGAGTGGCGAGAAACGCCCGCAACGCCAGCTCGACGCCCTCGTTCCGTGAAGGTGAGACTTGCTTGAGCCTTGATCTTTGGTATAGGCCTTGTCTGATGCGTGGACTCCGCGCCTCATGTGTCTGTACACATGTAGATGCCCCTATCGCTCGCACCAAACCCCGTCGTCGGATCACTTCAGCAGCGAATCAGCCTGGATGGTCGTCTCGGCGTGGCAGCCGGTAGCAGGAACTGAACCATACGAAGTCAGCTGGTGCCCCTGTCGACGCTCGGAGTGCTAGCGGTGATGTTGGGCCTGCCGCAGCAAAGCGAGTAGGTGATGCAGGTGTCGGGGAAGTGCTCGATTGGCTGCAATACCGACGAAGCCGAGCATCGCTGTCTCCATCAAAATGAGCAGCCATGGATGCTGCCAGCGACTCGGCTGACCAGAATCACGTTCCTCTCGTTTCGGTGCGTCGAGTGAAGCTTGATAGTTGTCTTGGCATGCTACAAGGCACCGGGAACTCGTCAGGTCAAGAAACGCTTCCCCGATCGGGCCGCGCTGAGCTCGAAATCCAACCCAGCTGAGCTTATTGGCGAGAAGTGCAGCAGCAAGTTGAACTCAGCTTTGTCTGAACTCGGCTGTCCTGACGACTAGCTGCTACCCGCTGACCTTGAACTCAGCTGGACTTGAACACAGCCTCCGCTTCATCGACTCAACTAGCCTGGTAAGTGTTTGCCCCACTCACTTTGATGCGTTGAGTTAGCTCTCACCGTTGCTGTGTCATTTTATAAACGAACAAGGCGATCCCGATGCGTTTGATGCTCCAGTCGAGTTGTCCTGAACGGGCCGAGCTGGGCTCATTGGCCAACGGACCTTGACTTCGGCATGTCTCCAGCTCGGTTAGTCCAGCTTACCCCGACTGGGCTCAGCTTGGTTGGGAAGGTGGTGGGCAAGCTCGACTGGAACAGCACTTCATTCGGTCACATTCCAACTCGGCTCGCCGCTAGCTCGGCTGCGTTCACTCAGTTTGAATTCGGTATCTTCGGTTCAGCTTGAAGCGTGTTCAGATTCAGCTCGGCTACACCTCGAACTCGGCATGAGCGCTCTCCAATCGGAACATGGTGCGTTTACCAGCACTCAACTCGGCGAACTTCCGAACGCGATCTCACTGAAACTCGGCGTACCGCAACTCAGTCCAGTGCTTCCTTCCGTTGAAGCGAGTACACTTCAGATTGGCGCCATCCAACCCGCGGCACTGCTGGAACTCGGCATCCCATTCCAGCTTGATCGCACTCCAATGTTCTCGGCTTCGCAGCAACCCAGTGCGAACGCGACCTCATTCGGACGCAGCGTGATCTCTGTCTCGCTTCAGCTCAGCTCTGCTCGGACTCGGCTGCGCATAACGTCGGCTCGACCTACGTCGTCTCGGCTGGAATCCGACGAGAACCGGGCGCGAGACCGAGATATATGTTTTCCCACTGGAACTGGACGCGAGGCGGCTCAACTTGATCGTGGGTTTGCTTCAGCAAGGTTGCTCTTCAATCGGCTCCACTCCAACGACCAGCGCTTCTTCGAAGCGTTGCTCGAACTCGGCTCCGTTCCGGCTTGGTTGAACTCGGCTTCACGACATCTCGGTGTTAAACTACTTCCACGCAGAGTGCACTGTCTCGCTTTAACTCGGCTCTGCTTGAACGCATCTCGGCTTCAGCTTGACTGTGGTTCAACTCAGTTGGTGCTGACCTCGGCTGCACTTGTACCTGATCCCGATTCAGCTCGGATTCAAGACAAACCTCTGCTGCAATTCGCCTAGGCGCCACTTGATCCCCATGTTTTGTGGCTCTGCCACGAATCAACCCGGGCTAGCTCGACTGATGTCCACCTGGCATTGATTCCGTTGCAGCTTAGCCCAGTTGAGCAAGGTGATAGGCAAGCTCGGCTGAGCGAACGACACAGCTGCCTGCCTGACCAGCTCAGTCCCTTAGCAGAAGTATCAGCGCTTTGAAGGGGTGTTTCGACTTGGCTATGCTCGACCCCTGACCAAGCTCTGCTCATGTTGGCTCAATGTGAATACGACCGCGGCCGCGTGGAATCCATTCCTCTTCAGTCCAGCTTTGGATGTTGGGTACACTTTTGCGACGCCGTGACTCGGCGATTTCACCTACTCGGCTTCAGGCTGACCGCAGTTAAACTCGGTGGTAGCCCTACGTCGGATCGATTGAAGTCGGAGTCCATCTTCAAAGCAGGTGTCTGCTTCTGCTCAGCTACGGACCAACTCGGATCCCGTTCGAGATTGCTGGCACGTCGACATTCTCGGCGACGCGCCTGCCCAGCGTGCCTCCGCTGAGCTTTGCTCAAGTCCAGCTTTGCTGCAACTTCGGTTTGTTCACCGCCGCCGCGCATCGACCGACTCGGCTAGTCGCCTCTCGGTAAACATGGAGTGATTACGGCCTCACTGGAACATCGTGCGAACTCGACTTCGCTTCGGCTTTCCTGCTTGAGCGTGGCTCCATATCAGCACGGCTTCGCGTCAGCACACCTGCGCTCCCACTCAGCTTTAGTGCACAACGGGAAGATCGTTCACCGACTTGGTCGGAGGTCCCGGCGGTCGTACCCAAGGGTGTCGATCGTACCGCCGCATATCACACACAGTGCCCCAGTGGGTAGCGTGTTCACGGACCCAGTGACGAGTCAACACAGCTTCGGCATCGACGGCTGACTCGCTCAATCTGTGCAGACGCACCATCACCTCCCTCAGCTTCTTCACTGGGTCGTCGTCAGACCAGCTGGGCTCAATCGCTCACCTCGGCAACTCGGCTGAGACTTCGATCCGAGATGCGGATTCCACCAGCCTGGTGGCTGTGGCGGCCGCGCCGACTCCAACGCTAACCCGGCGAATGGGCTCCTTGCTTTCCAGCTCCATCTTCGCTCACTCCATTTCGATATCATGTAATTCATATAATTCATACAGTTGAGGCAGTATCATTCTTCGACTCGACCCAGCCTGCTGTCTTCACTGAGTCGGCGGATCATCACTTTGGTGCAATAGCCTTAGACCGCATCTGCAACTTGCACCATTTGCAGACGGGTTTCACATTTCTTCGATTGCCCCTAGTCGAGTGGAAAGGTTTCCCACGAGACGTTCGGCATCGAATCCCAACTCGGGCATTTCGCGCTGGATGCCCTCGTCGCTCGTTGTATCAGGGGCGGCCGGTCCCCTGGAGCGACGGCTTGACTGTCGTCGTCCGCATCGTCACCGAGCTCGGCTGCGAGGTTTTGTTGGGCTCGTCGAGGTTTCTCCACGCGCCCAACATGCAGCGAGAACTCAGCCACCCCGCTGAGCAACTCGGCTTTCTTCCATTCTTCATCATAATCTCTGATATTTCCATCTCTTCCTCGGTCTTGGGTGCGGTCGTCGCCAAACCGAACGGTTGGGACCGCTTCCATCGTCATGTCGGCGATCCTTCCGCCAGCTGAGTTCGGCTTCGTGTGAAGCGAACCCCCAGCCGTCGCTGGGCTGGCCCAGCTCGGCAACGATCTCCCCTTGACCATCTTGCTCAGTACGCGAAACTTGGTTGACTTCGTACCAACGAAAACAAACCACCCTGCTCCCGGGTCGCGGCACCAGTTGTGGTGTAGTAGCACGCACAAAATCGTCAGATGTGGCACCCTATGTAGTGGACCTACTTTGGCTCACTACTTTAGCCTACACGTGTGCGCGTGTATGTGAGGAAGCGTAGCTTAGTTTAAATTAGAGTTAATTATACTCGGGCCTCCGAGTATAGATTAATCTAAATAAACGATCCAAATAATGTTTTTGGGTTAAAATGAGAACTGCTATTTTTGTTTTATGTTTCTGACTTCCTCTACATGTAATATTCTAAGATAGAAATCTGCCAACGACTGGATGGTAGAATTCCAATGCTATGCATGTCGCTCATTGGCTAAGATATGCTGCTCTCAGCCAATAGGAATCCTAAGTCTCTATGGACCACCCGTCGTGGTGGTCGTAAATGTATGTAGCCTTTGGTGTGTCTACACCAAGGTCGAGAAAGTCTTTCGAACCTCTAACAGACGTCGTATCTGTTAGAGTTACAAGTGACTGTAGCCACTTGTGCGTGTAACCCTGTTATACCATTCCCCCTCAAGGTTAGACGCGCCGAGTCACGGCACGTCAATCAGGAAATTGACAATTCGTTAATTCTTCACGTTGGGAGAAAGAAAACTCGAGCTCATTCCGCAATGAGCTCGCCGCAGAAGAAGTCCGCCGCCGCAACAGAGGGTAACCTCTCTGTTGCTCAGTACCATGAGCGCTAGCAGGCAAAACGCGATGCGCTCGCTGC